CAAATACAGGTAATGATGGAGGTAACTGATGCTATTGCTGGTAATTGATGATACTAATGCTAATTAAACGCATTGATGGTTACTGACGGTAATGATGACAACTGATGTTGATGATAGTAGATGGAGGTAATGATGACAATAGTTACTGATGTTGATGATAGTAAATGAGGGTAATGATGACAATTGATGTTGATAGTAAATGAGGGTAATGATGGCAATTGATGTTGATAGTAAATGAGGGTAATGATGACAATTGATGTTGATAGTAAATGAGGGTAATGATGGCAATTGATGTTGATGATAAATGAGGGTAATGATGACAATTGATGTTGATAGTAAATGAGGGTAATGATGGCAATTGATGTTGATGATAGTAAATGAGGGTAATGATGACAACTGATGTTGATNACAATAGGCAGCGTTGTTGCCCTATTATAGCCGTACAATAGGCAGCGTTGTTGCCCTATTATAGCCGTACAATAGGCAGCGTTGTTGCCCTATTATAGCCGTACAATAGGCAGCGTTGTTGCCCTATTATAGCCGCACAATAGGCAGCGTTGTTGCCCTATTATAGCCTGTCTCTTATACACATCTAGATGTGTATAAGAGACAGACGTACCATCATCAACGTACCCTCATCAACGTACCCTCTTTTACTTAATTTTTTTCGATTGAATTATGAAATTTCTAGTTGGCGATGTTACAGACGGTAGGTTGTTTTTACGCAATTAGTGCATTAGATGAATTATTAACTAGCAAGAAATTAGTCGTATTTGTTGTCCAATAGATGCGGATTTAACGCTAATAGATCATCAGAAAATGCAATACACAAATAATATGGTCTGATTTTATCGCTTCTAGTTTATTAGAAGATAGATTATAATAAAACTGATTATTAAATTTGGTAAAAACAATTATCATTGAAAAAATAATTCATAGAAGTGATGAATCATTAATAAAGTGAGTTGTTTTAACGCGAATAGTGCATTAGATGCTGAATTATTCAACTGAAGTGTGTTTTTATAACTGGCATCTTACGCTTTATTTATCAAGTGATTGCGAGTTGCAAGTTAGCTTTACAGTTGCAGCGATACAGTGACAGTTGTCACAGTTACTGCCGTTAGAGTTACTGCCGCTACAGTTTACAGTTACGGCCGTTACAGTTACAGTCGTCACAGTTACAGCCGTCACATTTACAGCCGTCACAGTTACAGTCGTCATAGTTACAGCCGTCACAGTTACAGTCGTCATAGTTACAGCCGTCACAGTTACAGTCGTCACAGTAACAGCCGTTACAGTTACAGCCGTCACAGTTAGAGCCGTTACAGTTACAGTCGTCAAAGTTACTGCCGTTACAGTTACAGCCGTCACAGTTACAGCCGTCACAGTTACAGCCGTCACAGTTACAGCCGTCGCAGTTACAGTCGTCACAGTTACTGCCGTTTAGGTTACAGCCTTAACAGTTACAGCCGTCACAGTTACAGCCGTCACAGTTACAGCCGTCACAGTTACAGTCGTTACAGTTACAGCCGTTTAGGTTACAGCCTTAACAGTTACAGCCTTAACAGTTACAGTCGTTACAGTTACAGCCGTTACAGTTATAGCCGTTACAGTTACATTCGTTACAGTTACAGCCGTTACAGTTACAGCCGTTACAGTTACAGCCGTTACAGTTACAGCCGTTACAGTTACAGCCGTTGCAGTTACAGTCGTTACAGTTACAGTCACGCTCTGTCCTCCAGGAGGCGTCGGCCTGCAACGTGCGGCCGTCGGCCGTACTGCGCTGGGACAAGGTCGGGGGGATGTGGGGGTAACGGGGGTGATGTTGGGGGTTAAGGGGGTGATGTTGGGGATTAAGAGGGGTGATGCTGGGAATAACAGGTGGTATAAAAAGTTGAAAGATCTGTTATGGATTCGGTGGAATGGAATGTCCCAGTTTAAATATGGAACAGTGTTTGAGCCGGCCGAACACTGTGCGAGGCAGACTAGAAGCCGTGGGGAGGCAGGTAAGGGGCAGACATGTCCTTTTTTTGAGACCTATATGCAGTATATATACAGTAAAATAAATCTGTTCTGCAAATCGTACGTTCCTGCAAGAGGTAGTTTTCAATCAGCTTCAAATCTGATATTATGCATCAGACATGCCCGATCCTGCTCTAATCCTGCTCCAAACCTGCTATAAATCTACCCCAAACTTGCTCCAAATCTGCTCTAAACCTGCTCTGTGCTGCAATCGGCGCAGGCTCATGCTCTGAATTTTCACTGGGGTGAGATATCAATGGCGACGGAGACAACAAGTTTTAGGCTCAAGACGTGCTACTAATAAGTATTAATAAAAATATGATTCTTTGTTACCGGCTCAATATAAGTGATGTTTTGGTGTGGATGTTGTGGTTTTACCACGGTGTGATCACAACTGTTTGAACACAACTAACCAACCTTCTTTAAGAAAACTATACAGCAAACACACAAGTCTTTGAACATCTGCCCCCTCTCCCCCCCAGGAGATGACGTCATCGCCGGCCAGAGGACCCCAGAGCTGCAGAGACACGGTGGGTGCCCCGCTATTGTATTATTGTAGCGGCACAATAGGCAGCGTTGTTGCCCTATTACAGCCGTACAATAGGCAGCGTTGTTGTCCTATTGCAGCCGTACAATAGGCAGCGTTGTTGCCCTATTGTAGCCGTACAATAGGCAGCGTTGTTGCCCTATTACAGCCGTACAATAGGCAGCGTTGTTGCCCTATTATAGCCGTACAATAGGCAGCGTTGTTGCCCTATTATAGCCGTACAATAGGCGGCGTTGTTGCCCTATTATAGCCGCACAATAGGCAGCGTTGTTGCCGTATTGTAGCCGAACAATAGGCAGCGTTGTTGCCCTATTACAGCCGTACAATAGGCAGCGTTGTTGTGTTATTATAGCCTCACAATAGGCAGCGTTGTTGCCCTATTGCAGCCGTACAATAGGCAGCGTTGTTGTCCTATTGCAGCCGTACAATAGGCAGCGTTGTTGTCCTATTGCAGCCGCACAATAGGCAGCGTTGTTACCCTATTATAGCCGTACAATAGGCGGCGTTGTTGCCCTATTATAGCCGTACAATAGGCAGCGTTGTTGCCCTATTATAGCCGTACAATAGGCAGCGTTGTTGCCCTATTATAGCCGCACAATAGGCAGCGTTGTTGCCCTATTACAGCCGTACAATAGGCAGCGTTGTTGCCCTATTATAGCCGTACAATAGGCGGCGTTGTTGCCCTATTATAGCCGCACAATAAGCAACATTTTTGTCCCATAGTAGCAGCAAAATAGGCCGTTTTGCTGCGTATTATATTTTTTTCTTCTCCAAGCCAGGCTTCAATAATCTCTCCCCCCCGCAGGCGTCCCCCCTCTCCCCCGTCTCCCCGTGGCTCATCTCCCGCCGGCCCGTGAGTTTTCTATCTTTTTTTTTTACTTATGCTTTTTATTCGATTTTTTTTATATTTATTCTACTATCTTCTATTGCTTTACAAATTTGTACAATATTTCTCGAATATTGTTCTTTATATCTTATAATTAACTTTCGTATTATAAGATAGATGTTATTCCTGATCAACTCGTTGATATATTTATTGAATATTCGTAATTATTTACGATATTTCGTGAATTTTGTAATTCGTTAATATATTTTACCACCGCTGGCAGTCTGGGGGGGCAGCCACCCCCGTGTTTGGGTTCCCCCCCAACGAGGAGCCCCCCGCCCCCACCACCCAGCAGCTCATCGCCCGCCAGAGTCAAGACTTCGTGGACGAGCGACTCTTGGAGTTCCAGGCTCAGATTCAGCAGCTGCAAGGCGAGTCTAGAGTCTGTAGCTGATGAGATGTAAGGTGAGTCTAGAGTCTGTAGCTGATGAGATGTAAGGTGAGTCTAGAGTCTGTAACTGATGAGATGTAAGATCTGCAACTGATGAGATGTAAGATCTGCAACTGATGAGATGTAAGATGAGTCTAGAATCTGTAACTGATGAAATGTAAGGTGAGTCTAGAGTCTGCAATGACTGTGGTGCAGGGTGAATCTTGAGTCAGACTGTCAGTATCTGATGAGGTGGAAGTTGTGTCTATAATTCTTAATTGCTGTGCTGCAACTGCTGAGCCACCGGATGATTTTTGAGTCCTGCAACGCTAACTTCAGTGGATTTCGGAGTCACCTGCTGTAATGTGAACCCTGGATCGGCTATTGATGCGTAAATCCTGAGTCATCTGCTTTAATATGAGTCGTTATATTTATGGCAAATGATATTCTCCTGTAAACGCCGCACGCCGGTACAAAAGGGCCTATACTTTCAAAAAAAGTTAAGAGATCGTAAGTTCATCAGCCAATCATTGATGGCCTTTCAATAAAAATCCACCAATAATAGACAAGAAAATAGAGCGTTAGTAATTACGTTCACTTAGCGAATTAGGAAAGTATGGCCCGTTACATACGGAGGACTACAAGCTACGAGCGGAATAAAATGTATATATAGAAATGAGCTTTATTGAGGTTACCCTTTGAAGCTCGTTTTTTGCTGATTGATGTCATTAAGAGGCATACTCTGGTATTTCTAAGCCGCGTATTATTCGTTATTAAAAATGCTTAATTTATTCACAAACACTAGCCTAGCAACTTTAATTCTGGTTTAAAGATTCCTGCAAATACCAGTTATGAATAAAGCTGTGCCAAATAAAATCATGGATGGTTTTTTTCTTCAAAAATAATATTCAGTGTCTGGAATTACATTTGACCTCACAAGCTCCCTTGACTAACTACTTTCATAAGTGCATATCTAATTTAGACCTCGGTGAGATGGTGAATATGCTGCAAGCTAACCATTACCATTTCTGAGCGCAAGGCAATTATTTTTTGGGCAACAAAAACGTAAATGCCAGGTTGTTTCCCGTTAATGCTAGTGATCCGGCACCGGGGAACCTGTTATTTGTCCGGTGCACTTCAACTTCACTTGTTCCGCGCGCTCAGTGTGAATCCAACTTTGCTGGTGTGATGTACTCGTGCGCTTGAGCTGCGATTCTCATGCCGCTGCTACGTGCGAGAAATCGTTAATTCCTAAGCCTCATTGAATGGAATTGATTGCTCAAGCTTCAAATTAGTGCTTGCATTAAGACTGTTAATCATAAAACTGAGTGATAACGCTAGGAGATGATCTGTTTTCGTATTTTATTAGCTTGAGTGTTATGGATTAGCAAGCGCTGTGAGCAGCGCATGCCGCTATTGCGTGGCTGCAAATCTCTTCAGACTTCAGTTCTTCTATTAGATGTCAGCAGACGAGCGTCATGCCAGAGAGGATAAAAACAAGGAAGGTGGGAAGGAAAAGAAAGAAGAAAGGAAAGAAGAAGGAGGCAAAAGATTGCTGGAAAAAGTAACTTTTTTTGAGCGAATTTTGAGGGGCAGTCAAGTGCCAACCGAGCTAGCGGTTGAGCATGCAGAAGAAGCCTTTGAGGAGGACCGAGAAGAGCTGAAGCATGAAAGAAGAGAAACGCCAGATAAACGGAAGAGACCGAAGAGCAATACTTCTCCTTCATCACGGCCGCCTGGTTATCGGCAGTGGGAATTCACCGACAGCCCCAGCGCCCGTGGGGCTGAAGCCGTCGAAGACCTCGAACGGAAGATCGCTGTACGCCGACAGGAGGCGCTGAAAAGAGCGCGCTCCCCCGTCTTGGAGTGGCAGACCATCAAACTGAATCCTTGCGCCCGGGAGGACGACAAGAATTCCCTTCATGCAGGGAGGAACTCACCTGACAGCAACCTCGCGGAACCCCATAGAGAGACCCAGGACGTGGCGAGGGCTTGGGTAAAAGGGAAGGCATTTTCCAGGACCTTCATCAGTACTGATGAAAAGAATGTCAGTATCGCAACTACCCAAAAAGGGGGCTGGAGCCCCCGCCATGACAGGGATGTGATGCGGGACAGGCACAGCCTGAGGGCAGTGAGGGATGCTGCCCTCGCCTCAGGAGGCACCGCTGATGACGACGAAGATGAGGCCATAGAATATCCCTCAGCGTCGGTCTCCATTCAGTCGACAGCCTCTGTCCAGTCGACAGCTCCTGTCAAGTCGACGGCATCTGTCCAGTTACCAGCACCTGTCCGTGCGACATCCCCTTTTACAAATGGCCATCGTGGCGCCAGTAGATCGTTCCTCCCGAACGTGTCAGTAGACAGCGCCTATGAGGCAGAAACTTTAAACGTTCCTGAAGACCAAGTGCCAGCAGGAGGCACTGCTGAAGGGGAACTGACTCAAGGAATGCACTTGAATGTCTCCCCCGGGGACGATGAGGAGGATGATGAACCCCTGAGCATGGTGTCGGTGAGCAGCATCGTCCTGGAGGGAGGTGGGGTGCGGAGGTACAGCAGCAAGGTGGTCATCAAGGAGCGGGATGCGGCCTATGCTCAGGGCAAAGAGGCCTACACTAAATATCTCAAAAGGAGCCGACGGACAACGACGGCCAAAGGAGGTGTAGTGGCTACCTCCGAGATTCTGTCCACCGATCAGGATGGACTGGAGTCCAGGCCGCCTGCCCAGAAGGAGGATTATCAGCACCACATTTTCATCATGCGAGGTAGCGTCAACCAGCTGTAGGTCCGCCAGCTGTAGATTAGCATATTCACCAGCTGTGATGGCTGCGTTTGGGGCTTATTCTCCATCCCAACTCCGATCAGAAAATTGAGTTAGTTTAATCTTAAAACTCAAAACTAATATCTTCATTAAAATTATAGGGATCGAAAGTTTCTGTGGTGACGTCTAACTATATTTAAACGTATATTTTCTTAACAAATGTTTAAACTGCGCCGTTAGGAAAAGTTACAGTTAAAGGTAAGACCAAAACTCCGTAACAACGGGTGTACCCCGTAATTGCCGTGACTTTGACGCTGTGCCCCGTAACTGCCGTGACCTTGACGCTCTGCCCCGTAACAGCCTCGACCTAGACGCTCTCCTTCGTAACTGCCGTGACCTTGATCCTGTGACCCTTAACTGTCGTGACCGTGATCCTGTGCCCCATAACAGCCGTAACCTTGACGCTGTGTCCCTTAATTGCCGTGACCGTTACCCTGTGCCCCGTAACTGCCGTGACCTTGAACTTGTGCTCCGTAACTACCGTGACCTTGAACTTGTGCTCCGTAACAACCGTGACCTTAAACTTGTGCTCCGTAACTACCGTGACCTTGAACTTGTGCCCCGTAACTGCCGTGACCTTGAACTTGTGCTCCGTAACTACCGTGACCTTGAACTTGTGCCCCGTAACTGCCGTGACCTTGAACTTGTGCTCCGTAACTACCGTGACCTTGAACTTGTGCCCCGTAACTGCCGTGACCTTGAACTTGTGATCCGTAACTACCGTGACCTTGAACTTGTGCCCCGTAACAACCGTGACCTTGACGCCTCTTCTTTTCTTGTCGCTTAAAGTGCACCGTTGTGATCCACCGCGCAGTGGTTCTTCGTAGCGATGCCAGCTGTGCAAATTGTTAGTGTAATTTGGAACAAGTGTATTTTTTGTACAATTGATTAGTGCAGAGATTCAACATATTGAGATAAAATCTTCATATTAGATAATCGCTTTGGATCAATGGCAACATCTATAGGTTGTACTGATGGGGTAGGATCCGGTTTTATATTCTATTTTTACCAAAAGCCGTTCAGATTCTAGATTTAATTGTTGGTTGCAAGGATATTGGGTGCGTAGATTCTGTGTCTTGTATACATAATTAAAAATAAATTCACATCGCATGGCCACGGCAGCTGACAACTGATTTTTGTACTGCTTATGCGCTCCACGGTTTATACGTACCGGTACCGATAATTTGTAGGCTCCTTTTAGAGATTGAATTTGCCCCCTCAAGTGGAGCCCATTCCATACTGGCATCCCTTCTATGACTGGCCTCCCTTCCATCACTGGCGTCCCTTCCATCACTGGCCTCCCTTCCATCACTGGCGTCCCTTCCATCACTGGCGAACCTTCCATCACTGGCGAACCTTCCATCACTGGCGAACCTTCCATCACTGGCGAACCTTCCATCACTGGCGAACCTTCCATCACTGGCGAACCTTCCATCACTGGCATCCCTTCCATCACTGGCATCCCTTCCATCACTGGCGAACCTTCCATCACTGGCCTCCCTTCCATCACTGGCGAACCTTCCATCACTGGCATCCCTTCCATCACTGGCATCCCTTCCATCACTGGCATCCATTCCATCACTGGCATCCCTTCCATCACTGGCCTCCCTTTCCATCACTGTCCCCCTTTCCATCACTGGGCCCCCTTCCACCACTTGGCCCCCTTCCACCACTGTCCCCTTTTCCATTACCGGTCGCCTAGCCATTGCCGGGGCGTTCGCCCCCCGGACCGTAACGACGTCCAGCAAATCTCTTCCGTCACGAAGCTCGAGCTAAATAAGTTGCCCGTCGTCCTGCCTTGCTGTAATTGCTGCCTATTCCAGGCCATCTGCCGCACGCGCGGCGCATTGTGGCCCGACTCGCCGTAGGAATAGCATTAGGACGTGCGGCGGGGAGGGGGCCAAGTCCGCCGATTTCGCTTCTCATCCCAATCCCCGGGCTGGAGTTACTTGGCTGCTATCGTGGGGAACGCTTGGGGTTGTCCTCACTTCCTGGGGCTGAAGTTTTGTGTTGAACATGTTGGTCATGAGTATCTTTAGCTAATTATTGATTACGGTGCCAGATTGGTGAAAATTTTATGAATAAGCTTCTGGTGACGGATGAGATATAATAGACTGATAATTTGCCATCGATATACTGCATGTTACACTTCAATATCGAGCAGTCCGATACAGGAATTAGGAGCCACTAGAGCACAAAGAATTCTTTCATTTAAGGTTGCGGAAATTACTTCGTGAGTGAAAGTTTGTGCAGGTGAGTGAAGGCTGCTACAGTTCCCCACTTGATGAGTGGTTTGTGATGGTATGGGTGATGGTGGGTGATGAGGGTGAAGGTGGGTGATGGGGATGATTGGGTGAAAGTGGGTGATGGCGGTGATAGTGGGTGAAGGTGGGTGATGGCGGTGATAGTGGGTGAAGGTGGGTGATGGCGGTGATAGTGGGTGAAAGTGGGTGATGGCGGTGAACCAGACCTGTTTTGGGGCGGCAGTCCAGACCTGTTTTGGGGCGGCAGTCCAGACCTGTTTTGGAGCGGCAGTCCAGACCTGTTTTGGGGCGGCAGTCTTGACCTGGGGCGGCAGTCCAGACCTGGGGCGGCAGTCCAGACCTGGGGCGGCAGTCCAGACCTGGGGCGGCAGTCCAGACCTGTTTTAACTGACCACCACATGTTTCCCGCAGGTGTGGCAGGAGCTACAGGTGTGGTCGTGGCTGCACGAGGGCGCGTCGCTGCCTGGGGAGGCAGGAGCGGTGGCCGCATGGATCAGCCGCGCCGAGAGGATGCTTGGCACTGACGTCAAACTCAGTGGGAAACCTGACGAGGTCAGTGGGGACTGTCCATGTTATGTGTGTCAGTGGACAGTGTGTTTCAGTGACGTCAAACTACCCCAATGGGCTCAGTTTTTCCTGTTCTGGAAGCTGCAATTCCAGCCGCTTGACGGGTAGCCCATAAAGCAAAGCCAGGTGGCGTTATCAGCCATGTGGCTGAGGCAGCCAATTGATGTTGCTTTGGCGTTACACTGAGCTTGCACAGCCAATTGGCGTAATCAGCCATATGGCTGAGGCAGGCAATAAACATGGCGCGCTTCCCCGATCATGCGCAGCCAAGTGGCGTAATCAGCCATGTGGCTGGAAGCAGCCAGGTCACTAAGGACTATACATGGCGCGATCATGCAGGGACAGGTGGCGTTATCAGCCACATGGCTGGGGCGGGATATCTGTGGCCGTGACGTAAGCCTCATCAGCCGCCATGATGGCCGCTGTGGCGACCACATGGCGACGCCTGCCTCCAACGCCGCTTTATTAATGAATGAAATATATGAAATCATTATTAATTATAATTAAAATTGATCAATTTAATTAAATTTATTTATGACTTGCCGTGTGTGACGGGCATCATGCAGCAGCAGTTGTTCTGGCGCAGCAGCAGTTGTTTTGGCGCAGCAGCAGTTGTTTTGGCGCAGCAGCAGTTGTTTTGGCGCAGCAGCAGTTGTTTTGGCGCAGCAGCAGTTGTGTTGGTGCAGCAGCAGTTGTGTTGGTGCAGCAGCAGTTGTGTTGGTGCAGCAGCAGTTGTGTTGGTGCAGCAGCAGTTGTGTTGGTGCAGCAGCAGTTGTGTTGGTGCAGCAGCAGTTGTGTTGGTGCAGCAGCAGTTGTGTTGGTGCAGCAGCAGTTGTGTTGGTGCAGCAGCAGTTGTGTTGGTGCAGCAGCAGTTGTGTTGGTGCAGCAGCAGTTGTGTTGGTGCAGCAGCAGTTGTGTTGGTGCAGCAGCAGTTGTGTTGGTGCAGCAGCAGTTGTGTTGGTGCAGCAGCAGTTGTGTTGGTGCAGCAGCAGTTGTGTTGGTGCAGCAGCAGTTGTGTTGGTGCAGCAGCAGTTGTGTTGGTGCAGCAGCAGTTGTGTTGGTGCAGCAGCAGTTGTGTTGGTGCAGCAGCAGTTGTGTTGGTGCAGCAGCAGTTGTGTTGGTGCAGCAGCAGTTGTGTTGGTGCAGCAGCAGTTGTGTTGGTGCAGCAGCAGTTGTGTTGGTGCAGCAGCAGTTGTGTTGGTGCAGCAGCAGTTGTGTTGGTGCAGCAGCAGTTGTGTTGGTGCAGCAGCAGTTGTGTTGGTGCAGCAGCAGTTGTGTTGGTGCAGCAGCAGTTGTGTTGGTGCAGCAGCAGTTGTGTTGGTGCAGCAGCAGTTGTGTTGGTGCAGCAGCAGTTGTGTTGGTGCAGCAGCAGTTGTGTTGGTGCAGCAGCAGTTGTGTTGGTGCAGCAGCAGTTGTGTTGGTGCAGCNTGGCGGTCACACAAAACATGTGGCGGTCACACAAAACATGTGGCGGTCACACAAAACATGTGGCGGTCACACAAAACATGTGGCGGTCACACAAAACATGTGGCGGTCACACAAAACATGTGGCGGTCACACAAAACATGTGGCGGTCACACAAAACATGTGGGGGTTACACAAAACATGCGGCGGTCACACAAAACATGTGGGGGTTACACAAAACATGCGGCGGTCACACAAAACATTTATAGTTTGTATATCCATCAGATCGAAGTAAATTGAATATTCAAATTCCCTCAGAGTGGGTGGGTCACGCGTCAAATTAGTGACCCACTTCCTGCACGTAGCACTCTCAGTGAAAACCATGAACCTCTCACAACTGATTATGAAAATGTAAAATTAATATAATAATTAGGAACTTTAATAATGTGATGATTACTGTAACAATATAGTAATTAATGTAATAATGTAATAATAAGGAACATATAATAATATGATAATCACTACAACAATATTAAAATTTATATAATAATGTAATAATTGGGAATTATAATAAAGGGGTTATTAATATGAGAATACAATAATTAATATAATATGTAATGCAATAATTAATATAACAATGCAATAATTGATTGTCTCTCGCCCCGCAGACGAGCAGGAGCGCGTGCAGAAGAAGACCTTCCTGAACTGGATCAACGCTCACCTGGCGAGGGTGCGTGGGGGGAGGGTGGTGGTGGGGAGGATAGGGTGGGCAGTGGGGAGGAAAGGGAGGGTGAAAGGTGGTTGATGGTGAATCTTGGTGGTGAGCCAGACACAGTGGCGATGTGATGAACATTCGGATGGTGATAGCCAATGACGACCTCTTAGTCATCACATGCCTCCAGCCCCTCCTACTACATCATAACCTCTCCATATCGCTACAAAGGGCGCCGCCCCTGCGTATCACCCCCCCTCCCTCTCCCCCAGGGAGGGCGCCGCCCCTGCGTATCATCCCCTCCCTCTCCCCCACGGAGGGCGCCGCCCCTTCGTATCACCCCTCCCTGTCCCCCACAGAGGGCGCCGCCCCTGCGTATCACCCCCTCCCTGTCCCCCACAGAGGGCGCCGCCCCTGCGTATCACCCCCTCCCTGTCCCCCACAGAGGGCGCCGCCCCTGCGTATCACCCCCTCCCTGTCCCCCACAGAGGGCGCCGCCCCTGCGTATCACCCCCTCCCTGTCCCCCACAGAGGGCGCCGCCCCTGCGTATCACCCCCTCCCTGTCCCCCACAGAGGGCGCCGCCCCTGCGTATCACCCCCTCCCTGTCCCCCACAGAGGGCGCCGCCCCTGCGTATCACCCCCTCCCTGTCCCCCACAGAGGGCGCCGCCCCTGCGTATCACCCCCTCCCTGTCCCCCACAGAGGGCGCCGCCCCTGCGTATCACCCCCTCCCTGTCCCCCACAGAGGGCGCCGCCCCTGCGTATCACCCCCTCCCTGTCCCCCACAGAGGGCGCCGCCCCTGCGTATCACCCCCTCCCTGTCCCCCACAGAGGGCGCCGCCCCTGCGTATCACCCCCTCCCTGTCCCCCACAGAGGGCGCCGCCCCTGCGTATCACCCCCTCCCTGTCCCCCACAGAGGGCGCCGCCCCTGCGTATCACCCCCTCCCTGTCCCCCACAGAGGGCGCCGCCCCTGCGTATCACCCCGTCCCTGTCCCCCACAGAGGGCGCCGCCCCTGCGTATCACCCCCTCCCTGTCCCCCACAGAGGGCGCCGCCCCTGCGTATCACCCCCTCCCTGTCCCCCACAGAGGGCGCCGCCCCTGCGTATCACCCCCTCCCTCTCCCCTACAGAGGGCGCCGCCCCTGCGTATCACCCCCTCCCTGTCCCACACAGAGGGCGCCGCCCCTGCGTATCAAGGACCTAACAGAAGACCTGCGTGACGGCACGGCGCTGCTGGCGCTGCTGGAGGTGCTCAGCGGCGAGGTCCTGGCGACGGAGAAGGGACGCGTCCTCCGCCGCCCCCACCACCTCGCCAACGCCAACACCGCGCTGCAGTTCCTGCAGAGTCGCAGGGTGAGTGCAGGGGATCCTGCAGAGCCGCAGGGTGAGTGCTGGGGGATCCTGCAGAGCCGCAGGGTGAGTGCTGGGGATCCTGTAGAGCCGCAGGGTGAGTGCTGGGGGATCCTGCAGAGCCGCAGGGTGAGTGCTGGGGGATCCTGCAGAGCCGCAGGGTGAGTGCTGGGGGATCCTGTAGATCTGCAGGGTGAGTGCTGGGGGAGCCTGCAGAGCCGCAGGGTGAGTGCTGGGGGAGCCTGCAGAGCCGCAGTGTGAGTGCTGGGGGATCCTGCAGAGCCGCAGGGTGAGTGCTAGGGGAGCCTGCAGAGCCGCAGTGTGAGTGCTGGGGGAGCCTGCAGAGCCGCAGTGTGAGTGCTGGGGGAGCCTGCAGAGCCGCAGGGTGAGTGCTGGGGGATGTAATAGGTCACCTAAGCCTGCCTGTGGTTGACGGTACATATCACCACCGATGGACGGGTGTAATATTTATTGGCCGCCAATTTGTATATTGTTTTTCAGTACACTTGCCATCAAGTGATGGACAGTTGGGTGACCACTAGTTCAGCGGTGGCCAGCTAGGTGACCACTAGTTCACTATTGGCACGTAACTCAAAGATGATCACTAATGCCATGCATGCATTGTCCACCAAGGGAACAATATTTAAGCAACCTGTAGTCCGCCATGTGATGGACAATGACTCCATCTGTTGGCCATCAGATAAAACTGGTGAACATCAACTCGACGGACCTCGTGGACGGGCGGCCATCTGTCGTCCTGGGCCTCATATGGACCATCATCCTCTACTTCCAGGTGAGAGACCGGCCTCCTTGGGGGAGACCGGGCCCCTTCTTGGGGGAGACCGGGCCCCTTCTTGGGAGAGTCCGGCCCCCGCCTTGCGGGAGACCGGCCCCCTTCTAGGGAGAGACCGGCCCCCTTCTTGGGGGAGACCGGCCTCCGTCTAGGGAGAGACCGGCCCCCGTCTTGCGGGAGGCCGGCCTCCGTTTTGGGAGAGTCCGGCCCCCTTCTTTGGGGGAGACCGGCCCCCTTCTTGGGGAGACCGGCCCCCGTCTTGGCCACGTATAGGGGGTATCGTGGCTCCGTATAGGGGGGTATTTATCAGAGGGAAAAGTTCGCGACCCAAAGTAGGGGAAAGCTACAGATGACCTTGAACCACAGCTGAACGAGGATGTGACCTTTAACTTAGGCTATCAAAATGTAACTGAATAGAAATAAATTAATGAACAATTAGCCAGATTTAAATAAATAAATGTGATTATTTTAAGTCAATGGTAGCGCACAACACAAATATGAACGCTGGGTGACTATGCAAAAAGTGGCAAGTTAGTCACTATTGTTGCGTTACACTTGGAATTAAAAACACGATTATTAAAATTTTCAATGAATTTCAGAAATGGTAAGTGAATAGCTGACAAAGTTTTCATGAATTATCTTCTAACTGCAGTGTATGCTCGATACATTACGCAGTACTGTAAAACTATACTATAAAGCAATGCTAATAAATACATAACGTGAAAAGTGCACTACCACTTACTATCACTATATTAAAGGGAAATGTTACAGCAACTCAACGGCTTACTTGTGCGAAGTTTCTTAGTAAGTTTCATCTCATGAAATTTCTTAAAAGTTTCTCCAAAAGAATCTTATTCGGTATGTATTCAGGTAATATATAAATAGTAATACTGCATCAAGTACAGGCCAAGGAGATTTATAAAATTTAGTTGAAAACGTTTTCGGAGACCAGGCCCCGTATCTTGATTATCTTGATACATGATGATATGTTCGTGTTTTGTGCTGCAGAAGCCCCTGTGCTACCTTAAGGTACTTTTATGGTACTTGTTCTATTGTGCTAAAGTTGAGGCTATCAAATACTTGAGGAAAGTACCACGCTTTTCCCACTGCCTTGTCTTTAAAAACCATTAGCAGCTGGTGTAGAGCACATAGACTATATGGCCCTCACTACCAGCTGGTGTAGGGATCATAGACCACGCGGTTTCCAGTAGCAGCTGGTGTAGAGAATCATAGACCACATGGTTTCCACTAACAGCTGGCGTAGAGCATCTTGGATCCCATGGTCTTCATGATGGACCATGCTGGCCCATCAGTCCAAGCAGTCGCTTAATATTCATGAAAAATTGAAAAATTTTCTCTACTTCGGCAATGTTCAATAAATTGTCAGATTTTAAGTACAGATAAGCAAGGAAGAATTTCCTGTGAGATAAAAGACCTCCGTAGGGGAACCCCTTGATGGGCGGGGTTCCACTCATCAATACTTTTTCTTTTGGAGGGGGATTATCCTACCCAACAACCCTTAAGATGGGTTGTTGCAATCTATAACCTTAAGGGAGGGGGGTTTTCCCCCCCCCCCCAACTCTTATAAGAGGGGGTTTTCCCACCTCACAATCTTTTATTGGGTTGTGAGGTGGGTTGTATTTATCCCCAATTGGTGTAGTCGTCGTTTCGTCTGTTCGGGTCAAATTTTTTGCTGCAAAATAACGCACCGAGTTGGTGCTTTGCACGCTTGCCAATAGAAATTGTAGGTTCTTATTGTTTTATTTAGTAAAGTATTTGCAATATCAATACCTATATCAGTTTGAATTCTAAGTATAATTGTTGAGGTTCTGGTCGCTCAGTCGGATTGTTTCACTTCATTCCTGTATTGCCGTTGACTTCCCTGTTTTGCATTTAATCTTGTATGACCGAAGAAGATATTGTTACAGTAATGGTTATTGCTACGTAAAATATTATACATAACATACCCTCATGCTTAATATAAAGTTTGTACTCTAGACGTAAATGTGTGTATAAAGTATTTTACTAACAAATCTTTGATGAGACATGGGAAAGAAATCCGGGCAATAATTTCACTTGCCTTGGCTTACTGATGGTAAAAACTGCTAACCCTGTAACGCTTTTCGTTGTCTTATAACGGTAAACTTCTAACTTCTATCTGCTTAAGGTTAATGCGAACTCTTGACCACATGTCTGTATATCATTGTAATCCTCCAGTTCGTCTCGTAAAATCCCATGATTTGAGAGAAAGAGAGAGAGAGAGGAACTTCCCCTTTCTTTTAGTAATAGTTTTTCGTCGAAATCGTTCTGACTTTATTTTTGGGAGATTAACCTAGATCCCAAATCGAAAAGGTACAATCCACTCACAAAATCAACACGACATCCTACCAATATCATAATCTATGCTTTCGTAATTCGATGCGAGTTTTTTAGTCATCTCCGCGGTAACTTGTCGTTTGTTATTGCCCCCACTCCCTATAGCAACTCCAATACACACTCACACACACTCTTGCATGTCAAATATAAACCAAATACAGAAGGATACAGAGTCTTGGAAAAGTCAGACTTCTTTTCTTCTTTTAAAAATTTTAGTTGTCCGTTACTGACCCTTGTTCTTGAATTCACTTATTAACATTACTAACATGTTGGGTGTTCATTAATCCTCTAGATCAGCTCCATAACTCAGTGGGTGAACAAGGACGAACTCACGTCGCCTTGCACCACCTACACGACATCCACAACTGACCCCCAAAACGAAGAGGAATTCAGCCCTGTCTCCGAGGTGACCGGACCGTTACAAACCAAAGGAGACTTTTGCCCATGCTCAGAGTGGGCGGGATCCAGCACCAGTATTGGCATTGGGCTAACCCAAGACGAGTACGAACGCTGGGTGAGGCGTGTGAGACTAGACCACGAGACCTGGGCTGAGAACAAGATAACCATGTCGAGTCAGAGGGCATGGGACGAAGACATGATGACCAAAGTATTGACGTCCTCTGAAGCGGCCGAGGAGTGGAGGCAGCGGCATCTACGAGGTTTCGACACGGGACTCTGGTCGCTAGAGTATCCAGAGAACACGGCAGTTGAAGACAAGTCTGAGGATGACAAGCCAAAGAATGACTTGGCTGAAGATGACAAACCAAAGAATGACTTAGCTGAAGATGACAAGCCTAAGAATGACTTTGCAGAAGCTGGTAAGTCAAAAGATTGCAAGTCAGAAGATGTAAATCCAGAAAAAGGAAAGAGTCCGATGAGTTTGGCCATCTTTGAATATCCTTTCTATGGGATACCGATAACCTTCATCTCACAGAAGGAGCAGTTAACGAGGGACCAGCTGGTGGCCGAGAAAGAGCAGCTACAACGCCTTATAAAGGTCAAGGAGTATCAGCTGAGTTTGTATAAGAAAGGTGACCACCTGCATCAAGGCCTGCCTACCAGAGCGCAGCTGGTGGCACAGAAGCAAGAGCTGGTCCGACTTCAGCTGGATCGCGAAAAGCTGTTGAAAAAAACCGCCCACGAGGAATGGAGGAGAATCAATGTCCGCCCTAAACCTGGATCAGCCTCGGCCCCCCGCAGACCAGATTTCAATCAAGTCTTTAAGACGTGCCCAGATCATGAAGAACTTCCAGTGCAGTCCTTATACCGCAAAGGTCTAGACATGCTTGGCAACGGCCAGCAGACTGGGTCTTACAGGCAAGAAGATCAAGTTCCTGTTGCACGCGAAGGAAAGTCGGCCGAACAGAAGCAGAGCACAAATCTGATTAAGATAAACCAGTCGTTCCTGACGGAAGAGGACGAAGCTTTCTTGGGAAAAAAGAACCTTGAAGAGAACGAGAAGCTGGAGTATGTTGAGGTACAGCAAGATGAAGAGGATGATGAAGAACAAGAGTATGCTGAGGAACAGGATAATGAAGAGGAATATGATAATAAAGAGGAGCAGGAAGATGAAGAGGAACATGAGGATGAAGTGCCACACGACAAAGAGGATGAGCAGGAGGATGAGATCCTTTACGTGCTGGTAAGATCATCTGTATCGCGTCGTGTAGTGCCCGGTACCGTTCGGTATTCCAGCACGCGTATCAACTCCACCACCCTCATCGTCAGCACGCTTGTGTTTTCACCGTCTTCTGTTGTATTTTTTTCTATTTTGTAATGCTTTGTATTTCGTTTTTTTCTTTTTGCTTTGCAGTGTCGTGAGTTTGTGACCTTTTTGTCGCCAAATTTATGGAGGTCAGAGGAGAAGTTAACAAACTAACCTCAGTGCATGATCACCAGGACTCTTCTGGTTGGGGAGTTAATAGGGAAATTAATCATCGCAAAGAATTGCAGTTCAGCTTCTCGTACAATTATTTATTTGGCGATCGTTTTCACGCAGATTGGTTATAGCTGGCAGTTTCGTGCCCCAGTTTAGTTCCATCTCGCTAAACCGTTAATAGGGTGCTATCTTAGGCTAGTGCTTTACTAGGGCTTAGTGTGGTAACAATTAAGGCTTATGCCGACCTAATATCAAAACTGTAATACGGTTAGTGTTAATGTGTTAATTGCTGTATTTTAGCAATACCGGCTCCCATCACTGTATACGTTGGCCCAAATTTCAAACAGGGCATGAACCTTCGCTCAGCCTCGTTCAACTGTCCCTTCCCTACCCCTGAAACCTCTAACCCAACTGCCCATTGCTCCAGATCGAGGAGAACACCCGCCAGCTGGAGAGGCTGGGAAAGATCCTGGAAGATCAGATCGACCACAGTGGACGAGGGGAGTCACCCTTCCCTCCAACGGGAGGTGGAGGATGGGGAGGACCCGTGGGTACGGGCATCTCCCGTGAGCGCCCGTCTGTCACCCGACGTTCGGCGGCCGCCGAGAAGTGGAAATTGAGCGCTCGTCGGGCGCTGCTCGAGTGGGTGCGCCAGCACGTCACTAAGTGAGTAACTAATTACTAGAGACTTTGTTACTAGGATTAGCTAGTAACTATTAACGGGGACCACTAGTTGCGAACGAAGGCTTGCCACTTACGTGGGGCGCTGCATGGTCATAAGATGTTGTTACTTGGGAGGTGTTAGTTTATTAGAGACGCTAGTCAATTGATGACGCTATTTATCTGATATTAATGACGCTATAGTTAGGGTATTTCCTCAGTGTTTGTTAATACTGCTAGTGCCGGTTTTTGTTTGTGGCTTTAATTAGTGCAAGTTGCTGGGTGTTGCTAGTGTTGTTTCGGGTTCACTGGGAAGATAACCGCTGGAGTACGGCTTCTCGTTCGGGCTAGTGACGTACACACGCTGGTAAAATGTCACGCTGCTACTTGTAACTAATTGTATCTATAACTGCAGCAACTGCGCATGGTGCAGTACTAACTCACACAGACCAGATGTATACCATGTATTATTATTTTTTCTTATATTTTGCTGCCTACCAATAACTCATTGGCCCAAGAATGATCATCTCCAACATTGTCATGCATAACACCATGTTACTCTACGATTTATTCGTAAGAATTTTTATTATCTAATCCAATGCTAATCACAGAGCGAATTTGGTCAAGGATTATAGGTACCCCCATTTAGGAACACCTATTTATCATATTATTTGACAATTTCGTGGTAATTTATTTCCATAGACGCTTCGGCATCGTCGTTAACGACTTCGGTGCGAGCTGGCGCGACGGGAATGCCTTCCTGGCGCTGCTGCAGTGCATCAACCCTCGTCTTGTCAACCTCCAGGTGAGGGGAGGTTAAGGGGAGACTTAAGCAGTGTTTTATTGTCACGCCGTTGCTGAGGCTTTCCTAATATCTCAAAAGTATCCATATTCCATATGTGTCTTGCTTGTATGCCGTACTATAAAAAGTAGTTGAGACTTCATGAATCGGTTGGCCACTGAAGCCTTCTTAAGTTAAACCCACCAATCACAGACGAGAAATCGGCCGCTACGTGTACTTTGACCGCTAAATGTGCGTAACGAGTTATGATAGTTACGGTCTCTGAACTTCAACTTCATGAGGAAGTATCTGAACTTTATTTATGAGGAAGTCTCTGAACTCCCTCCCCCCGACAGTCCATGGCGGGCGCCGCCCCCCGGGACCGTCTCGAGCTCGCCTTCAGACTCGCCGAGCGTCACCTCGGCGTGGCGCGACTGCTCGACGCTGAAGACGTCGACGTCGAGAAGCCTGACGAGAAGTCGGTGATGACCTACGTCGCCCAGTACCTGAACAAGTACCCTGAACCTGGCGTGTCCCCCGTCACGGTTAGTACTTGTTATTACCTCGAGAGTAGTACTAACTACATTGTACCATATAAAGAGTAATGCCATATTTATGGTACCATCTGCAGGGTGGATCCATATAGAGGTAGCAGGACCTGGTATAAAGCCATCCGTTACATGTCTAGGTATTCATTTGTCTCATTTATGTATTTACATACCATATGTAGGTAGTAACGTAACATGTATAACTAGTAACATACCATATATAGGTAGTAACGCTCGTACCATAAATAGGTTGTGACGTATCATGTATAAGTAGTAACGTACCATATATATTGGTAGTAACGTCCAATTTATAGGTAGCCGCGTACAACGTATTGATTGTCACTTACCAGCCGAAGGTTATCAACTACCGTATTCTGGTTGTCACTCTATCATTTTTATGTTGTCGCTTTCCCTTTGTAGGTTATCAAGTATCATTTATTGATAGTTGCGTACTATCTTTTGGTTGATAACGTTCAATTTGTGGGTATCCGTGTACAATTTATTGGCTGTCACTTACCAGCCGAAGGTTTTCAAGTACCATATTTTGGTTGTCACTCTATATCATTTTATGTAGGCGCGTACACTTGATAAGTTATGTAGATTGCGTACTAAGTTTTGTTTGTAACATACCAATTGTAGTAGCGCCAGTATACCATAATCCCCACCTGAAACAGCTGGTGTGCACAAGTCCCACCCTGGGTGGTGGGGAACACCTGTCGCAGGTGGAGCTGGAGTACAGCGAGCTCACCACCTGGCTGGACCACACTGCCAGCTGGCTCACCACTCTGCACCAACCGCAAACTCACGGCAACATCAACTATGAGGTGAGAATCACCTATATCATCGTGAGTGATTATCCTGCACCACTTTGCAACATCCACCCAAATACCTGCAACCGTCACTATCAGCACCACAACCAGCAGTACCACTATCTCCACAGTACCACTATCTCTTTGCCATCACTATGTGACCAGACATCCACGTCCTTAACATCAATGATGGCCACCTGTAGCGGAACGCCTGCCACTAACTTATTAAAAGCACCTTAAAAGATTGACAATAAAAGGCAGCGTTTTCCAGTTCACCACTGAGGTCTCAAAACTCTTTATTTATTCAACACCGCTGACACTACCACCGCCCCACCCCTATTAAAAAAACACCAACACCGCCACCCCAACTAAAAAAACACGAACACCACCGCCCTAACACCGCTAACAACACCACCACTAACACCACCAATAACACTACCATCACTACCACCACCACCATCACCACTAACACCACCACCACTAACACCACCACCACCGCCACCCCTAACACCACTTTCATCACAGAGGTTCGCGTCGCTGCAAGGCGAGGCGCTGGAGAAGCGGCAACTTTACGAGCGTCTCAAGGAGCTGGTCGAGTCCCAGTCGTCCGTGGTGTGCATCACTCAACAGTCCTGGCGGGACATCACTCGGGCCTGGGACAACGTGAGTCAACATCTATGATGCTTGAAACATCAATGATGCTTGGTACTTATTAATATGAGTTATGCCTGCGAACGCTTTAGAGCTTATATTATATTATACGTATAGGTTATCGCCTACCCTTTGTAGGTTATCACGTAGAATGACTTTTAAATGTCTTAGCTTATAAGGCCTCAACTATAGTTAAGATGAGTTATAAACTCGTAATTATTTACGATAGTACGGCCCCAAGACTAGTTATTAACAGCGGTTAATCCTTATGGATGCACTGAACCCTTGTTACTCCAAAACGCCCCAGGTCTGGCAGTCCAAACCTGGGGCGGCAGTCCAGACCTGTTTTGGAGCGGCAGTCCAGACCTGTTTTGGAGCGGCAGTTCAGACCTGTTTTGGGACGGCAGTCCAGACCTGTTTTGGGGCGACAGTCCAGACCTATTTTGGGGCGGCAGTTCAGACCTGTTTTGGGGCGGCAGTCCAGACCTGTTTTGGGGCGGCAGACCAGACCTGTTTTGGGGCGGCAGTCCAGACCTGTTTTGGGGCGGCAGTCCAGACCTGTTTTGAATACCCCGTCTCTATGCCCCGTCTCTATGCGTCGTCTCTATCCCCGTCTCTATGCGCCGTCTCTATGCCCGTCTCTATGCCCCGTCTCTATGCCCCGTCTCCATGCCCCGTCTCTATGCCCCGTCTCCATGCCCCGTCTCCATGTCCCACCAGGTCGCCAGCAGTCTGAGCCTCAGCATTGGGGAGCACAAGGAGTTCTTCGGGCAGCTCGAGGAGGTCACCAGGAAATTTGAGGCCCTCGCATCCCCAGGAGGAAGCAACCTCCCCCAGCAGCAGCTTCACGCCATGAGGGTCAGACTCAATACCCTCGCCCCTAGGGCGGCCCTCAGGAAGATCCATCTGCAGTACCTCGAACACAAGGTACCGTACCTGCAACACCTGCAGTAGCAGGAATATTGCTTAGGTAACACAGTAATTGTTTACTGCAACCCCCATTACCCACTAATGGGTTACCGTAACCCCCATTACCCACTAATGAGTTGTCCCATCCTGCAGCACTGCCTCATCCACACCCCCCATCACCCACTAATGACCTACCACACCCTCATTACCCACTAATGGCGGTCCCACTCACCAGTACTGCCTGATCGCGTTCCTGATCCTGGTGGAGGCGCGGCTGAAGGCGTGGGCGGTGAAGTACGGCGGGGCGGAGGAGGTGGACGTCGTCCTGCAGGAGTACCGCGCCTTCGTGGGCGCCCGCAACCTCTTCCAGGAGTTCGAGCGCGCCTTCCAGGAGATGCAGGCCGTGTCCGACGCCTACAAGAAGGACCCGAGCCTCAGTGAGTGCGCCTCGTGGCCTCAGTAAGCCAATATTGTGGTCTCAGTGAGTCTTATGGTTGCAATACGTGCGTCTTGTGGCCTCAGTTAGTGTGCATTGTGGCCTCAGTGAGTGCGCCTTGTGGCCTCAGTGATTGCGCCTTATGGTCTCAGAAAGCCAATATTGTGGCCTCTGTGAGCCTTGTGGCCTCTGTGAGTGAGCCTTTTGGCCTCTGTGAGCCTTGTGGCCTCTGTGAGTGAGCCTTTTGGCCTCTGTGAGCCTGGTGGCCTCTGTGAGCCTTGTGGCCTCTGTGAGCCTGGTGGCCTCTTTGAGCCTGGTGGCCTCTGTGAGCCTTATGGCCTCTGTGAGCATGGGAGCCTCTGTGAGTGAGCCTTTTGGCCTCTGTGAGCCTTGTGGCCTCAGTGAGCCTTTTTAGCCTCTGTCAGCCTTGTGGCATCTGTGAGCCTTTTAGCCTCTGTCAGCCTTGTGGCCTCTGTGAGCCTTTTGGCTTTAGCGAGGAAGATTTATTGCAGCTGTGTACCTCCTTCGTGCGTACCTTCTGTGTACCTTCTGTTCCAACTGTTCCGCCCTAGTAACTATTTCCCCTACCTCGCATCAGCTCCTAACTCTTGCAACTAGTTCCCAATCTGTAACTAGTTCTTACTCTCCCGTAATTAGTTCCTCATCGCCGCGACTAGTTCCTCATCCGCCTCATGACTAGTTCTTTGCCTCCGCAACTAGTTCTTCCGCCCCCACAACTAGTTCTTCCGCCCCCGCAACTTCTTCCTCCGCCCCCGCAACAAGTTCTTCCACCACCGCGACTAGTACCTCCACTCGCGAAACTAGTCCCTTCCCCTTCACCCCTGAAACTATTTTTTACACCCCAAGTACAACATTCTTTAACCCCGCAACAAACGGGGTTAAAGGGGGATGTAGTTCCTACATCCCCGCAACTAGTTCCTCCGCTCATGCAACTAGTCTTTCCACCCGCCCAAATAGTTCCTCCACCTCAACCCCCACCAGACAAAGCTGACATTGAAGGCATCACCAAGTTTCTGCTGGAGACAAACGAGCGCTGGCGGAATATCTCCGTGGAGTTGCGGTGCATCCAGTCCCTCCTGGAGGAGGTGCTGTCCTACTGGCGCCGCTACGACGACCTCGCTACGCTCCTTAGGGAGTGGCTCCTCAAGGCGGGGCGTATGATCAACGTCCCTGAGGCAGAAAAAAAGGCGTTCTTCCAAGTAGGCAAATGATAAATATCCATGAAACAGGAAAAGGGCTTTGCTTTTCTTTATTTATTAAAAAAATGGTAGTCGCCTTTGAAATAGAAATAAAAAAATACAGCGTAGAAAACGAATAGAATATTTGTTCAGCTGAAATGCTAGCTAGCTCACGTCACGCTATATTTCTAAAAGGTTGATTTGCTGCGATTTTGACAAGCTGACACACTGAGGTAGCGTGCCAGCATGCTAGGCTGCTGACATGTTGAGTGATAATGTGTTGACATGTTGCCGGCAGGACTTGGGTGATTGGCAGGAGCGTCGGCAGCAGCTGACGGAGGTCGCTAATTTCCTGACGGCGACGTCGCGGGCTGACGTCGCTCAGAACATCAAGCGGACGCTGGACGAACTGCAGTCGTCTTGGAATAGCGTCTTCATGGTACGTCTGAGGGTGAGGGCAACCCTCACTAGTTAGGGGGTGAGGTTAACCCTGCTGGTGGTGGGGGTTACTACATACACGTGTGTAATGTAATTCCAATAAGAGCAGGAATTTTACCAGAACCAGTCCCGCATTCTTGGAATCTAGGCCGGTAACATTTGCCTCGCCACCATCAAGTGCAGTAAAAAATTCCTAACGCGTGCCTCGCCCCAAGCACGCGCAGCAATACCTCCTAACACTTGCCCCGCCCCCAGGAAGCGCAGCAATACCTCCTAACACTTGCTTCACACCCAGCACGCGCAACAATACCTCCTAACACTTGCTTCGCCCCAAGCATGCGCAGCAATACCTCCTAACACTTGCCCCGCCCCCAGGAAGCGCAGCAATACCTCCTAACACTTGCCCCGCCCCCAGGAAGCGCAGCAATACCTCCTAACACTTGCTTCACTCCTGCAAGCGCGGCAATACTTTTTAACGCGTGCCCCGCCCCCCAGCACACGCAGCGGCAGCAATACCTCCTAACACTTGCCACGCCCCTGCAAGCGCAGCAATACATTCTAAAGGCCCGTTTACACTAGGGGCAACGACATGCGCGGTGAGGCGTTTGCAGCAGTGCCTCACCGCGCAAAACTGTTCACACTACTTTTGTACGCGGTGAGACCGCGGCGCGCTTTGAACACTAATTGCAACCTAGACGTCAGTGAGGATATATGCTACCGAATTTGAGTTGTTGGCCATTGTTCTCGGGTGTGCTGCGGTTAAGAAAAGTATACAGTGTAATTGTTTGTGGCCATTGAATCCATCTCTATTTATTATAAAATGCTATGCGGCGAGACATTTTTATTGTAATAAACACGAAGTCAGTCATTCTTTGCACTATGCCAGTTGTAAACGAGAATTTAGCATAGTCATCATAATTAGAAAACAAGCGTATTCAAAAAGATACAGTTTATGAAAAAAATACTCTATTGTTAAATAAAAAGTTCCAATATTCGTACCAATATTATATCATCCTTTCAAATTGCTAAACGGTAATGCATAAATTGTCAGGAGTAGCTAAAATCACATAAACTAAACACGTCATATAATAATAACTTACATCATTTACATTTCAATTTTTGTACCTTTGACCGAACACTCCATAGGCATTCATGTTCTCTATAAAGATCAATCAGGCTCTCTACTAGAGAGTGACTCCAAACGAGCGTGGTGTTAGTCGACATTTGGTGTGACGGACCAGCGTACTCAATCAACCTCATTAGACCACAGGCAGCTATCTACCAAGTGCCGCGCTTGTGTTGCATGAAGCATGGCCCCTGTCAATCGCTAGATCGTCAATCGGTTCGTTGCACACAAGAAGCGCATGTAGAGGCTGCGCAGAGGGACGTTGAGGCACTTGACTCCCGTGTGTTGCCCCTAGTGTGAACGGGCCTTAACACTTGCTTTGCCTCTGCAAGCGCGACAATACTTTTTAACGCTTGCTCCGGCCCCAGCACGCGCAGCAATACCTCCTAACGCGTGTCCCGCCCCCAGCACGCGCAGCAATACCTGCGTAGCGGGCAGCTGCAGCGCACGCGCGATGATGTCACGTCCGGGCAGCGGCGGCTTCACGACTGGCTGGCTGCCGCCGACCTCCTCCTGGCTGCCCCTGTCCCCTGCACGCTCCCCCACCTGCGGGGGTGTGGGAGTCAGCTCGAGGTGAGGGGTTAGGGGTTACGGAGAGTCATATCTTCATAGAATAAATAATTGAATAAAAATGGATAACTAAATAAATGAATGACTCCCTCTCTTACCTGCGGTGGCGTGGGTATGAGAGGTACCCTATGAGATGCGGTCGGTAGTTGGGTATGAGTTGGAATGACGTTTGAGTTGTTGGAGGAGGGGTATGAGATGGGGTAGAAAGGGTGAGATGGGTGGTGGAGATGCGTGTTTTTGTGAACTGGAGCTCAGTTCATCGGCTGACATGACGGCCTCTAAAGAATAAATCTTATAACCTCTGGAATCACGTTGAAATTACAATAACTCAAACGCTGTCAACGCCGTTTGGCGAAGGAGGGGTGGGGGTGTCTTTGTGGACTGAGGTGCTAGAGGAGGACTTCTAGAATCTTGGAGCTTATAGCACCTAGAGAGCTCTTAGAGTATCAGCCTTAGAGTACTTAAGACTAGACTGATAGTCCTGAGACGTACCAAAGGCTGAGACTCTTAACAGATGGCTCATGGTTGTTCCAAAGACCGTCTACAGATGGCTCATGGTTGTTCCAAAGACCGTCTAGTTATGGCTGGTTGTTGTTCCAAAGACCGTATACAGATGGCCCTAAGTTATTCCCAAGCCAGATGGCACTTTAGCACTCCACCACCTGCAGACCTTGAGCGCGGAGGTGGTGCAGATGGAGGAACTGCACCGGCAAGTCTCCACCAGCCTCCACCAGCTGGCGCACCACCTCAGCCCTGAGGAGGTGTCCTCCATGACGCACCAGTTGCGGCGCACCAAGGAGCAGCTGGTGCGCGTGCGTGACGCCATCCCACACAAGACGCATGCCCTCACACAGGTGGGTCAGGCTGACACATGTGTGCCATACAAGTGACTCATACTGTGTGTTGTGCCGGTGGTTCTTACTGCCCTGGCTCCTATGTTCCCCACTGGCCCTGACCCCTTGTCACCCCACAGGCCTTGACCCTCATGCACCCCTCAGGCCCATAAGCCCTATGTTCCCCACAGGTCCTGAATTTCGTTCCCATGTCCCCCACAGGTCCTGACCACCTTATCCCTATATCCTCTCGCAGGCGCTGACGCAGGTGGAGGCAGTGGGCGGAGGGGTGGAGGAGGTGGGGCGGTGGCTGGACCAGGCTGAGGTGCTGCTCAAAGGATTCGCACCGCACGGCACCAAGGATACGATCCTGCAGCAGCTGCAGCAGCACAAGGTGGGCGCAGCAGCTGCAACAACAGCGAAACACTTTTATAATTCAACGTGGATTGCACCGTTGACGATACCTTTGACCTACCATTCACTCTGTCTTTAACTGTACCTTTGAATGTACCTTTTACTTTCTCTTTGACTATACCTTTGACTTTGTCTTTGACTATACCTCTGACACTGTCTTTCATTGTACCTATGAATGTACCGTTAATTATGTCATTGGCTGTACCGTTGCTGGTTTTTGCAGACATTCTTCAGCCGGCAGTTGTACTTCAAGTCGATGCTTGACGCCAAGAATCGCGCGTACCGCAACCTCGTGCAGACCTCCGGCGGAGGAGACCACTTAGACCTCGCCCTGCTAGGGAGCACTATGGACAACCTCAACGAGAGGTGGGAATGGGAGTAAAAAAGGGGTGAAAGAAAGGGTTTAAAAACGTGGGATTTGTGGTGTTTGATGAGTTTAGGGATGGTGGCGTCTATTATACGTTAGGTGGCGTCTATTATACGTTACACGTTAGATTGTCTTTTGAGCTTGAGCGACATGTCAATCAAATCTCACATACGACCCCAAAATGTCACTCACGTGTGATGCATGTCACTTGTGTGTCACCCAAATTTCACCTTCATATGTCACTGTCATATGTCACACTCGTCTCTCCCGTTTCATACACGCGTAAACCTAACGTTATAATGTCACTTAAGCCTCACCGACATGTCTATCAACATTTCACCCTCTCCCGTATCATACACGCGTCACCCAAATGTCACCCACACGTCCCCAACAAATCACTTATAGTCTCTGTCATCTCTGTCACGTGCGTAGGTTCGAGGCAGTGTCGCGCAGCAGCCGCGAGTGGGGAACCCGCATGGCTGACAGCCTGCGGTGCTGGGAGAGCTTCAGGGAGAGCGAGGCGCGGGTGGCCGCATGGCTGCAGGAGGCCGAGGTCCTCTACCAGCAGAAGGAGGTCACCTCCGTCGAAGACCTCGAAAAACACAAGGTGAAAAACTATTACTGATATCTGATATTTAAAAATCGTTTCTTGGTTCAATCAACGTTAATTCAACGTTTTTTGCAACGTCCTTTGCCTGGTGCAGAGGTGCTGAAATTGCGGTGAAGGGACACACCGGGAAGCACATCCAAATTTCCAAAAATCTCAGATAAGAACAGAAAACAATCCTTTCCATGACCGATTTTTTAAAATCGCAGGCAAAAATGTGCCATTTTTAAAAATTCCTATAAACAAAAATAACGCAAGGACTATGGGAACAGGTGAAATCAACCAAAATATGGAGGAATTGTTGTTCGTGGCACCGACGTCTACGAATGCTCGGTTGGAGCTCTAATTTACGCAGCTAAAGGGTGATTGGAAGAGGAGGGATGTTAAGAAGAAAAGGGTTAGAGGTTCAGAAGGCAGCCCTCTTCGCGGGGCTTTCTCGCGTTTACGAAACAAGAATGGCCGTTGAATTGGAAGGAAAGTGTTTTTGGATGGATTATAGCTTACTATTAGCTTCATACGTCATACTTTATTTGAGCAGGCTTTGCTTGTGAAGCGCTTCATTACAAACTAGAAAGATGCTAGGCAACTCTAGTGGTCTGTGTTTGGTTGGTTAAGCGTCATTGCTGTTGGACGGAAGACATGGAAGACGGAATACTTGTCTTCTTGCCGACGGTATTTCTCGGCAAGAAGTAAGAAAGAAAGATGGTCACCAATATCGAGTTTTTCATCGTGGACATTTGCCGTTGAAGAGACCGCTTGATTGCTTCGTAAGAGCTGGCCGATGAGATGCCGACCTCTGACAGAGTGGCAAATAATTGTCTTTATAATTGTCCTTTATGGGACTTTACCCTCTGGGGGAGGGCAGATGTGAGCCAGGGAAATTGGGGTGTGTCATACATTCCATCTGGGATATAAGATACATCCCACTAAGACACCTGGGGTAACCGCGAACAGGGATAAACAATGTTGATAACCATGTTGATGTTCTTGACGATATTGTTTTGAACGGTCATTTGATCTTAATGTCTAGAGATTTTGATGTACATTTTGATTTGTCATCGATGCGGATACCCTTTGCCGCGTGCTTAAGACGCTGGTATCGTCGCAGGACTTCTTCATCGAGGCGCCCCAGGAGCTGCTGCAGGCGGTGTGGGTGTCGGGGCAGGAGCTGCAGCAACACCTCCCCACCCAGCAGGGGGAGGCTATAGATGTGGCCGTCACCTCCCTCAGGACGCGCTGGGATGATGTACTGGGGAGGGCTCCTCTGCACCTCCTCCAGGTGGGTCCTGGAGTCTCTATTCCTTCCCCAAAAGGTGGGGTTTGGTGGTATCGGAAGAGACTATTTATGTGACCACAGAAAGACATACTCCTAATTCCTAACAGATACAATTTAGGCTGGAGGAGAGCAAATTTCAAATGTACCCATCCTCGATACTTATGGAATTCAAGCTGGAAAAGAACATGTTCCATATGTACCGTTACCCAAACAGATGAAGTTCAGGCTGAAACAGAATACCTTCCATATGCACCCTTTCCCCAAAAAATTGTACTTCAGGCTGTAATACAATTTTTAGTACAATTGTAGTACAAAATACATAAAGACACTTCCATATGTACTCTTTTTTTCCTCACCAATGGACTTCGGGCTGGATTACACATTTCATTTGTACCCTTCTTTCACAGATGGAGTTCAGGCTGGAGGAGAACACCTTTCATATGTACCTGAGGGACGTGGAGCAGGAGTTGCTGGGGGAGCAAGGCGCCCTAAGCAAGGCCGACCATGTGGACGCGCTCAGACGGCGACATGAGGCACGTAATGCATATCTCTCGCATCTCGAGTATTTCTTACTTATCTCACGTAACCTCTATGTTCATAAATGGACCAGTAATCAATTTCTATTATTCATTGGATTTTTTCAATTTATTAACTATTGACAACTCTTTCCTCAGCATCTTGTAACCGATAGTAACGTGTCCAACCTCGTTTGTAACGCTTTCAAAATCAGTCGTAACGCGTTAGTCTAAACACGTTTCTAACGGGTAGGAACACATTAGTAACGCGTCAGTCTAAGCTCTTTGTTATCGCATTGAAAATCATTTGTAGCGCGTCGGATTAAACGCGTTTATAATGCGTTCGTAACGTGTTGATGTGCGCGCAGGAATACTTCGACGCAGAATTGATGGGTAAACTGCGATCCATCCTCGACAACATCAAGTCCCTGGGGGAACAGTATGCCCTCAAGGTGAGCCTGGAGGAGCCCTTAAGGTGAGGCTGGGGGAGCCCTTAAGGTGAGGCTGGGGGACACCATAAAGGTGAGGCTAGGGGAGCTCTTAAGGTGAGGCTGGGGGACACCATAAAGGTGAGGCTGGGGGAGCCCTTAAGGTGAGGCTGGGGGAGCCCTTCAGGTGAGGCTGGAGGAGACCTTAAGCTGAGGCTGGGGGAGTCTTAGGGGTGAATAATGCTGGGTTGTCGTTGGGGTGACTTCTGTCTTGGAAAGTTTAAGGCATCATATAGGGCTGGTTCACATCATCACTTTAGCACCAGGTGTTAGCTGCTAAAAACTCATTATTGCAATAAATAAGCAGTTTTCACTTTGTTCCTGTTTATTATTTATATTAAGATAATTATTCAGGTAATTCAATACAAACAGAATTATTCTAGACTCATTGTTAAAATTACATGTATGAAGTCACGCGTTACGAAGAAGGCATGGCAATAACATTAACAATAACAATGAAGAACAATAACAATGATGATAATGATGGTCAAACACAAGACGACATCCCTTTAGAGACGACAAGGATAACGACGATGATGATGGCCATGTGCCGGAACAAAATATTCCCATTACGATGATAAAGATGATGGTGGTCAGTGGCCTCGTGTCTGTACAGAAGAACATTTCCCTAAAGTTTATGATGATAACGGCGATGATAATGATGACAACGATGATAATATCGACGACGATAATGATGACAACAATGATATCGATATGGGCGATGATAACGCTAAGGACGTCGACGATAATGATGACGGTGATGAAAATGATAACACCCACGGTGACAGTGACGATGATGATGGTCAGGTACCGGGGGACACGAGCCTGGGGGAGGACGTGGGCCGCTGTGAGGCCCGGTGGACGGTGGTCCTGGAGAGCATCGAGGCCATGCGAGGCCATCTTCAACAAATTCCACAGCACTGGCGGCAGTACGAGGCCAGGTGAGGCCATTTTAGAGCCAAATGAAGCCATCGTTGCCTTGTGTAGTATAGCCTAGCCGTGTCAGCGATTAGGCCAGTAGACCTGTCCCCGATTTTTAACATTGAAGAATATTCGCATCTTTTTGCGGTCTTGAACACGCAGTTCAGTGCTTCAATTTAACCGGCAGGTCACTTCGCCAATCTGAACAGAACTGTCTCAGGTAGCTGGGATTGAACCCGCGCCTTTCTGCTCTAATCCTGGTACTCTGAACTGCAACCACTGGGCCAATCTGCCCCGTGGCCATTTTAGGCCTATTGGCCATTCTAGGCCAATTGGCCATTTTAAGGCCAATTGAGAGGTAAGGGTAGTAGCTGGTGCTCAGGGTTTGCACAAGTTTTTGCGGCCGTCCGCTATTTTTTTCCAGCGTCTCTAATTTCCTTCTCAACGTCCATCGTCCTGCAGGGTTGAGGAGATGGTCACTTGGATGGACGCGGTGGACGAAGCTTTGGCTGCCGCCACGGGCGACGCTAACACCGCCCTCGCCTGTGACGCTCATCGGGCAACCCTGATGGTGGGCGATTAAATATTATGAAACATTATGACACAAATAATTTTTATAATAAATGGAACAACTTGTGCTTACTGTTCATGTGTGTCTCAGGCTAAAATAGAATTTTATATGTGTGAGGCAAATATTTTTTCTCGAATGTAGTTAAGTTTAGTTTGAAGTAGCACTAGCAATCCATTCGGACCACCACTGACTATTAAACGCGAATAGACCATTAAATGCGGTAGGATGACCACTGACCGTTTTACATTTAGACTTTCTGTTTAGTAGTTTAGTACAATAAACAACCAGACTACCAATTGATTTATCTGAATTTGATAGTCACTACCAGATATTTAGCTGATTATTTGGTGGATAATCAACTTCAAAAACTGTTTAAGAACCGCAAAAAATTGGGGCGTTAGCATGGTTGCGGGATATCAAAACTAAATACGAGATTCCTAAGCGGTTTACCTGGTAAGATATTCACCAATCATACCTTATTGAAATTTAATAAGAGATTACCAAGTGGGAGTTTTTTGCCTCCACCAGGGCTTGGCCAGCGGCATGGAGGCGCGTCGGGAGTCGATGAAGTGGTTGGTCCAGAAGCTCGACTCGCTGTCGAACCTCGTGCCCTCAGAGGACGGGCGGTACGAACAGCAGAAGCTTGAGTCGCTGGTGGCGCGATACAAAGCCCTAGTGCCAAACATTGAGACTGCAGCGGCACGAGCCGACGTTTTGAGCAAGTGTTTCCTCTACAGGGAGGATATCAACACCGTCATCGAGACTCTAAGTGAAGTGAAGCGCCATTGTGACCGAAACTCCGTGCCCGACAATCTTGAGGTTATCCATCAGCTTGTCAAGGAGCAGGATGTACTCGTAAAGCAGCTCGAGGAGCAGCGACACAACATCTTCGAGACCCTCCAGAGGGGTAAAGACCTCTCAAAGGATCCGGCTGCTCCTCTTTTCGTCAGCGGGCTTGTGCAGACGCTGGAAGCTCGCTGGAACGAAGCCTACAATGGATCCGTGGAGAAGCTGAATAAGCTAAAGAATACACGTAAGGTTTGGTCCGATTATTCCGACCAGAAGAACGAGATCCAAAAACTGCTTTCACAGGCCGAGGCTGAGCTCTCTCAGGTTGTCCAAAAAAATAACCCTCAGGAGGTCGCCAACGAACTCAGCCACAAGCAGGAGATGAATGAACACCTCAACGACGCCACCGATCAGATGATGAGGAAACTGAACAGCTTGTCGGCAAGCCTTGCCGAGCTGTCCCGTCCGGAGAAGAAGCCGCTCCTGAAGAAGGAAGTAGAGGAAATAGAACGGCGTATGCAGACTGTCATTGAAACGGTTACGGAAAAAATTGCATTCCTCGAGCAACTGGACTCCAAATGGAACAACTTCACCGGAGCGCTGACGGAGCTCAAGAAGTGGGTGAGTAACGCACAGGAGCTCCTAGAACGGCTGGTCACTCTGGACATGAGCCCAGAAGATCGTGCCGAACAGACGGAAAAACTGAAGAATAATCTTGTCGAGAAAATGGCTGTGATAAAGACACTGGAAGAAGACGGACTGGAGCTGCTGGAAGGAGAGCCCTGTGATGACTCACTGCAATTTACCTCGGATCTCGATAAGCTGAAAGACTCGATGTCCACCTTGACTCAACACACCAACAAGCATGAGCTCACAGTCCGAAAGGAACTCGTGTCCTGGAAGAAATTCCAGGTTCAGGTTCAGGATATCCGTCCCTGGATAGAAGAAGCTGAAGTGAACGTAGCCGTCGGGCTGACCAAACCATCATCTCTGCATGAGGCCATCCAGCAATCCAAGACCACGAAGGAGTTTGAGAAGAAGTGCGATGAGTACCTCGGCAAGATCAAAAACGTTACGTCAGAAAGCGCACAGGTTCCTCGTTTGGGATCCATCAGGGACGAGATGGACGCCCTCCACTCTCGCTGGGCTGCCATACATGACGTGGTGGTGCAGTGGAGTGAGAGGACCGAAAGCCTCGTTGCTGAGTGGGAGGACTTCAACTACAAGTGCGATGCGGTCACCTCCTTCATCCACCAAGTCGAGGAGCGGCTCGAGACAGTGAGCGAGTTTTCCCCGAAAATTCTGAGCCTGGATGACCGAATTGAGAACCTCAAGGAAATGTCACAGGAAATCTCCGAAAATCAAAATAGCATGATCAACATAACTGCCACGTCTGAACACATCGCCTCTGCCCTCAATGCCGAGGGTGCTGCGGCTGTTAAAGCCTCAATATCTGAGCTCAAGACGTCGCTGAGCAGACTTACTGAAGAGGTCATGAAGCTGAAAAACGAGCTTTCTGATGTTGTTATCATGAAGGAGGAATACACATGCAAGCTCAATTCACTGGAGACTTGGCTCAACCGCTTCAGCAACAAACTCGACGATCTCGATGACATCGATATTGACGAACTCGACAACCTGCCTGACTTACTCCACTCTCTCCAGCAAGAGCACGACGACCGCCAAGTTCAGGTAACTCAGCTGGCCGAAGAGTGTCGTGACGTTGGAGAACGATGCACGGGTCGTGACAGGGAAGATTTCTACCAAATGTTTGATGATAGTGAGTCGCGTTATGAACGTTACGGCAGTCTGATACAGTCCAAGAAACCCGCCATTGTTAAGTGGAAGGAGCTGTGGGACTGGCAGCTCAGTTCCTACGATACACTTAACTCTATCAGGCAGCAGCTTGACAATAAGCTTTCCCTGGATGAGTGCACGCAGATCAGCAAAGAACTGACGTCAGTCAGCGAGCAGTGCCGTGCTTGGGAGGAAGAAGCTGAGAACATCAAAGAGTTGTGTAAGAAAAGTTCAACTACCATCAGGGATCCTGAATCCGGACAGCCCTTAGAGGTTGAAGAGCAGATAGAGAGCGTCAAAAAGAAGATAAACGCCGCAGAAAATGTTCTGGAAGGCAATCGAAAACAGCTAATGGAGCTTAGTTCTCAGTGGGAGTCGTTCAACCGAGTCAAAAATCAAATCAATAACTTCTTATCAAGCACCTCCAATAGGTTCGCCGGTAAAGACCAAGCGTTGAGCAGCCATGGTGCAGTGCAACGTGTGCTGGACCAGGTCGAAGTTGCTCTCGAGGACTTGCAGTCTCAGACTAAAAATAAAGAGAAACTTCATGACTTAGGCAGGGAGCTCATGTTGAATGATCCTACCCAGCTAGTGGCAGTGCAGAACGCTCTCACAGCCGCTGACGGGGCATGGGACAGGACCCAGAACAACCTCTACGAGCTGCAGACAAAGTACACGAGCATCTCGTCGTTATGGGAGCAGTGCAATGAATTGCAGAAAGAGCTTGCGGATGCCATTGAGGTAGCCAAAAAAGAAACTGAAAAGCTGCAAGGTGCCCCCAGTGATTCAGCGGCCGTGCAATCCATGGTAAACATCGCCAGAAAAGCAGTGGAAGCACTGAAGAAAACGAGGCAATCGCTGGAGAACTATTCATCCAAATCACAGCATTTGAGGCAGCAACTGGAAAACGTGGAGTCCACAAGTACTGCCGAGGTAAAGGAACTTGCTAGCAAGATTCAAACAGACTGGCAGAAAACCCTTGACAGTCTCGTGCAACGCAGTCAGACTCTGGAAGGCCTTCATGTTCTCTGGAAACAGATTTCTCAGAGCCGGGATGAAATCTTCATGTGGCTTAACGAAACATGTGCTTCACTTGATGACAGGAAGCTGCTCGAAGACCCTGAAAAAGCCATGGAGCAGCTGGAAAAATACAAGGCTGACTTGCCCACGCATGAGAGTTTGTTTAAGAATTTGAAAAGTAGAATTTCTCAACTGGAATCATTGAATGGTGGAAGGTCAATTCCGGTAGCAAATGGAATAATAGGCACTTTGACCACGGAATTCGACCAGACTCATTGTGCCTACTCCAAACTCTCGTCATATTTAGAAGAGATGAAAGACCAAGAGACCTCGATCTTTGACGAGATTAAAGATACCTCGGAAACCCTAATCCAGCTGCGCGATCGTCTGATGAAGTGTGACGACGTGACAGGTGATGACCAGAAGATTCTCGACAGATTCGAAGTGGCTAAACAGATTGAAATTGACACCAATGAAATCGCTGGATCAATTATCGATATCATGAGTCAAATCGAAGAACTGCAGTCCAATTTCGCGGGTTGCGATATCAAGAGGTTACACAAAGACTACGCTGGCTTATCTAAAAAGCAGCAAGCGCTCGTCAATCAGTGCAACAAGGTGTGCACAACTTTGGAAAGCTCCATAGAGAAGCATTACCAAGATAAACTTGATGACCTCATGAGGTTTATTGCTGTCCACCAAGAGAAGCTTGAGTGGTGCCAACCTGAGCCTGGTACTGATCGTTATGGAATCGAAGCTAAACTGGCGACGTTGAGAGAAGCCAAGACTACCCTGGCGACTGGTCAGACCAAGCGGGCATCAATAATTGAGTCCAAGCCTTTAGCAGATCATGTAATACCTCTTGACATGAGGGAAAAGTTTGACGCAGGATTCAACAGCACGATCAATGAGCTGGACGAGCTCGCGGTTAAGTTGCAGAAGACAGAGATTTTGTTAGAGAAATCGTTGAAGCTATGGCAGGCGTACGAGAAACTGACGGAGTCACTGAGCACGTGGCTGAAGGAGGCAGAGGGCATCGTCAGGAATGAGTCTTCAAATCTGATCGACTTGGATGATATTGAAGATAAGATTGAAGAAATAGATGACTTGACAAGTGACGTTGAGGATCGCGAAGAAGAGATGAGCCGCGTTTCCCAGCATGTCATGGAGATCCAAAAATTAAACCCTGATAGCAAGGCTAAGGAATTGTCGAATGTTCTCTTCAATCGGCTACAGAAAGTCAAAAATTTCTGTTCCACATATTCCAGTCAGCTTGAGCAGTTGCAGAGAAACAATATTCTCTATAATTCATCACTTGAAGAAATGCGGACTTGGCTCGACAAATCAGAAGATAAACTTAAATCTTTCGAAACGATGTCCATCAGTGGGGGCAAACCGTCTGTGGCGTACCAAGCCAAGCTGCAGAGTCTCAAGGAATTCGTATCCGAGAAGAAGGAAGGACAAAAATTGCTAAACGCTGTGGTAGAGCGTGGTGAGTCGCTCTTTTCTTCCATCTCCCCTTCAGGAAGAGAAAATATTAGGGTGGATTTGAGAAGCTTACGGGACACCTGGGAGTCACATCTGGAACGTGTTAACCAACTCTATAAGCACGTTGAGACGATCATCATGCAGTGGTCTTCGTTCGACGACAACCTTAACCAGGCCATGCGATGGATGGATGAGATGCAAGAGAAGGTAGATGCACCTTTTACTTATAAGAAGACCCTGTCAGAAAAGAAGAGTCAGTGTCAGCAGTACAAGTTACTCTTGCAAGAAATCACATCTCACGAGACCATGGTTTTCGGACTCAAGGATAAGATGATGTTTTTGTCAGACGAAGATGTGTCTAAGGCCGTTGACACTCTAATAGAGCGGTACCAGGAGGCGTTGTCTAACTGTGAAGAGCTTATTGAATCCAGTGAAAAATATGTCAATAATCACGAAAAGTTCCTGCATGATATTGAAGCATTCCGGGATTGGTTAAAGCTGCAAAGCAGTGAACTCGCCACCTGTGCTGTGGTCAGCCCAGACCACCAAGACGTAGAGAACAAAATGGCCGTTTTGGAAACTCTAGAGACTGCCCTGCCGGATGGCCAAGCTTTGCTAGAGGAATGTGAGGCTTCCCTCGAGAAAACCTTGGACAACACCGCACCAAATGGCCACGAGGGCATCAAAGAAGAGCTCGATGCACACAAGAAGACTTGGCACTCGCATCGAACTGAAATAGAGGAGCGGCGCACCGCAATTGGGGAGGTGATGTCGCAATTCTACGACTGTGAAGAAGCGGTGGAGGAGCTACGGGAGTGGCTAAAAACTGTCGAGACGAAAGTTAAAGATCAGAGTCTGAAGAGTACATTGGAAGCCAAGGAAGCCTATATCGAGAGTCTTAGGCAACTCGAAGACGAAATATCCAGTAAAAGCCGTGAATTTAACGACGCTCTATCGCAAGCCCAGGGTTTAGACGCGGACGGGAAGCATGCCAATAACATCTCTCAGATGATGACGCGGTACCAGGCTGTGAAGAATACCGTTAAGGAGGTACTTAATAGGTACCAGCACTTTGTACGTGAGCACCGAATGTTTCTGGACAAGTATCAGGAGTCGGTGGAGTGGCTGGATGCCGTGGATCAAGACCTCCGCGAACATGCGGCCGTGGTTGGGGACATGCAGCTTCTGCAGATGCGACGCAACAAAGTAGAGCAACTCGTCGAGTTGAAAAGTACCCAAGCCAATAAACTGGAGTCAGTACTGGAGCTAGGTGAACGCCTCTACGTACACACGGCTCCTGATGGACGAGAATCCCTTCGTCATATGCTCAGGGAACTGAGGGAACAATGGGAGAATTGGTGTGAAGCCGTCACATCTGCCGCCATCACCCTGGACCAATGCCTCCACCAGTTTTCGGACTTTTCGAACGCACAGGAGCAACTAACACGGTGGTTGAAAGGTATTGAGGTGGCCATGCAGCAGCATACAGAACTCAAGAGCTCTCTGCAGGAGAAGAAGTCGCAGCTGCAAAACCACCGGCTGGTTCATCAGGAGATCGAGACGCACCAGAATCTGGTGGAGACGGTGTGTGTTAAGGCTCAGACCCTTGTTGACCAAACACAAGACCGTGGCCTAAATGTCTACATCCAGTCCATAAAGACCCTTTTCCAGAACATCTTGGTGAAAAGTAAAGACTTGCTGGATCGGCTGGATGCGTGTGTCCAGGATCACGCCTCCTTCAACGCTCTCTGCAGGAGCTTCAGTGAGTGGCTCAGCGCTCAGAAGGACCACCTGAACGTCGACGTCTCGGGCGAGAAGGCCGAACTTCTCAAGAAACTCGATACGCTGAAGGTTAGTGAAGGAGCTACGTACCATAACTGCATGATGTAGTTATGTACTGTAACTGTATAATGCAGCTGTACAATGTAATTTTGCACTACTACTGTACAAGGCATGGCAGTGGGAAGTAACGCAATTGTAATTGTATGATGCAAATTCCAAGTGATGCAAGTGTGCTGAGTAACAGTTAACTTATCGCCAAGAATTGGTCCTCCGCTTCGTACTCAAGGTGGTCACTCAACGGGTGAGTGAAACGAGGAAGGGTTTTACCTTACGGGTGTATCTACTTATATTTGAAGACACCTCATGGTATCTTAACCTATCTCTGCTGGTATCTTAACTTACCTCTCTTGGTATTATACTTATCTCTGCCGGTATCTTAGCTTATCTCTGCTTGTAACTAAGCTTATCTTTACCGATATCTTAACTTATCGCTCTTGGTATTCAAACTTATCTCTGCTGGTATCTTAACTTATCTCTCTTGGTATTCAAACTTATATTTGCTGGTATCTTAATTTATCTCTCTCTGGGTATTCAAACTTATCTGTGCTGGTATCTTAACTTATCTCTCTTGTATCCAAACTTATCTCTGTTGGTCAATTGAATCATCTCTGATGGTACAATATACTGCCGGTACCATAAAATATCTCTGCTTGTGCTGTAGTTTACTTTAACCTGCCCTACTTTGCCCTATTCGTGACCTACTTTGCTCTATCTGCGTTCTGCGTGACTCACTTCTCTGTTTCTCTACCGCGTATTTGGCAGAAAATTAAGCAGGACCTCAGAGGCGGCCAGCAGAGGGCTGCGACCCCGCGCAGCGGCGCCCAGGTGAGCGTTGGTAGGATGTGAAGGATTGGACTGGGAGTAGGGGAAAGAGATAGGAGGGGAGAGATGGAAGGGGACAGAGATAGGAGGGGTAAGAGATAGGAGGGAGAAGAGATAGGAGGGGAAGCGATATTAGGGGAAAGAGATAGAAGAGAAAAGAGATAGAAGAGGAAAAAATTGGAGGGGGAAGAGATAAGAGGGGGAAGGGATAGGAGAGGGAAAGAGATTGAAGGGGGAAGCGATATGAGAGGAAAGAGATAGAAGGGGAAGAAATAGGATGGGATGGATATGGCGGACATTTCGAACGAGAGAAGCAGCACCAATGACTAAACTCTTCAGAGCCCTCGTGCTCCCCAATCTTGAGTACTGCTGTCAGCTTTGGGCACCGCTCAAGGCGGGCTCAGTGCGGAAACTGGAGTCGATCCAGCCTACCTTCACGTCCTCCAGGATCTGGAGGACGTGAAGGGAACTGGAGCTGAATTACTGGGACAGGCTGGAACACCTGGGACTGTTCTCACCGGAGAGGAGAAGAGAGAGGTATATAATATTGTGCACTTGGAAGATGATAACCGCTGGCTCCCAACTTTGAGAGTGAGACCTCCAGAATAGTGACACGTTACAACGAAAGGAGGGGGAGACTCTGTGGGATTCCTCTATTTAAAAACCGAGCCGCGGCCAGAGTACAGACTCTTCGTGAGGAATCACTCTCCGTTGCAGGACCGAGGCTCTTTAATGCCTTGCCAAAAGCGCTGAGAGGAGGGGAGTTCACCCTTGCAACATTCAAGAGACGACTGGACAATTGGTTGAGAAAGATCCCGGATTGTCCAGTAATGGGAAACCACCCTCAGCAAGTGACAAGCGACAGCATCTTGCATCAGCTGGCCCAAAGTAGGGCAAATAGACGGAACGCGTCCAACGTTACATCCGACGACGACTCGGAGACGGAAGACGACGAAGGCGGCGCATCAGCGTGGCCGGGGACTAGGAAGTCCTAAACTCATCATAAGGTCATAAGGAGAGGAAGAGATAGTAAGGGAAAGACATAAGAGGGAAAAGAGATAGGAGGGTAAAAGATAGGAGGAAGAGAAAAGAGAAGGTGTTACGACGTGACACACGTGCACATGATCCACATAACCTGCACAGCTGCACGATATTTGCGAGCCCCAATGCCTGATTCTGATTCACCTCTAAATTGAGTTTAACAATCCTAGAGCAGCCGAAAATGGAATTCGAATTTGACTGGGCATTGCCCGAGTGCTGCTATATAGTTGAGAAATTCGACGTCGCTGCGCCGGTCTTCTACACTATCATGCAAATCCTGAGTTAAATTCCAATCCCTCTATATAAGATGACCTAATCTCCCCCCCCCTAAGTTGACCCACATCTCTCTCCCTCTTAAGTTGACCTACATCTCCCCCTCCCCCCACAGGAGCTGCCTCCCCAGGACGAGGGACCCCGCCAGCTAGCGTCCCTGCGTCGCCTCGCCCAGCGCGTGGCGTCCAGCAGCTCGACGAGGGGCGCTGAGGCCCTCAGGACGACAGTGGCGTCCCTCGAGGACGCTTGGTCCGCCCACTGCACCGCCCTCCGTGAGTGTCGCCCATCCCGTGATTGCCATTACACCGATGATTGCCATTACACCGATGATTGTCATTACACTGATGATTGTCATTACACCGATGATTGCCATTACACCGATGATTGCCATTACACCGATGATTGCCATTACACCGATGATTGCCATTACACCGATGATTGCCGTTACACCGATGATTGTTGCAGGCAATGTTATCTTGTCTTGTGATGCTGACGTTGTAGTTTTGTCTTTGTTCTCAATAATGATCACTATTGTTATCATAATTATATCCATACGATTGTTGTCACCGGATGTTTGCCGCAACTACCAATCTTATCAGAATGTTCGAGCTTAGCGGCCAAATACCGGTAACTATCTTGTAGAAATACTCTGATCTGTATAAAATTTTAATCACTATTATTTAATTGCACGCGGTTGTTCACTAAAACTATAATAAATCGTAAATTTTATTTCAGTAAAGAAAACTTTTAAAGCAACACGTTTGAAGTAAGACGTCACTGTTACAGCAGTAACACGTCACTGTTGCTGCAGTAAGACGTCACTGTTACTGCAGTAAGACGTCACTGTTACTGCAGTAAGACGTCACTCTTACTGTAGTAATACGCCACTGTTACTGCAGTAATACGCCACTGTATCAATCAAATGATAGATAAAAGTGAAAAATCACCATTGTTCACAATTGTACTGTAACAGAATTATGTTATCATCTTTATTATCATTCTAATTATCATGATCACAATCACTCATTTGTACTGAATCTCATCGCAGTGGCGCCCCGGGTAGAAGAGTTGCGTCCAATATAATTTCAATCATCGAAAAATTTCTATTCAATCTGGACTTTCCCTGTAGCATCATCGTAATCATTCTACTGACCCTCATTCCTGTAGTCTCCACCGAGCAGAGGAAGTGCAGTGGGACCCAATACGATTTAAGCATCCCTATCTTCATCGCAATGATATCAACAATTTCTTCAATATAATCGTGATCATTCTGCTGACTATTATCTGCCTCCACCGAGCAGAGGAGGCTCAGGGGCGTCTCGAGGACGTCGTCGCCCAATGGACGGCAGTGACGTCGTCTCTAGACCGCCATGTCCTTTGGTGCCGAGAAATGGAGACTTTATTCAAGGACCCGACGCCCTGCTGCTCTCTGCTGGAGAAGCAGGCGAAGGTGGATCTGATGTGCGCAAAACGCGAGGAGGTCGTGGGGCGCGAAGGTGAAGTAGAAACCTGCGTGGACTCCGCCCTTGCACTGGCGCGCCTAACGAAGGTAGAACGTCTGCGCCCTTTGGTCGCCCAACTTTCCGCACGATACCAGAACCTGCACGTCCTGAGCAAAGAGGCAGCTGGAAAGTGGTGTACCATCTGTGCAGACCACAAAGCTTTCGAAGGGCGACTTGCAGATCAGACCAACTGGGTCACAAAGGTCGAGCAGCGGTTGAAGGAGCTGCAGGGGAAGTCTTCGAGTGGGTCCACGGAAAGCGACTTTGAGGAACGCGAAGTTCTCCTGAAGGAGTTGGTTGGGGCTCGAGAGGAGGCAGGGGCTCGGTTAGGGTCCCTTACCACTCACGGGGAACGTCTATTTCCTTGCACGGGCGCCCAAGGGCGTGACAAAATCCGCCAGGATATCAAGGGCCTTAAGGATCGCTGGGAGTGCACCGAGACGAAGATCCTGGAGGAGCAGCGGGCGCAGGACCTCCGACTTCAGGAATCCTCTGCTCTGCAGGACAGCGTTGCCTCCGCCCGCAGCTGGCTGGAGACCATCGAAAAGCTGGTGCTGCAGGAACCCAGCACCAGCTGGGGCTCTCTGCAGGAGGTTCGATCCCGGCTCATCAAGCAGAAGGTAGATCTTTGCCTGGTGCGTTAGTCTTTGCCTTAGGTGTTTGTCTCTGCCTGTGGCGTGAATCATTGCATATCAATTTAGCCTGTAAAATATGCATGATGCGTTAGTCTTTTCCAGGACCGTTAAACTTTATTAGGGCGTTAGTCTCTGCTTGGGGCGTTTGTCCTTGGCTGGTGCCTGAATCTGTGACTGGGTTAATATATTTTCGAAGAGCGTTATTCTTTGCCTGTGTCGTTTATTTGCATAGCAGTCTTTGCTTGGTGCGCAGGTCTTTGTCTGATGCATTGGTCCATGCCTGAACAGTGAGTTTTTACTTTAAATTATACTTGGTTTGCCCTCCGCGCAGTCGGTCTTTCAAGAGGTTCTCGCGCACCGCCGGGTGCTTGATGGCTTGCGCGAGAAGCTCGCCCTGCTCCCAGAGAAGTCGCCGAGCAAAGGACCCCTTGACGAGGCCCTCAAGGACCTGGAGGAACGTCACGACAATTTGACGAAAGCGACGAAGAGTGCCGTCAAGGAACTCGAGTGGCTATCTGAGAACCTGACTATGCATCAGGAACTTCGCACCGGCCTGACGGAGTGGCAGAAGGAGATGTGGGACAAGCTGCATGTCCTGACAGGTACTCACGGAGTGGCAGAAGGAGACGTGGGACAAGCTAGAAGGCTTAGCAGCTGTTGTTCCCAGTCTAAGCATATTTTGCGCTCAGACTAAGATGTTTTTGTGCTTAGACTAAGCAGCTGCTGTGCTCAGACTATGCATCAGATATGCTAAGACTAAGCAGCTGCTGTGCTCAGACTAAGCAGCTGTTGCGCCCAGATCCAGCAGCTGTTGCGTTTCGACTGAGTATAGATTTTGTACTGGAACTAGGCAGTTGTTACATCTAGACAGAGTAGATTTTGTGCTAAGGCCACTCTTTATTGATCCTATCAGACTACTCTGGCAACAAGAGCCAGCTGGAGCAGCGGCTGCAGCAGGTGCAGGAGTTGGAGCAAAGCAAGAGCGATGGTCGTGCAATCGTCGCCCACGTCTGTGCCCACGCGCATCAACTGCTGGACCATCTGCCACCCAGGGCGAGGGAGGCCATGGAGCGCGACTTGCAGCACCTCAAGTAGTTATCTAACTTCCGTTGATTGCATGCATTATCTTGATAAAATTCCTTGTGTTCATTACCTTATTTCAAGTTATTTGTATTAATCACCCCACACCAATCACGACCCTCCTCTCCTCAATCCCGTCCTCTCTCCCTCTAATATCACCCCCACTTCTCCCATAACACCCCCACTCCCCCAAATCGTCTCCCTCCCGAATCCCCACTTACCCTTCTTTCAAAATTGCGTTCTCTCCCAAATCCCCACTTACCCTTCCCTCAAAATCGCGTCTCACTCCCAAACCCCAGGCATGAGCTGACCCAGTGAGCGAGTTGTAATATTTACCCCACTCCCCCAAATCGTGCCTCATCCCCTTTTAATTATGCCCCCTTCCTCTTTTCCCCCAGACATGAGCTGGCCCAGTACGCGAGCTCCCTGGGGGACGCCGCCCACGGTCTGGAGGAGCGCGTGCGGCTGTGGCGCGACTACGAGGCGACGTACGAACGCATCCTGCGCTGGATGGGGGAGGCCGAGGCATCCCTTAGGGACTTCTGCAGCAGGAACTCCCTGCAGCAGAAGCAAGAGCAGCTCGATAAATACCAGGTGGGTGAGAGGGGTTATGGGTGGAGAAGGGGTCGTGGGGCGGAGGAGGGGTCGTTGAGTAGAGGAAGGGGTTATGGTGGTGGAGAAAGGTGGAGTGTAGGGTGGGTCAATGTGGGAAGGTGGGGTCATGTAGTCGAGGGAGGAATTATAGGGTTTAAAATGGAAATACGTGGTGGAGTGAACGTTTTTACAGAGTGGGAGGTATTTATGAGGGTGGAGGTTTAGATGCAGAGGGTGGTTTTAGAGGAGGTGGCTTTTGAATATTCGATGTTTATGTCAATGTAAATTCGTAGATGGAGGTGTTGAGCTAATTGGTGGCATATGAAAATCGGTGTTATGTCACCACTCCTAGAAGCGTTAATGCAATGCGCTATACCACATGCATATAGCTCGGCACGCTAGTAGTTGCTTCACGCTGGAAAGTTGACCAGTGAGTTGATTTTTTCTAAAACAACGCACTAAACTAAAGCTAGAAATGAACTAAAAGGCTGAAACTTTTATACGAAAGGCAATGTTAGTTTTTTAGAAAACATGAGTAAATAAGCGCGGAATATTATAAATGCCGTGAAAAGCTTGTTTCTGGAAAGAGTAAACGTCACGACAAGTAAGACGGGACTTCTGACGCTTTCTTATGTAATACGAAATTTCTCGTCTCATTTTCAGATTACATTTGCATAAAAAAATTATTTTAAAACATTTTTGGCTTGTTTTGGAAAACAGACAAATATTTCTTTCCGTCCAATTATCGTGAAAATGAGTATTTATTTGTAATTTCGGGTCGAAAAAATATCTTATGGAATTAGCGGTCATCTGTACCCTCGCTTTTTCGTCGTTTGCGACCTCCTGCTTTGAGGGCTCCGTGTCGCATCCAAGTCTATGGGCCCTAATTGGGCTTTAATAAATAGATCTTGAGAACTACAATTCTAGAGGTTGCTAATACCTCTGTGACCAGCTTTGAAGAGGCCTCCAGCCTTTTTGCCTGCTTTATAGAAGTTCTTGGGTATTTCTCTCTTAGTTTGGCTTTTAAAAATATTGCACCATTGGCGTTCAACAGACGTGCTCGTTCGAATTAACTGTAAGAGGTGACTATTGTTGGTACCACGCTTGTTAACGCTGTCCAGCCAAAACACTGGTATAGTTTGTTGCGTGCATGGCTATAACTTTTTCGGGCTAACGACCGCCTTTATTTCGCACGCATTTGTTCGTTATGTTTTAATTATATCCTTATTGCATTAATTTCAATTGTCTCATTTTCTGAATCATGAGTTTATTGAGTTATTCAATGAAGGCGTCAACAACTTACGATGAGTACAGATGCCACAAGATAACTGCTTTGGTGGTAGTTCAAAAAGTTGCCTAAAATATTCAAGCTTCAATACATATTTTTTTCCATGGATTGTTATTAATTAATTTATATGTAACATTTAAGAGTCTGCAGTTGTGTCTTCTTCCATTAAGGGCAGGTTGGATGTAGAACGTTTTCTGTTGTTAGAATATACCTACCTTTGCAGTGACATGTTTGTTGGTAGATAATAATAATACCCTGGAAGTGATAGGTTGAATGCGGCCAGTTCTTATTGGTAGAATATAGGTACCTTTTCAGCGACAGGTTGAGTGCAGCCAATACTTGCTGGTAGAATATAACCTCTCAGTGGTATGCTATAGGTATAGGCAAAGCCATTTTTTGTTTGTTAAATTTAATTTGATTTCAAGAAATTGCTCAAGTTCATTTCTAAGAGTATACGCGGTAACTTAAGTTGACTTTTATACATGATGGCTCATAAGCTTGCGAGTATGAATATATATATATATATCAGTTAAAAGTAACTATGGCAATAAAACTTTATGTATAATACCGAATATCTTATAGTAATGAAATTTTAATGGAAGTCAAAAGGTACATGCATGTGTTCAGGAAAGTATATATCGGCGGTAGGTATCAGGTAAAACAGGTAGTATATACTGAGGTAAGTAATGCAGTAAGTGAAAACGTAAAGATATGGATGGAATGGTAGGTAGTCCCGGGTGAAGAAGTTGGTTGACAGTTGGTTAGACAAGTGAGTAGACAATTGGTAGATCAGCTGGAAGACAGTTGAGTTGACGCGTGGTTAGACCAGTGGATGGATAGTTTGGGAGCTGAGTGAGTGAATATTTTTTCGCAAATAACTTGTGGATATGTTCATAAAACGGCTGGTAGGTAAATAGATTTTTACAGAAATGTGTTAAGAGGTAGATGAGCATCTAGATACGCAAGTCTTTGTCCAACTAAGTTGACATGGAAATTGTCTGGTAAGTTAACAGGTAGGCATGCAGGTAGGAAAATAACAGGTAGGAAATCTAGCAGCCGGATAGAAAAAAACAGGCTAGCAGCTAGACACGCCTCTAACGGAGAAGACAGCTGCAGATGTGACAGAGTGCCTTACATTGTAGGAGCTGCAGCTCGTGTTCGCCAGTCGCCACGCGTTGGTGGTGGAGTTCTGCTCCATTGCTGACAAGCTGGAGCAAGTAAGACTGTGTAACCCTAACAGCTGCTCTATTGCTGATAAACTTGAGTTAAAATCTTGTTGTAACCGCGGAGTTGAGTTACTAACCACCAGTCGGAAAGCCGTGTCTCCCTGCTCCTTATTGAAGTTGTTGTTGTTGTTGTGGTTCCCCGGTGTCATTTTTATAAGAGACCCCCGCTTATTGAAGATGATGATTGATGATGTAACTGCGCACAAGAGCTACCAATCACCTGTCGTAATAGGCGTGTCTCGCTGCCCCTTTTTACAGTTGATTTAACTATGCAATTGAACTGCCAACCACCTTTCGGAACTGGATTGTGCCAACACTACAACCAAGAAGACATGGTGATGTTCAGAAGATTGTCTTTCCTGTCTGTCCTCGATTAGTTAGGATTTTATCTTTGTTATATTGTGAACCTAAATAGCACATAACCATACTTAAGGGTGTACATGTTACCTGATGTACGGTCCTAGATGAATGTGTTTATCAGATAACCTAGTGTCCTATAGTGCAGATGTATACCCTGCTGAACATGCCTTTTTCACTGGAGTTCCACTAGTTACTATAGGGTACTGCAGTACAGATGTACCCTGCTGAACGTACCCTTGTCACTGGAATTACATGAGTTACTATGGGTCCTGCAGTAAAGATGTACTTTGCTAAACGTGCCCTTTTCACTGGAGTTATACGGCTAAGGTCCTAAAGTACAGATTTAGCGTACGGACACTCACTTCTACATTCCCTGTTTTGGCATTGGCTTTAATTGGATTTCTGTGTGTGAATTTAATGGCTGTTTTGAAGTTTCCCCTGTGCTAAGATTAGGATGATTTTTTTTCGGTTAGAATATATGTAAATTTGTTTTATTTGGCGTTTCCTTCCTCCTGCCTTTTTGCGTTGCTAATTCATCACCATAACTTTGCAAGGTGGCGTCTTTGTATTCAAGACGGCACAAATAGAATTAAAGATAACCGCCAGTAGCAGTAGTATTAGACAGGTTCATTTCTATTCAGGACAACGCCATTATTACTAGAGAAAGCTTCCTTCACCGAAGGCCCTGAATGGATGGATCACCACTCATCCAGCTTTGAAGTTCCCTTGACTTATCTGCACTCGGAGAATTAAGGAAGACTTTGTCCAAACAGCGATTCACTTTTTGCCCTTATATGGGTCATCCTGACTCATTTTTGCTCAGCAGTGGGCGCATCAGTGAGAAGTGCATAAGATACGTCACTATTTAGGCAATATTACCAATTAATTTTTCTGAGTGGGCAGACGTCGGCTGTCGGAGGTCACCACTTGTTCTGATGTTGGATTTGTCCGATGATGATGTGGCCTCTTTTTTCCTTTACCTCAGAACCTAATCTGCTCGATGAACCAACACCAAGGAGACCTGGAGCAGCTCACTAACGACTCGTGCGACCTGATGGGGTCCGTGGTCGACTCAAGGATATCAGTAAACATGCAGCAGGTTACCTCCAGATTCAAGGCCATGCAGCAAACTGCCAAGGTAGGTCATGGTTATCCTGAAGCAAATTTCTGTTTTGGGTCATGATTACTGAGCAAATTATCGGGGTAAGTCCTGTTATCATTGAGCCAAGTACAGTAGTAGGTCATGGTTTAGGTTTATTTATATTCAGAGAAATGGACTGAATTCATTTTTAAATTAATATTTAGCTGATACTTGAAAACAAGGATATGTGGCGTTCCCAGGTTATCAAAAAAGTTGGTGTACTTCAGCAAGACTAATTATACGATTTAATTTGTTTGGTCCTCCGGTTTTAATTTTCCTAGAACACCTGACGCACTTGTAATAGAGCAGCGAGTGTTATTGTGCTAATCAAGAGATTTACGAGGCCGTTGTAGAACGTAATGTGTACTTCCGTACTCAACAATCTTTAATTTCCACTAGAAAATGACTCGATTGTTGTTAATGCGACATTGCCACTGCTTTCCCCACAGGATCTGCTGAAGAAGTGCGAATCTGGCGTGAAGGATCACAAGGCATACAACGAGAAATATAACCAGTGTGTGAGTTGGCTAACCTCTGCTCAGGACAAGCTAGCGCGCTGTATCGAGCTACCTCCTGACAGGAATGGGCTCGATAAACGTCTCGAAAACTCGACGGAGCTTCTAAAAGAGAAACAAACGGCTCTGGCGCTGCTGAACACAACTGTGGAGCTGGGGGAGAAACTCTACGCCTCGACGGGGGATGAAGGAACTGAGGTTATTCGCGGGCAGTTAGAAGACCTGCAGCAGGCGTACGACGCGCTCTTTGACAGCGCTTCAACGCTGGAGAGGGACCTCAACAACAAGATAGGCCGCTGGAGCTGCTATGAAGAAGCCGCTGAGGATCTGAAAAAGTGGATCAAAGAGACTCAGAAGAAAATACCGAATTATATCGAACTCAAGACGACACTGGACGAAAAACGAGCACAACTTCAGACGTACAGAGTCCTGCTGCATGACATTAGTGCGAAGCAGCAAGCACTAATAGACCTCCGAGACAAGTCAGAGAATCTACCAGAGAAGTCTGACCGCGTGGAGTCGTTCCTAGCCTCTCTGGCGGGTCAGCACGAGGATATGCACGAGAAGATCCAGTCTTACTTGGAGCGTTACGAGGCGATTGTTAGTGACCACCAACAATACAGCAAGTCGGTCCTGGAAACTCAGGAGTGGCTTGAGGCCACCCACAACACCGTCGAGATGTGGGGCCAGAGCAATAGTGAGCACATCAGCTTGCGTGCCAACCTTGACAAGCTCAAGAACCTGCAGAAGAGTTTGCCTGACGAAGAGCCACGCATCACACAGGTGAGAGGTCTTGGGGAGAAGGTGCTACCCGGCACCGTGGAGTCAGGACAGAGCAACATCAGGGCTCAGATCGACGCTACTCAACAGGACTGGCAGGCCCTCGTGTCAGCCGTCGCCTCTACCATCGACGCCCTTGAGACCACTCTGGCGAACTGGACCAACTTCGAAGCTGTGAAGGACGTCATGCAGGCATGGTTAAGAAATGTTGATAACAAACTTCACGCCATTAACTTGCGTGCAACTTTAGAAGAGAAGAAAGAAACCTTGAATGAGCTGAAGGAAATTCAGGGTGAAGTTCGTGCCAAAGAGCTCGAGATTGACCAACTGAGTGAGAAAGCGCAGTCGCTCAACGGCGATAATTTGAATGGTCGGAGCTTCCAGGTAAAGGAATTGACTTTAGCTTATCAGCAATTATCCAATAGAGTTAAAGACATGTGCAACAAGTGGCAGCAATACGTTGGCCACCACGCAGACTATGACTCGCGAGTGGCCGAGTGCCAGAATTGGCTACACGACATCAAGAAGAAACTTACGTATTGCTCAGACATGACCTCAACCACCGAGAAGGAGCTTGAAAAGAAACTCAAAACTATCCAGGAGCTACTGATGTGCAAGGAGGAGGGTTTCACTAAGGTTCAGTCTACCGTGGAACTCGCGCAGTTAGTTCTGGCAAACACGGCACCTCCCGGACACGATGCCATCAACTGTGTCGTGGAGAAGCTGCAGCAAGAATGGACGGCCGTCGCTGCCAAGATGGTAGAGACAAAGACTTACTTAGACGATACCATCAATCGATGGACGGGCTTCCTCACCAATATCAACCAGCTGAAGAGTTCCATCGAGCACGTCGAGTCCGCGCTTTCTGACGTCAGCCAATTCCAGTCAAACCTTTCCGAGAAGCGAGCGCAGCTCGAGCGTCTCAAGGTAGATCGCCATCATTGTTATAATTGTTTGGTCCCCTTATGCTTCTCTAAATTAATTGTAGTCAATGTTTTACTATCTAAAGTCAAGGTAGCAAAGTTGTCCTCAGTAGACCAAGATTTGAATCTCGTTTCAGCTAAGTAACTTCATGTAAAAACTACATTGGAGCTAATTTCTGAAGATGCCACTGCCTCATGCCAGCGTAATTGAATGTGTTCGATGATTATATCGGATGTCCCTTTATCCTTGATTTTGTTGAATATTTTTTTTAATATATATCATTATTGTGACGTTGGCCTTAACTGAACATCCTGTTTTAAAAATGACTTTCATGACAGCACCATATACAGTTGGTTATCCTTGCCGTTGACATCATTATCTGGTAAACTTGTCGTTGGCGCTATCGTAATCTGGTAGGCTTAACGTTAACGCCCTTTTGATCCTCAGGGTCTGGAGGAGAAACTGCGATGCGAGAAGTACGAAGTGGAGGGGCTGAAGGTGAAAGCCAGCGAGATGCAAGCCACTGAGAAACAGGGGCAAGTAGCCGTCCAGGCTCAGAATGTCCTTCGCCAGTTCGAAGTGTTGTCAGGACGCATCACGACCCTGCGGGCTGAGCGCGAGACTCAATATCGTGACCACCGGCACTACAAGGACGCTCATGACGACCTCCTTTCCTTCATCAACAGGACTCGGGACAAGATCCCAGCACTTCGCCAGCGCAATTTGAGCGACAAGCTCTCGATCGAGACATCAGCTCACGCCATGGAGACCCTGCTCTCTCGTCAGGCCCAGGGCCAGATTCTTTTGGATCAACTTTATCACCGCGGGGAGGTCCTACTGCACTCGACCTCTTCCTCAGGCCAGGAGTCGTACAAAAAGGAGATGCAGTCCCTCAAGGAGGGATTTGAAGAGCTCTTCAAGGATATCGCCGAACAGAAAGATGCCCTTCAGCAGACGGTCCTCAAGTGGCGGGAGTACAAGGAGGAGTACGAGCGACTGTCGGACTGGCTGCAGAAGACCGACGCCGATATGAAGGCTTACAAGACGATGCTTTACACCACCATCGGCGAGAAGACCGACCAGGTCAACAAGGTCAAGGTAGGTGTGCTATCTGCGACAACATAAATTATTGTTACTTATGATACCAATAATGATATCATGAAAATAGCAATATTTCTATTGATGAGCTGAAAATATTATGAATTTTAGGTCCTAAAGTGGGTCTAAGTGACATTATAGTAATTACAAAATGTTGGGGCACCTCATTATCACCTCTGTGATTGCTGGCTTGTGTTTGAATGAACCCTATGGGTCAAAGATTGCTAACTCTTTGCAACCCCGCTCATGTACCAACTGCTCCCCTGTTGAATCTAAATGTTGATCGTTGAAGCTGTTGAAGCTGTTGATCGAGCGTCAGGGTCTAATGAGACTGGTCGTTTGTTTTATTGTCCTGCTTGAAGGTTGCGATTCAAAGGAAATTGTCTTAATGCCATCTCTTGGATGTGCGACGTGATTTGTATCATGAGTGTCACGTAGGTGTTAATATGAGTGTCTGGCAAATTGATTCTGTTTACAGTTAGCGCCCCACCAAAAGAGAACCATAAATTGAATGTGTATATTCCAAGTTTCGATGAGGTGTGCTCTGAAGGAATTGCTGTTTGTGTGTCTTACATCTGGAATTCATCTTACTGTTGACAGTGTGTCTCACAAGTTTGGCCTGTATGTGTCTGCAGGAGGTGTTGCAGACACTAGAGGAGAACCAGTCACAGCTGACCCATCTTCAGGAGTTGTCCGAGACTCTGACGAAAACTCACCTCGACACCTTCGTCAGGAATCAGATGAGCCACATTACGTCGCGATACCAACTTTTACTGACATTGGCAAAGGACGTGGTGAAAAAGGTGGAGTCCACGTTTGACCAGCATAAGCAATTTGAGGTCGCAATGGACACGGCTACCGAATGGATGGACAACGTCCATACGGTGGTCCAGGATTGCTCCAGCATCCCAGGTGACGCTAGCAAAGAGACCTTGGAGCGACACCTGGAGATGCTTCAAGCTCTTCTGGGGAAACAGGAGGAAGGCCAAAATCTCGTTAGTGCTGCTGTCGGATGGGGCGAGAAGGTTCTCAGAAACACCCGAGCCGATGGTAGAAATGAAATCAACGAGAGGATCGAGGCTCTTCAGGCGGACTGGGATAAACTAGTCCGGAAAATGTCGAGCACGAAGGTGAGCCTTGAGACGAACCTGCTCGAGTGGACGGACATGAATGCTTCATACAGCAACATGCAGCAATGGATCAGCGAGAGGGAGGCCCACTTACATCAGTTATCATCTGAGATGGCCTCAGTGGCAAGGAGAGGATCAGGTTAGTGGCCTATTTTAACTTTTGTTTATTTCGGCGTCCGAATGACAACTTTAGGCCATCATTGCAAATGTAGGGCCTCGCTGTTCACATATGGGGTCTGATTGTCTATTTTCTGGCCGCGGTGTCCAAGTTTTGGCTGGTACAAACTAGTCCGTAACATGCCTACTTTGTGGCTTTCATAACCATTTTGGAGCCTCCGTGTCCACTTTGCGGCCTTCATGCTGATCTTGTGTCTTTTTTGTTGAACTTTTTAGCCGTGTATGAAATTTTTGGCTTTTGTGCTATATTGTGGTTCTAATTTTTGCAACGCAAGCTTCTCTGATATCAAGTATATGAGTTCCCTGAGTAGTAATACATTCATTATGAGCCCAAGATACGTGCTGGATTATGTTAAAGTTGTCGGGCCAAGTCGCGTTACCGTAGAGTTCCGTCCACGGTTGTCACGCCAAGTCGTGTTACCGTGTCTTACAGTGCAGAGTTGTCTCGTCAAGCGAATTAACCGTGTTGCATCCTGCAGCTAGGCAATCACGACAGCCTCAGTGCCGTGCCGTGCCAAGCAGGGTTATCACAACAGGCCTTAGGACCGTGTAGTACCGTGCAAGGTTATCATCTCACGACCATGTCTTACAGGGCAAAGTTAAAATGCCAGAACCGTGTTTTACCCTATCGTATCGTGCAAGGTTATCTCGTCAAGACCCTATCATACCGTGCAGAGTTATAACGCCAGAACCGTGTTGTACCGTATCGTATATTGCAAGGTTATCTCGTCAAGACCGAGTCGTACCGTTCAAAGTTACAACGCCAGAACCGTGTTGTACCGTACCGTATCGTGCAAGGTTATCTCGTCAAGACCGTATCATACCGTGCAGAGTTATAACGCCAGAACCGTGTTGTACCGTACCGTATCGGGCAAGGTTATCTCGTGAAGACCGTGTCATACCGTCTAGAGTTATAACGCTAGAACCGTGTTGTACCGTATCGTATATTGCAAGGTTATCTCGTCAAGACCGAGTCGTACCGTTCAAAGTTACAACGCCAGAACCGTGTTGTACCGTACCGTATCGTGCAAGGTTATCTCGTCAAGACCGTATCATACCGTGCAGAGTTATAACGCCAGAACCGTGTTGTACCGTACCGTATCGGGCAAGGTTATCTCGTGAAGACCGTGTCATACCGTCTAGAGTTATAACGCTAGAACCGTGTTGTACCGTATTGTATCGTGCAATGTTATCTCGTCAAGACCGTGTCGTACCGTGCAGGGCCGTCGCAGCGCGTGTCGTCGCTGAGTATCGGGGAGCGTAAGGCGAAGCTGCGACGCACGACTTGCATCGTGCAAGACATCGTGGCCTTCGAGCCTGTCATCGAGTCCGTTACTGCTAAGGCCACGGACAGCTCTGGGGGACAGGTATCTGTTGCTTGGTACTGATACTTGATGCTGATACTTGGTACTGATACTTGATATTGATACTTAATACTGGATGCTGGTTACGTAGTGTTTGTTGCTTGATACTCATTGCTTGGTACTTAGCTTGGAGTACCATTATAATGAAGTATCTGGGTTGGATAAAGTACCAGTGCCCCTGGCGATTATTAGTGCCGTATGACACTCTACGTACCAGTATCTCACCATGTACGAGTATCACCCCGTACTCCCGCTTAGGTCCAGAGCGGCGCGTGCGAGATCTCCTCGGCGTACCACAACCTGACTAGGCAGGCAAAGGAGCTGCTGACGCTGCAGCAGCAGATGCTGACGCAGCACCAGGACTTCGTAGATGCCGGCAACGACTTTATGCACTGGCTGCGGTCCGCAAAGGACAGGATGGCCAAGTGTGCGGAGGCCACGGGCGACAAAGACACCATCAGCGGAAAGGCCACCGTCCTCAAAATGCTGCAGAATGAGCAGGAGGACGGACAAGACAAGCTAGACAAAGCCTTCCACCTCGCTGAGAAAGCCTGTAGCCTGGCTGACGAGGAGGACAGGGAGGTCATCGAAGAGGAGGTTGCCTTCCTGCAGGACGAGTTCGACAAGTTCCTGTAAGTCCTCCACGCCCTTGGGCATTTTAGACCATTCTAAGTGCAATTTAGGTTGGTTCGGTAGTTCTTTAGTGCACTATAGTTGTATTTTGGAATGTTTTAATGCACTCTCTGAGTCAATTTAGTTTACTCTGGGGCGCTTTATTGCACTCAAGTGCTCTGGATGAGGCAGCAATATGAGGCACTTCTTAGAGCCAACCGGTAAAGGAGGTGACACTATGGGGATTTTCTATTACAACCTAATGCACTCATGTGTGCCATAACTCGTTTTACGGCCTTCTGGATTGTTCTTGTACCCAATATTGTATAATAGTGTTGTATTGTATATTGTTTTGTATACCTCCTGTGACCTGTATAGCATTTAATTATGTATACTAGAATGCACCAAATTGTGTACACTGGAGTGCCCTCAAGATTTTGATTTTTCCTGAATTGCATTTTCTCTTCCCTTTGCCCTTAGGACGCAGGTAGGCAAGACTAAGAATCTATTGGAGATGGGCATCGTGAAGTGGACGGAGTACGAGGACAAGTTCAAGGAATGCGAAGTGTGGGTAGCCGCCATGGAAACCCGCGTCCAGGGCTACAACAAACTGCAAAACACCGCCGAGGAGAAGCGAATCCTTCTGGAGGAGTTCCAGGCCCATCTTCAGGCTATCTTCGACTGGCAGAAAACACTTGATCTACTCAACATTCGTGCCCAGCTTCTGTTGGAAACGTGCGCTGATTCCAGAGTCAGCAACGCTGTTACTCAGCTGACCACGAAGTACAACACGCTGTTGTCGCATGCCAAGGAGGTCATGAGGAGACTAGAGATCCACTTTCAGGAGCACCAGCAGCACAATCAGCTCTACGCTGAGTGCGCTGATTGGATCGAGACCACCAAAGCAAAGCTGGAAGAGTGTGACACCGGCACCAGCAACATAAGCGAACTCCAGGACAACCTGGCGACTGTCAAGTCCATCAAGAACTCTCTTGAGCAGGGCCAGCACAAGCTTAGGTATGTTTTGGAACTCAAGGAACGCGTGATACTGAATACCGAGCAGGAGGGGGCGAGAAAAATCCTGCAGAACACAGAAAATATGCGACAGCAGTTCGAACAGCTGATATCTGACATCTACGGTCAGCAGCAGGAGATTAGCGCCCTACTCTCCAAATCTGCGGAGACTGAAAAGATGTGCCAGGATGTTATGGAGTGGATGGAGGAGATCGAAGTGAAGGCGTTAGAACAAGGGGTCCTCTTTAGTGACCTCAGCGAAAAGAGGGGTGCACTCGAGAAGTACCGTATCATCATCCGAGACATCGCAGTGCACCGCGACATGATCGACAGGCTCGCCTCGAAGAAGCTGGAGGATGACGCCTCACAGTGCGCGGTCGACACGTGCATCAGCAGGTACGAGAGCCTCAAGTCGCAGGTGGCCAAGAATATCAAGATCCTTGAGGGGTACGTGCGGCATCACGAGGCTTACTATCAGGCTTACATGGACGCCACGGAGTGGCTGCGAAAGATGAGTCTTGACCTGCAACAGACGAGTGATTGCCACGGTGAAAAGGAACAGGTCCTTGACCATCAGGCCAAGCAGCTGCAGCTTCAGGAGAAGCTTCTTGCTGGTGAACCCATTATCACCAAGGCGGTGTCTCTCAACAAGAACCTGATGGATACGACCTCCGAGGATGGCAAAGACAACCTCAGGACTGAAGCCGAGAACCTCAAACAGGAGTGGCTGGGGCTGCAGAACAGCAATAACGACAACTTGAGGACTTTCGGCAAGTGTCTGCAGGCTTGGCAGGATTTCCAGACATCCTACGACGAACTCCACTCCTGGCTGCAGGACTTCCAGCAGAAAATTGAGACTGAGCCAAAGGAGCCCACTCCCGAAGACCTCGAACAGTGGAAGGTGAGAGGAATGTTGGATTGGGAGATGAATGGAAGGCCGGAGTAGAATGTAAAGAGAAGGCTTGTGACATAAGAAGGCTGGATAGAGTGTGGGAGAAATTTTTGCGCGGGAGTAGATACGAAGGATCAGGTAGGAGGGGATGGTTTGAGTAAATAGTGAGTGAGTGAATAAAATATCGTGTTAGAAGGAGACCATACAGATCCTCACTTCCCGTCTTACGTCTCTCAGGGTCTACTTGAGGAGGCGACGCAGAAGAAGGCGCTAATGGAGTCGCTATGCGAGCGCTGTGAGACCCTCATGGTCTACTGCGCCTACCGCCCTGTGCGGGATCAGACTCTTGGCCTGCAGACCCGACATTGCAGCGTCCTTGCTCAGCTTCAGGTACTAACTGGTTGCGTTCAGATATTGTGAGCGGATCTTGGTTGATATGCCCGCAATAGCCTACAGAGCCTGGTTGGGTTAATATTTCTTTAATTGCCCTCAGAGCCTGATTGGGTTGATAATTTTTCATCTGCCCAAAGCGCCTGGTGGGATTAATATTTCTACTTCTGCCTACAGAACCTGATTGCGGTTAATATTTCTACGTCTGCCCACAGAGCCTGATTGCGGTTGCTCACAAGACGCTCAGCGACCACACCGAGTTCGTGGAGGCGCAAGAGGAGTTCGACGCGTGGCTGTCGCGTCGTCACGGCACCGTCGCGTCTTGCCAGCAGCACAACGGCACCGAGACTGAGGTGCTAGATGTCTTACGATTGATTGTCTTTAGTTAAATTGAGATGCTGAGGTCGGCCGTGTTAAGTATAATTTGGCCGTGGCATGGGTTATGTGTGTTCCTAATTCTGAGGAGAAATGAGGATGCAGGGTCTGTTTTAGGTTGAACATGACAGATGGGTGCCCAAAGTGCAGTGCCTGTTAAGTTATTGATAATTTAGAGGCAGAGACGATTTTGAGTTTTGGTTAGGAGGGAGGCCTTGGCAGGAGGGGGGAGGTGTAGTTGACCTGTTTAGGTCAAGCGGTTGATCACTCGCTTATACTCACCCATCATTTGCATGTACTCATCCATCACTCGCAAGTATTCACCCATGACTCGCATGTTAATTTCCCCCGTTAAAGGCTCCTATGTTTCGTCCTTGTGGTTGCGCAGCTGCGGGAGAAGCTAGAGACGCTGCAGGGAGTGGCGACGAGGGCTTCTGAGGGACTCCATCTGCTGGCGGTGGTGGGTGACGCCTACTCCAGAGCGGCGTCCCAGGCTCCCCCAGAGCTGCAGGAGAAGCTCAGGGCTGAGTATACGAGACTCAGGGACAGTTACGACCGTCTTAAGATCTCCGTCAGCTCCGCCATCACCAAGCTTAAGGTGAGTCATGTCATGAGTGGGTCATGTCATGAGTGGGTCATGTCATGAGTGGGTCATGTCAAGAGTGGGTCATGTCATGAGTGGGTCATGTCATGAGTGGGTCATGTCATGAGTGGGTTCATGAGTGAACAAGACGCACCGATAATTGGTTGCATGCTGCCATTGAGATATAAAGCAAGGTTTTTATATAAATACTTGCAAGTTGATATGTCGATATGCAAGTTGATATGTATCGGGGTGTGAGATATTTTAAAATTCAACAACATTTCAGTAGAGAAATATTTATTTTAGTTCCTCCGTAATTAACAATATAATTTAACTTCATATATAAACGTAAACTTCAACTATTGTGAGTGCAGATTAATGTATAGTAATAGTTAGCAGTAATGTCACGACGAAATTTTCAACTATCCTTCAAGGTGGCAAAATATTTTTGGCAATCCATGAATGAGTAGATTGCAACGAACCACCTTATTGGGTGGATAATACGCCGGAGGGATGGATTAGTTAGGGATTAGGATTAATCACAAGGATTAGTTACAACCTAAGTAGGACCTAATAACGGTCGAACGAGTTTCCTTGGGTGGCATTGAGTCGGTTACAGCTTAGAACATTTAGTTCATTTAGAACAGCTTAGCTTAGAACTTTCAAAAATTTCACTTGGTTGTTCGAGAGTGTGTTTTGAGTATTTAAACAAGGTTACGAATTGTTTAGGAGTCTCGTTCGTACTGATCTCGTGGGTGTCGTGAGCAGCACGATCTCAGTCGTTGGTCGGAGTTCGCGGAGTCTAAGTCACGACTCGAGTCTTGTCTCGGGGAGCTGGAGGACGCACTCTTCGAGACCCCCGACTCCAAGGGCGAGGTGTCAGAGATGCGGACCCTCCTCGAACGGTACCGTCACACGCAGCAGCAGATCAAGAGCAAGGACCGGGAACTCAAGCGCCTCCTGAAGGATACTAAGGAGTTCAGTGAGAACTCTAACGACACCTCCTACGAGGAAGAAATGACAGCCCTCGAACAGAAGTGGTTTAACCTCAACGACAGATGTGTTGAAGTCATCGAAGGCCTTGAGACTGAGATCAAAGAAGCTGTCGAGTACCAAGCAGCTCTGCAGGAGGTTGAGAAATGGCTTCTGCAAGTCAGTTTCCAGCTCATGTCTGAGAATTCAATGTCCATCAGATCTCGGGAACACACCGAGGAGCTAATCCATCAGCACGATAAGGAGTTGGAAAACATCCGCGAGTTCCAGCAGGTGTTGGACCGCGTTAAAAATAAGGCACACAAGCAGATCAACAAATACATCGGGTCTGTAGAGACCATCCAAGAGACGTATGAGCACCAGATCCACAACCTGCAGGAGAGTTACGACTCGCTGCTCAGAACTGCTCTTCAGATACAGAAGAGACTCGCCGAGTCGCTGGCCAAATTCGAGGAGTACGAAGCCACGCTCGACAACATCACGGCCAACCTCGACGAGTGGGAGCCCATCATCGTCGAGGAGACCAATACTCCTGTGCAGACCATAGAGGACGCAAAATATCAGCTCGAAATGGCCAGGGTTAGTATTATTGTATATTGTGAAGTGATATTTTCTATGGTATTAAAGATTGGTTGAATATAAAAGTATCATAACCCAATCGCAACTTTCTAACACATCTACCTGACTAACCTTCCCAACCAACCTACTAAACACACATCATATTCCACACTTACCTCACTTTCCTAACCTACTTCGCTTTCCAACTTACCTCACATTTTCACCTATAACCTCCTCACTTTCCCAACTCCTCAACATGCCAACCCACCTGCCAAACTTAGGGATCCAACTATCTTTCATATCCACTTTTCTTCTTTTCTCTCTTTTCCACCTTGCTCCATTCGTACCTACCTGAGCGGCCTAAAATTTTGTCACAGCCTACACCTCCTAATAAAGCCTTCCACTCGTACCAGTCGTGGCAGGTCAAGCTGGTGAAGGAGAGGTCGACGCTGGCGGCGGCGGTGCAGGCGTGCGAGGCGACGGTGTCGCGGTCAGGGTCGCCGTCCACGGTCCTGGGAGATTCTGGAAGGGAGCTCCTGCAGGGAGAGCCTGGCAGGGAGCTGCTGGTGCGCGCCAAGCTCCAGGATCTCACTGAGCAGGTAAGGAGCTTTGACATGCACTCCGCAGTTGAAGAGCTTGGACCTCATTGAGCACGTGTCCATTGGCATTTAATAATCATAATTTCTGTTATATCTGCTGTTAAATTTCACAAACTAGTGCTCTGAGCAATGATTTCATTCGTAAATTTTTTATTCAAGAGTAGTGGTTATTCAACATTTTGTAATCATGTATCACTCGGAGGTCCTGGACAGTCGGCGTGTATTGTCTGAAGTACTGAAGGTACTATGTTAGCCTAGTCTGATGTAATATAGACCACGATTGTTTCCGTATAAGGTCAACCTACTGTTGCAGTAGACAAACAAGGGTACTGTATAAGGCTAGTCTTTTGTGGCATAGACCACTAGAGGTACTGTATAAACCTAGTTTGCTGGAACAATAACTCAATGGTTTGGTATACGCCGAATCGTCAATATGGAAATACATCTAAAAATCATCAGTGGAAATTGAACTAAATTAAAATCAGATCAGGGCTTGAAAGGGTCCATTTCATTCTTCAATCAACAATTCTTGGTTCAGGAAACATTTTGATAACCACTGTACGATTTAATCGCGTATCGTCAAATTTCAGGACAAATTTTCATCTTGCTCCAGCAATGACGGGATCTCCTGCTAGTCCTTTGAATGTTTATTACGATTGTGTTAGTACTCACGATCATTGTTGGATGTGTCAAAGGTGCGTCCGATCCCCAGATCCAGGTGCGGATCACGTCAATCAGCAGCACGGTTACGGAGCTGGAGGATTTATCCAAGCAGAACGAGGACATTAAGAAGTGGATAGAGGACAACCAACATCTAATCCATGAGCTGCGGCTGAAGCCGGTAAAGCTTCGACATGAGGCTCAAGCCAACGAGATGGCCCAGCTCAACGACCTGAGAAGCAAGATCATCGAGAAGCAGAATATCCTTGACGACCTCGAAGTGAAACAGATGACCCTGACTCCCGACACTGACGATGATGACGTGAGGTGTCAGATGAACTCACTGGAAGAGGAGGTGAACGACATCATCGACACCCGCAGTGAAATCATCGGCTGTATCGAGGAGTACCGCACCAAGTTGCGAGGAGTGTATAGCTGGTTCGACACCATCATCAAGCTGCTGGAAAAGTGCGATAAGGTTGACTACCCCGACTCCAAACGCCGCAACGACGAAGTCCAGAAACTCTGGAGCAAGTTCAGGGAGGCCAACGTGAAGGTGGAGGAGCTCACGGAGAAGGCTAACGAAATCAAGCCGAAGTTGTCGAGCCTTGACAACCAGCAGGTTGACGAGCAGCTGAGGTCAGTGCAGAAGAAATACAGCGACTTGAAGAAGCGTGTGGGCAAGAAAAAACAGGTTATCGAGATGACACGCAAAGGCTACGAAGAAGCCAAGCAGAATGTGAACGATCTCGCCGAGTGGTTCGTCGAGAAGACCGAATACTTCGATGGCTTACCCATGCTGGGCCACTCCAGCAAGAATGTTGAACTACGCATAAACGACATCAACGTGAGTATTTTCATATTCTCTATAGTAAGAAAAGTTTTAGCCCATTATTCCTTCCGAGAAAATTTCTCGGAGGGAATAATGTGGAGGACTGAGGGATGTTATGGTATGTGGGAGGTGTTATGGAAAGAACAGTTTTAGCAACGGTTTACCTTATCGTTTCTTTTCTTGTTATCAAACCTCCTTGACCGTTTTTATCCTATCTGTTTTTGATGTATTGTTGACGATTTTAAACTAAATAATAATTGGTCTGCTAAAGGATTCCCGGATTTAAACTAAGCCCTTATGGCATTTCAGCTTCCATGTAAATTGCCATTTGAAGGGTCCATACACCTAAAATTTTCAAACAATTTTTGGTTTACAATCTCATTAACATTTAAACATTCTCCTAGAGAAATAGATTCTTTTGCTGCATCTCCAGAAAGAAATTGCGAACATAATTGCGCTTATATTTTCTCAGTCACATTGTTCCTTCAATGCATTTTTTCATCTTTTCTTTTCACAGGATTTGCAAAAAGAAATAGCAAACAAGAATGCAGTAATTTCCCAAATCGAAAAAACCCTCGAGAACATCAAAGGGGATGTGGAGGGGTCCGAGGTGCGGGAGCTCGAGGATCGAATCAAAGAAATTCAGAGCAAACAAGAGGAACTCAACGCCCGCACTGACGAGGTCAAGAGTAGCTTGGTCTCGGCCTATGATGAACGCCAGACTTTTGAAGATAATCTACAGCAAATCAACTTATGGATGAAGGGCAAGGAATCCGAAGTAGCCTGTCCGAGTCTACTGCCTCTTCGGGCTGAGGCGGCAGAAAAGGTGTGCGAGCGCTACAAGAAACTCAACTCCGACGTACAGCTGTTCTATGAAACCAACTTTGCGTCTACCAAACGATACGCGGAATCTTTACTCAAGGAGTGTGACGAAGAAGATGCGTATGAACTTAATGAAATAATTACAGAATTTTCCGACAAATTTAGTGACTTGAAGCAGACACTGTCCGACACTCTAAGCTGCATCTTGAACCTGGTCGAAGTACGCAAGGACTTTGAAAAGAAGATAGATGCATGCAACAAGTGGAACATCGAGGCAGAAGGCGCCTTACAGGTGGACACAAGGAGCCTGAATACTGCCGAAGTACTCGAAGAACATCTCAAGAAGCTCGAGAAACTTGATGATGAACAAGGGGAAGCAAGCGCGAGAGTAAACAGTGTCGGTAATATGTGCACCGATTTGATGGACTACCTCACCGACGCCGACAAATTCTCCCTGGGCGAGATCGTAAGCAAACTTCAGGACCGGAGCGAACAGATCAGCAACAACTTGCCGGCAAAGATTGAACAAATACGAGAAGCTATTTGCACCCAGAAAAAGATGACGGAACGTATGGTGGAAAGCACGCAGACTCTAGCTAACATCCAGAAGGAGGCACGAGGTTTGAGTCGACCTGTCGGCCGTACGGTCATGGACGGGCAAAATTTGCTGCTCGCTTACCAAGCCGTCATGCGGAAAGTATCCGAGTTCAGGAGAAGTTTGGAGCAGATGAGGAAGTGTCCTGATATCACCATGGAGGAGATGAGGGAGCTTATCAGGCAGCAGCAAGAGCTCATGTCGATTTTGGAGAAGCAGATAACGAGGATCAGGCAGCTGATTCTAGTGCGTCAACAGTACGCTTCGCTTGTGTCTGATATAAGCACTTTTATCAGCCGGTACACGATCATCCTTGGCGACATTGAAACAAGCGAAATGACTGTGGCCGACAAGCTCAAGAAACTGCGTGCCGTCATCATTAAGATCCAGGAGTGTGAAGGGCAGCTCACCTCAGCCCAAGACAAGGGTGCTATCATCGGAGAAGAGGGGCATGTCGAGGACCGGAACGCCATCATGGAGGAACTACAGATTTTGAAATCTGGAGTCTCAAACTTGCGCCGCGAAGTTGAGAACAAACAACAGGAGCATGAGACCACCGCCGAGAGCCACAAGAAACTGCAGGTGGAGCTTAACACCGCCATGGAGTGGCTTTTCGAACAAGAGTCAGAGCTTAAGTCCAGACCTCTCCTCACCCTTGAGGTTGAGAGTGCCGAGGACGAGATCGAGACTCACAACAACCTCAGCTCGGACATCGAAGGCCAGCTGGAGAAAGTCAAAGAGGTGTTAACTGCGGCCAAGAAGGAGTCTGGCTTGCCGCATATTCTTCAGGAGAGGATTGCAGAAGCCAACATGGTGTTGTCAACGTACCCTCTAGAGCTGAAAAGCAGGCTCAAGTACCTCACTGATGCCAAGATGCTCAGGATCGACTATGAGGACTTCAGCACTAGAATAGCCGAGTGGGTGTCCAACGCCAAGTCTCGCCTCCAGACTCACGACGGTGTAGACTTTGAGAACCTGAGCTCTGAGCTTGAAGATCATAACTCCTTCTTCTCCAGCGAAAAGCTTATCGGAGAGTCCCTGCAACAGCTTGGGCAGACGGCCGAAAGGATCGTGCCTTCGTTAGGATCAGATGAGCAAGAAGAGCTTACGGTGGAGCTACAGGATCTCACTAAGGATCTGGACGAGGTGACGACAGCTGCCAAGAAATGCAGGCTGACGATGGAGAAGAACCTGGCGGAATTCTACGAGTATAAAGCCGCGTTGGATAAGTGCAAGGCTCTGGTCCATAGTGCCTCCAGCAACTTGTCCATGGAGGACACCGCCACGTCCATCACATCTCTACGGTCAGCCTTGCAGCGTGTAGACGAGGAACGTCAGCGGCTGTACGACCAGGGATCGGTAATTAACGACTTCACTGACAAGGCGAACGCTGTCATTGCCAAAGCCAACGAGGCTTGTCAAACAGCCGTAGGTCTAGAGCTTGTCGACGTCTCGAGGAGCTGGAAGGTTGCCCTCGACAAGATCGAGTCGAGGCGAGAAAAGCTGAGGCTTGTGATCGAGCAGTGGCAGCGTTTCGAGCTCTCGGTTCGCTCGCTCGATGCTGGCCTCACGGCCCTCGAACAAAGGGTCAAGGAGCTCGAGGGGGACTCGACCCCCGGCAGGTCCAAGGAGGAGCTGGACGAGCTGCTCGAGGTGGGTGCTAACTTTTAGCCGATGTGTTGACTCAGAACTGCTATGGTTTATTAAAATTATTCAACTTCAAATTATTCTCAACACTAACAAATTACGTAAAGGTGGAAGGCATATTCTGTAGTTTTGTACTAACCATATCTTCAATACAAACGTTTCGAAGACCAGCTCCATCATCAGTTTACGAACTTTATAAAATACATGTACAATCAGTGATTAAAATAAATATAAATACGGAATAGAGAAAAACGTTCTATGAAACTTTTCCATTGACGATATGTTGAATTCGCTTGGCATTTTCAATGCTTTCAGATTCTTGGTGAGCTTGCGATTTAAGCAGACTATAGAGTAATTATGAGTAATTAGTAATTAGTAATTGAGAGTAATTAGAGTAATTAAGACTACTATAATGTAATTATGACTATATTAATAAATACACGCAGACTATATGATATAATTACGACTTTATTAATAAATATGTGCAGACTATATGATATAAGTACTAAGTCGCGTCATATTTCATGTACACATTCACACGTCATGTACACACGTACACGTCATGTACACACGTACACGTCATGCACGCAGGAGCTGGAGGAGGAGGTGGAGGACCTGGAGGAGGAGGTGGAGGGGGTGGGCGAGGCGGCGGTACCCGTGGTTGAGTACCTGCGCCCCGCCACCGCCGCCGCCGCCGCCGTCAAGAAAACCAAGGAGACGCTGGCCCGCCGCCGCCTGCTGTGAGTACCACGTACCATGTACCATCACATGTACCTGGTACCTCGTACCATATACCATCACATGTACCTGGTACCTCGTACCATGTACCATCACATGTACCTGGTACCTCGTACCATGTACCATCACATGTACCTGGTACCTCGTACCATATACCATCACATGTACCTGGTACCTCGTACCATGTACCATCACATGTACCTGGTACCTCGTACCATGTACCATCACATGTACCTGGTACCTCGTACCATATACCATCACATGTACCTGGTACCTCGTACCATGTACCATCACATGTACCTGGTACCTCGTACCATGTACCATCACATGTACCTGGTACCTCGTACCATATACCATCACATGTACCTGGTACCTCGTACCATGTACCATCACATGTACCTGGTACCTCGTACCATGTACCATCACATGTACCTGGTACCTCGTACCATATACCATCACATGTACCTGGTACCTCGTACCATGTACCATCACATGTACCTGGTACCTCGTACCATGTACCATCACATGTACCTGGTACCTCGTACCATATACCATCACATGTACCTGGTACCTCGTACCATGTACCATCACATGTACCTGGTACCTCGTACCATGTACCATCACATGTACCTGGTACCTCGTACCATATACCATCACATGTACCTGGTACCTCGTACCATGTACCATCACATGTACCTGGTACCTCGTACCATGTACCATCACATGTACCTGGTACCTCGTACCATATACCATCACATGTACCTGGTACCTCGTACCATGTACCATCACATGTACCTGGTACCTCGTACCATGTACCATCACATGTACCTGGTACCTCGTACCATATACCATCACATGTACCTGGTACCTCGTACCATGTACCATCACATGTACCTGGTACCTCGTACCATGTACCATCACATGTACCTGGTACCTCGTACCATATACNAGGGGTGCTGTCAGCTGATGGGTGTTGTCAGCTGAGGGGTGCTGTCAGCTGATAGGTGCTGTCAGCTGAGGGGTGCTGTCAGCTGATGGGTGCTGTCAGCTGAGGGGTGCTGTCAGCTGAGCTGCGTTCTGCTGATAACCGTTATCGCTGATAAGAGTCAGCTGTTATCAGGAGCAAGTGTCAGGAACGTTCATCGCCGCAGATAACAAATCTGGAACTGCGCAGTGCAACACTGCTACACTGCTACACTGCTACATTGCAGCACTGCAACACTGCTACACTGCAGCACTGCGACACTGCAGCACTGCCACACTGCAGCACTGCCACACTGCAGCACTGGAACACTGCAGCACTGCTACACTGCAACACTGCAACACTGCAACACTGCTACACTGCAACACTGCAACACTGAAACACTGCGACACTGCTACACTGCAGCACTGCAACACTGCAACACTGCTACACTGCAACACTGCTACACTGCANCTGCTGCTGCTGCTGCTGCTGCTGCTGCTGCTGCTGCTGCTGCTGCTGCTGCTGCTGCTGCTGCTGCTGCTGCTGCTGCTGCTGCTGCTGCTGCTGCTGCTGCTGCTGCTGCTGCTGCTGCTGCTGCTGCTGCTGCTGCTGCTGCTGCTGCTGCTGCTGCTGCTGCTGCTGCTGCTGCTGCTGCTGCTGCTGCTGCTGCTGCTGCTGCTGCTGCTGCTGCTGCTGCTGCTGCTGCTGCTGCTGCTGCTGCTGCTGCTGCTGCTGCTGCTGCTGCTGCTGCTGCTGCTGCTGCTGCTGCTGCTGCTGCTGCTGCTGCTGCTGCTGCTGCTGCTGCTGCTGCTGCTGCTGCTGCTGCTGCTGCTGCTGCTGCTGCTGCTGCTGCTGCTGCTGCTGCTGCTGCTGCTGCTGCTGCTGCTGCTGCTGCTGCTGCTGCTGCTGCTGCTGCTGCTGCTGCTGCTGCTGCTGCTGCTGCTGCTGCTGCTGCTGCTGCTGCTGCTGCTGCTGCTGCTGCTGCTGCTGCTGCTGCTGCTGCTGCTGCTGCTGCTGCTGCTGCTGCTGCTGCTGCTGCTGCTGCTGCTGCTGCTGCTGCTGCTGCTGCTGCTGCTGCTGCTGCTGCTGCTGCTGCTGCTGCTGCTGCTGCTGCTGCTGCTGCTGCTGCTGCTGCTGCTGCTGCTGCTGCTGCTGCTGCTGCTGCTGCTGCTGCTGCTGCTGCTGCTGCTGCTGCTGCTGCTGCTGCTGCTGCTGCTGCTGCTGCTGCTGCTGCTGCTGCTGCTGCTGCTGCTGCTGCTGCTGCTGCTGCTGCTGCTGCTGCTGCTGCTGCTGCTGCTGCTGCTGCTGCTGCTGCTGCTGCTGCTGCTGCTGCTGCTGCTGCTGCTGCTGCTGCTGCTGCTGCTGCTGCTGCTGCTGCTGCTGCTGCTGCTGCTGCTGCTGCTGCTGCTGCTGCTGCTGCTGCTGCTGCTGCTGCTGCTGCTGCTGCTGCTGCTGCTGCTGCTGCTGCTGCTGCTGCTGCTGCTGCTGCTGCTGCTGCTGCTGCTGCTGCTGCTGCTGCTGCTGCTGCTGCTGCTGCTGCTGCTGCTGCTGCTGCTGCTGCTGCTGCTGCTGCTGCTGCTGCTGCTGCTGCTGCTGCTGCTGCTGCTGCTGCTGCTGCTGCTGCTGCTGCTGCTGCTGCTGCTGCTGCTGCTGCTGCTGCTGCTGCTGCTGCTGCTGCTGCTGCTGCTGCTGCTGCTGCTGCTGCTGCTGCTGCTGCTGCTGCTGCTGCTGCTGCTGCTGCTGCTGCTGCTGCTGCTGCTGCTGCTGCTGCTGCTGCTGCTGCTGCTGCTGCTGCTGCTGCTGCTGCTGCTGCTGCTGCTGCTGCTGCTGCTGCTGCTGCTGCTGCTGCTGCTGCTGCTGCTGCTGCTGCTGCTGCTGCTGCTGCTGCTGCTGCTGCTGCTGCTGCTGCTGCTGCTGCTGCTGCTGCTGCTGCTGCTGCTGCTGCTGCTGCTGCTGCTGCTGCTGCTGCTGCTGCTGCTGCTGCTGCTGCTGCTGCTGCTGCTGCTGCTGCTGCTGCTGCTGCTGCTGCTGCTGCTGCTGCTGCTGCTGCTGCTGCTGCTGCTGCTGCTGCTGCTGCTGCTGCTGCTGCTGCTGCTGCTGCTGCTGCTGCTGCTGCTGCTGCTGCTGCTGCTGCTGCTGCTGCTGCTGCTGCTGCTGCTGCTGCTGCTGCTGCTGCTGCTGCTGCTGCTGCTGCTGCTGCTGCTGCTGCTGCTGCTGCTGCTGCTGCTGCTGCTGCTGCTGCTGCTGCTGCTGCTGCTGCTGCTGCTGCTGCTGCTGCTGCTGCTGCTGCTGCTGCTGCTGCTGCTGCTGCTGCTGCTGCTGCTGCTGCTGCTGCTGCTGCTGCTGCTGCTGCTGCTGCTGCTGCTGCTGCTGCTGCTGCTGCTGCTGCTGCTGCTGCTGCTGCTGCTGCTGCTGCTGCTGCTGCTGCTGCTGCTGCTGCTGCTGCTGCTGCTGCTGCTGCTGCTGCTGCTGCTGCTGCTGCTGCTGCTGCTGCTGCTGCTGCTGCTGCTGCTGCTGCTGCTGCTGCTGCTGCTGTTGCTGTTGCTGCTGCTGTTGATGCTGCTGCTGCTGCTGCTGTTGCTGCTGCTGCTGTTGCTGCTGCTGCTGCTGCTGCTGCTGCTGCTTCTACAGCATTAGAAGTGTATAGAGTGTTGTATAGTGGTTATTATGTTGACAATTTAATTTTATAGTGTTCATTTATTTAATATCGATCCAGCTGGGTCCTTTTCTTATTTGATTTTAGACCAATAAATATCAGTAGGGTAAAAGAGAAGGTTAAGTTTCAGGTTTTACGGTACAGTGTTAATTGTGTATCTGTTTATGTATTAATCCTATCAAATTCCACCCTGAATATGTGTTGTTTGTGTACGAGTACACCTGTGTTCTTTCGCTAACTTGAGTTAGTTAGCATATTTATGTTACTCGTTACTCTTTGCGTTACTCTTTGCGTTACTCTTTGTCCAAACTTGAAGAAGTATGATTTATCTATATATATACCATATCTAGACTAATGTGCTATGTGCGAATGGAATTAATTGGTTAAAGTTGATGTAATTGTTGGAATTGGGCCTGACGTGTTAGAGGAAATTTAGTAAAAATAGAAATATATCTGTTCCGGAAGAATCAATACAGCTGTTTCCCATCGAACGTTTCTTTTGTTGACAAGTTTTCTATGGAACAACTTATGAGGGGAAACTCATTTTTCTCGATACTCTGAGTCGGATATTTAGCAATGTTTATCCTTAATTACTCCGCTTCATATGATTATTGGCAGTCGACCAACTGCATATAGTTTGGCCAACTGCATATAGTTGGTAAACGACTCATTGTTTAATGCAGACAGTGTCTTGAGTACTTCTATCATATTGGTCTGTATCATTAACACTATAATAACTGTCTGATCAAGAGAGTATCATGAAAGTCTATGTCTGTATTATTACTCTTTCATAACTATTTAGCGCAATTGTCAATTCATGATATGCGTTCATCATGACTTTCTGTACCATGACAATGTTTCATAAATGTCTTTTTTTACAGTCTGTATTAATCCTGTCTGTATCATGTCTACATGTTGCTTGGATACCGATTTCATGACGACGTATCTGGACAGTAAATCCTGAATCAGGCCAGGCTGAATGAATTTATCACGAATGTGTGTTCAATAACTGCCTGTATCAGTATTATTTATCATCACCATATACCAGGAATTTAAAGGCAAATAAATCATCAAGCAAACTCACTATATCTTCAATGAAAACATTTCGGAGACCAGCAACAGGAGATGAACATGCGATTTAAGCCGAGTAATGAAATAAGTACCTATGAATATACTAGTCATGTTAAGGCCGGTCCACATGCTCAGTTTTACACAACGATTTGTCTGCGCAGTTTTAATTGTTGCAGATACTACGTTGCGTGTGGACGGGAAAACTGCGCAGTTTTGAAGCTGGCACAATGACTGCACAGTTGCAGCAATATCTGAGCTACAGATCATATATTTCGATGAACTGCGCAGACAAGTCGGAACGTGTGGACGGTGGCACAGTTTTCCGATTCAATTTGTGCTCAGTTTCAACGATTCTGGCGACAATGGCGGACCTTCGGTAATGTTCTCGGGAATTTAATGCTCTTCTATACGAAAGTTTTTCTTGCATTTGGCGAGTAAAATTCAAGGACTATACTAACAGGGACAAAGTAGGTGGAGACATACGAGAGCTTAGTAGTAAAATTCAATGAAATCGATGAAAGCGTAAACAGAGAAAATGCTGTAAAAAATTAATAAGTTGAGGAGCATTTACCGTAAATAATTGGGGAAAAAAATAAAAAATTGATTCCATCTGGAATCGATTCCATTCCAAAAATTAAAAAATGATTCCATACAAGCCATCTCTCTTGTATTTTGATTCCTCGTATTTCCTAAATGATCCAATCTCTTCTTTAACAAGGCAAATGCCAAAATTGATCAAAATACTGCCTTCTCTATGGCACGTTTCGGATAAATTTACGGCCGGACTCGCGGCCGGTCTCCCCAAATTCGATGGGCATGGAATATCTCCCAAAATAATGAACGTAGCTCGATAAAACTTGGTACACGTATTCATTAGGACCTAACGGTGATGTTTAGCACGTGGCAATTTTTTCGATTTTGCCTTCGTTTGCGAGTTATACGGCGTTATCTAATCTAAAAAATTATCACGAGCTAAACATCGCCGTTGGGAGGTTAGGTTTCTATATTCAAAGTTTCGTTTAAATCTGTACAGTAGTTAAGAAGAAATGTCATGCTCACTGCAAATTTCGGCACGTATCATCATATAACTCAAAAATGAAGGAGAAAATCCAAAAATTTTCACGAGCTAAACATCACCGTTAAGTCCTAATGAATACGTGTACCAAGTTTTATCGAGCTACGATGCACCGTCATTACTTTGGGAGATATTCCGGCCATGCTCACACACAGACACACATAAGTCGGCACCGTGTGGACGCTCTAAAAATTGCAACGATTTTATTCCGACTTAAAACTGCGCAGACAAATCATTGTGTAAAACTGAGCGTGTGGACCGGCCTTTACAGCATGAATGCCTGTGCCATGTCTGTACATTCTATGTATCATAACTGTCTATAAGATGTCTGTATAATGTCTCTATCGTGTCTACCATGACTTAATCATGAGTTCTCCTCCTCCCATTTCTGTACATTCAATGTATCATAACTGTCTTTATCATGTCTGTATAATGTCTGTATCATGTCTACCATGACTCAATCATGACTTCTCCTCCCATGACTTCTCCTCCTCCCATGTCTGTACATTTAATATATCTTAACTGTATATATCATGTCTGTACCATGTCTGTATCATGTCTACCATGACTTAACCATGACTTCTCCCCATCTTCCCTCCCCCAGGCTGGTGGAGAGCCTGCAGAGTCTCGCTGAACGCATCAGTGGAGATCGCACGTACCTGCAGCAGGCGCAGCAGCATCTGCCGCAGCTGCAGCAGCGTCTGCAGGCCTGCGAGCAGCAGCTGCACGCAGCTGATCCTTACACCTGCACTGCAGATGCTGCAGACACCGCCCGACAGGTGACGTACCCTATGACCTCTGCAGCCTGCCTAGCAGCCTGTGCCCCGCCATGTGCCGTGCCCCGCCATGTGCCGTGCCCCGCCATGTGCCGTGNCGAAGTTTGCACCATCGTTGTGACCCCCCCCCACCCCCGTGTTGGGGCTGGCGCGGCCGCGGCTCCCAGAATAGCTGCTGGTGTCAGTTGGCCGCTGGCTGTCGCACGGGCAGGTTGTGCTCGACGCTGGTCTCTGGTGCCGTCGTCGTCCGCCCTGCCTAGCATCTTCTTTATCATTTCCTCCCTGATTTAAACGCTCAATATTACACGTAGAAAAATAACAAGGGAATTTTTCGCAACCTCCGGCGACGTCCTGAAATATTTAGTGAGGTGACTGCTTGTTGTGGCATGTTGTGCCATGTGTGCCGGTGTGTCATGTGGTGGCTGCACCACATGTGGTGCTTGTGACTGCATGCGTCATGCGCTGGTGTGGCTGCATGCGGCGATAGTTTGCCATGTGGTGTGGCAGTTGTTCTCATGAGTATGTATTAATTTGAATGAATGTTCCCATTTTTTGTCATCGATGTTTCTTGATGTCAGTAATATGACCTGCGCATGTTTGTGTACTCCGTGACCTTGGAGACCGCCCCCCCCTCTTCCTGCATATCCCCCACTACCCCTTCCCTCTTTAGCGGGGGATGTTGGTGCTTGCAATGCTGGCTGTGGGGGGAGGGGGAAGCTGCCGTGTGCTTGCGCCTCTTGTGTGCGTGTGTTGGTGTATGCACGCACACGAGTTTGGTGCACTGCTTGTAGTGCTCGTATTGCGTGCTGCATGCACTGTGTGTGGTGCACGGTATGCATGGCGATGGTGGGGTGATGGGGTGGAGGTGGGGGGTTATGAGTTGGGGAGGGGGCATGTATAAGCAGCGATGGCGTCATGCTCGCTCCGGCCAAGAATTTCCTTCGTTTCTATTTGTTTTGTGAGCCGTCTGGCTCCCCCACCTCTCCCCCTGATCCACCTCTCCCCCTGACCCACCTCTCCCATGTCCACAGGCCGCCTGCGTGACGCAGCTCTGTGAAGACGTCACGCATTTCGTGGGCAACACGCGCGACCACTACACGCACCAGCAGCGACCTCTGCCCTCTGACCTCGCCGACCAGGTGCGTGATGCGTGGGGGACTGCGTGGTGCGTGATGCGTGATGACTATACTTGCGACATAAATATATATCTCATTAGTCTGCTTAAATCGAAAGTTACCCAAGAATTTAATATCAGAGAAAATGCCAGCAAGTTAGCTTTTTTGAACTTGGAGCTGTGGTGAATTTATTTGGGACTTTCTTTGATTTTAAATTCTCTGTTATGATATGTGTAGGTTGCGTGGAGAGCTACGTGTAATGCTACATGTAATGCTACGTGTTGTGTGCTACGTGTAACCTCCTCTTCTCTCCAATCTCCTCCAGTTGTCTTCCCTGGAGCTGGAGTCGGAGCGCGTAGCGGCAAAAATGGAGGACGCGGAGCAAGAGGCTCGTCGCGCCCAAGCCCTTCGTCAGGAGTTCTCCAGGGACGTGGAGGCGGTGCAGACGTGGGTGCAGACCGCGGAGCTCAAGATGCAGACAAAGGACGCCTCGCCCAGCGACCTCAAGGAACTCCTACAGGAGATCCAGTGCGAGGTGGGCGCCATCATGGACCAAATGGAGAGGATCAAACGCCATGGAGCCTTGATAACTGAGCGCTCCAGCAGCGAGGAGCAGCGACAGATGGTGCAATCCACAACGCTCCAGCTGAGTGACCAGCTTACCCAGGTGGCCACGTGGCTGGAAGAGAAGAAGGCCCAGGTGGGGGAGTCTCTGGACAGCTGGCAGGCCTTCATCCAGCTCTACAACTCCGTCAGGAGCTGGACGCAGAAGCAGAAGGATTTCTTGGCAGAGCCTCTCAAGTTCGCCACGCTCACCGAGTCCCGGGCCAAGCTGCACGAGTACATGGTACGTGGCATGCGTGCGTGGTGCGTGGCATGCGTGCGTGGTGCGTGGCATGAGTGTGTGGTGCGTGTCGTATGGTACGTGGCTCAGGAAACTGCACGTGGTGCATGGCTTGGAGGCATGGTGTGGGCAGAAGTTCGTGGTACGTGGTGTATGGTACGTGTTACGTGATGTATGGTACGTGGTATATCGAATATGATACGTGGGCACGGGTGCGTACTTAACGTCGTCAGTAAATTGTACGTCGCGTGTAGAAGTTGTAGGAGTGTAGGCAATTGTAGTGTTCACTCTACAAGATCATCCTAAAGTAACATGTTGATCGCGAACCTCTCAGGCGTGTACGTTGCTGTAAACAGATTCGGTAATCCGAATCTATTTCTATCTAGGCCGAACAATTTTAGATTCATACTAAATTTGTATGTGGTACAGAAATGCACTACATCCGAACATGTGGCGTGATGAGGGTTGAGACAGACGACTTAATTAATGGGCTGTGCGGTTGCAGGTGCTCAATGTGCTGTGTGGTTGCAGGTGCTTAATGAGCTCTGTGGTTGCAGGCAGCTGTGAAAGACTGCAGGTGGGCTAGCAAGCAGTTGGCTGACATGTCGGCCGAGTTGCAGAAGGTAAGCGAGGCCTCAAACCTGCACCCGCTGAGCGAAAAGCAGGCTGAGATTGAGCAGGAAAAAGCAGAAGTTGAGCGTCGCCTTCAGGAGGTCGTTGCCCTCCTGCAGGAGTTGGCAGAGGAGTGGGAGCAATGCGAGCGCAAAGGGAAGGAGGTCTCCACATGGATAGAACGCACCCATCAGGCACTTCGCAGCCCCCAGAACAAGAAGAGACCGCTGAGGGACCAGTTAACGGCCCGGGAGAAGGTTCTGGCGGACATAACCATCCAGAAGACGAAGCTTGTGATGGCCGTCGAGAAGCTGCAGGTCCACTTCAGGGACGGGGTCGTGGCCCAGGAGGCCAGGGTGGCCCAGGAGAACTCCCTCCTGCAGAGGAGGCTTACAGAACTCATGGTGGAGGTCAAGGAAGAGTGCAAGAACCTGGAGGCCTGTGTGCAGCAGATGGACGCTTACCAGCAGGTGTGTGCAGCAGATGGACGCTTACCAGCAGGTGCGTGCAGCAGATGGACGCTTACCAGCAGGTGCGTGCAGCAGATGGACGCTTACCAGCAGGTGCGTGCAGCAGATGGACGGACGTGCAGGAATGGTATCTTGTCAATTTAAAGCAATTGAACATACACATTTAATCATTAATTGAATAAATTCTTCAGTGACCACAATAATATCGGCAAGCGCTGAATTTCCCCCAGTCACTTACTATTTATACGCAACTCACCCCTATAGCACACGTCTATGTGTGTGAAACACATCAATGGCACGGAAATGCAACGTGGCCACACCACGCCAGTGCTACCGTACATGACACATAAATGCACCATACTGATGCACCATGCCTCCTCCCCCGGCATGCCCTTTGTGATGATGACGAGTCCCCTGCCCTCCTCCAGGAGATCCAGCAGTGCCGGGGGACGATGCTGGCCGTGGAGCGCCAGCTGCGCCTCGTGTCCAGCCCCACCTACAGCCCCAGGGACCGCGACAAGGCGGCCGCCGAACAGAGCGTAAGTAGCCTCGGGTCGCGGAAAATTATTGAAAGTCTCGGGGAATTGTTTAAAAATACGGGGAAGGTCGCGGGGACTTTTGGAAACCATAGGCAAAGGACGTGGGGACTTGTCGAAGCCACGGGTAAGGGTGCGGGGACTTGTTGGGAAACCATTGCCTAAGGTCGCGGGGACTTGTTAAAAGCCACGGGCAAGGGTGCGGGGACTTATCGAAAAGTACGGGGCAGGTCGCGGGGACTAGTTGAAAGCCACAGGAGGAAGGTCACGGGTTCTTGCTGGGGCAATATCATACAAGTTCACCATGCAATCATATGATTTTACCATATCATCATGACTCAAGTCATTACATCCTCCAGCAGCGAGAAGTTCAGGTAAGGAAGGTAAGTCTATCGACCTCATCATCACCGGCTTCATCAGTTATATTTTAGTTACATCATCTGAAATATAACTTAGATAATAGTTACATTAACTAACATTCAGATGGTTCTTGGTGTGCTTGGTTCTGTTCAGGTGGGAACTAGAGGTTGGTTCTTGTAGATTTATAATTGAAATACGAGCTTTTGGAGTTCGGTTTTAAATTTTCTTGATGCACTGCCTTATGAAGCACTGAAAAGTATTCTTTTTGTTTGATGCTCATCATAAGCTCAGTAGCTTGAGTTAAAAGACTTTATTTTTCTTCGGTTTCACGGTTTCAAAAATTGCTGTCTGTTTCATAATATCCTTAGAAGCTGTAAGTAAATGATTGTTCAATCCCTGAAAGTGAGGGCCCTCTGCTGATATTTTAATCTTTGTGATCTCTAGGCTTGCCGAGAGAGAATCAAAGCTGTGCAGATCAAAATTATGGCCCGCAACGAGAGAATTAAGCTACTCAATTTAAGGGGAACTCCAGACAGAGACAAACTTCCATCTTAGCGACTTGTGTGACTCACGATGCTTGTTTGTCCTAATCGCTAGATTTTGTTACGTCACCTCACTCTGGTTGACATGGTAGTATTTGTAGGGTAGGTTGACATTCCAAGCATTTTGCTGGCACTTTTCGTGCAGCTTCTACTAACTTGTTCTTTTAACTAACAAATCTTCCCATTAATTTGAGGCCAAAGAGAGATTAGTAACGAATATTTATTTGAAACAATCGAGAGGTATTTTCACCAGAATCCAATCATAATTGAACGATGGTCATTTGATGCTCATGATGAAACTGTGATGATGTGACAATGATTTAACTCATACATTTCACAACGTTAACACCATGGCATTCTCTCTGTCGTTTGCACATCACAGATCCAGCAAGCTAAGTACGTCTCCGACCAGAAACGTGTCGAGCAACTTTGCAAACGAATCTACGCAATCGATCCCCTCGAGCCCATTACTCCTAAGACTTCCACCCTCGCCTCAACGACGAGCGACTACGGTGCTTCTACATCCACCATCACAACGCAACATTACTACACGTCATCACCAACACAATACACGACTCCACTCACCACTGACACTAATATAAACCCCTCTTGTGGCATCCCCACAAACTCCAGTGACCTGATCAACCCCGCTGAAAATTACGGGGTGGTGCCGGGTGACGGAAATGACCCCACTTGCGAAGAAGTAGCAATGTTCCTGCCCCACGAGCCCTACACATTTTCCTCCCCGTTCCCCATGACCTGGGCGGATGTGGCCGCAGGCAGACGAAGTCCTGCAGTCTTCACACCACGAAGTCTGCAGGGTAGCGTCTGCTGCGATGACACAGACCTACAGACCAAGTTCCTTTCTGAGTCCCTGCCTTCTTCTCTGAGCGCTTCGGTGCTTGTCGGCGACAGCACTTGCGAAACAAGTAGCGAGCCTGACAACTCCGCGTTGCGGACACTCGCGCTACCGTCTGACCAAAATGCTGACGCCGCTTCGCCGGCGGCAAAATCCACAAATAACAGAGGCCGCGGCGCTCAGAGGAGTGGCAGAGGCGCCCTAAGGACCAGGTCAGCCCAAAGCAGAGGCTCTTGGTACCCTCAATCGCGTAGGGCTTTCTACAAGGACCAGTACGAAATGTACTACGTTCCTTACTCCTATGAACCGAGTCAGCAGCATCGGCCAAGGCGGTACGATTACAGATATCAGTATCAGACTGAGAAATACCAACCTTATCTAGTGCCTTATCCTAGTAAAGAATTTCGACAAAATCGCCGGCAGAACACGCAACAGAAACAGCGGAAATTACCAGAAGAAAGTTCACCGATTGTGACTGGGAAAGAAAATGAGAAAGAAGTTACCACTTCGAGGCCGAAAAGAGATCAGCCTCAAACTCGGCCATTGCGTCAAAGAGAACATAAAGTTCAACCCTCGAAGCCTCAGATTTCGTCTGTAACTAGAGCTGAAAAGTTAATCAATGAACCGCATTCTCAAACTGCAATTACAACGCTTGCTTATGATCAAGCTACGCCTCCAAATGCCCCAGCATGTGGAGAAAATACCGTAACTCTAGCAAAGGAAAACGCTGCCCCTGTAAACCGCAGTGTTGCCAATCCTCCTGTAAAGAAAGCAAAAGGTGAACCTGTTCACAAACAACGTACACAACCGCACACTTCCACATCACAACAATCCCGAAATTCTCACTCTTTGCCTCCGCGAGGTAATCCAAAATCGCGCGAATCCTCGCGTGGGAAAGGCAAACCACAAAAGTACCATTCAAATGAGACACGGAACTTTGAGAGTAAATCAAAGATTTCCAGTGGACCTCAATCAAGGCCTTTAGATCCTTCTAAGTCAGATGGCCGCACGCCTTCAGTAAAAGATGCTGAACGCCTCGGCGCTAACGTAGTCGCAACTCTGTCCGAAGTCAACACTCGAACGATCGTTCGCTCGAACGAACCCTGTCCTCCACAGGACATCAAGCAAGCCACTTCAAAAAAACCCGAGCACTCGTCAACGAGTATGTCGAGCGAAACTTTAACCCCTGCAACCAAGTCAAGTCCTCCAACAGAGACGAGCAGCAACGAAGAAAACTCTAAGTCCGTGTCTTCTACTCTAGTTTTTGACGGTAGAACAACCTACGCCGAGATACTGAAAGGGCAGCAAATGCTGCTTGAAGACTGTGCTGAAGGGAAGGATGAAATGTTGATCTCGACGATGCAAGTCGATCAAACCATTGACACGTCCCAGGCTCTGCTGGCTTCAGTCCCCCCTTTGCAAGAATCTGAGTCTATGCAACCTAGATCAAATCTTGATACCGAATATTATTCTCAATCGAATAAAGAAGATGATTTACCGCCCTCATCATCCACTGATGTTTTTATGAGTGAATTAAGCGAGTACACTCAAGCTCAAATTAGCCCGTATATTGCAGACGCTGCCGTTCTGCCTCAAGCGCAGTACGTCGCCAACGCTCCTAGCGACATGATGTCCCAAGAGTCCGCTGCTGTGCATGGTCTTTCAAGCTTCGTGGAGGTGACTAGTTACGTTCCAAGTGATGTGGTGCTCATTACCACCACTCAAGAACATGTCTACCACCCTTTAGATGTTAACTCGTCTCAAATGTCGAGTCTGATGGCCACATCGTCAGCGAGTTCCTACATAGACTCGTCGGAGGCGTCGCCGGAGTGTCGGCCTTCCTCCATATTTGTGCAGAACAGCAGCTTGGTTCGCGGAAACGCTGGAATTAATGACAATATAACGCGTATAAAAGAAGAGGAAAGAAGTGTGAATGTTGGCGGCGGCGTGAAACCCGCAGCTGTTGCCACAAACGAGACGCATTCGTGGCGTGACGTCGAACTTACTTATGAAGAGCCCGAGTGCGCGTACAAGCCCAAGTATGAGCCTAATTCTCAACTGCACTTGAAAGAAACCTTCACTAAAGAAAAGAAATTACTCAAGGAAGAAAGTTCTAGACAACAACATGTTCTTCTTAATCGTCTTGCTGAAGTGGAGTCTATTCCACAGAGCGTCAAGGAGCAACTATCCTGCCTCGACTTATCCAAGTATACATACGCTCAAATTCTTGCCATGAATTTGGAGCTCAAAAAGGCCGAGTGTGCCAAGTCTGAAGCTTCTGAAGCTGCCGATACAAAAGCCTCGAGTGAAGAACATAAGCAACGCTCGAAGACCAACGAGTGCAAAGACGCCCCCGTCATCACCGTTGTTCCTGTAGAAGAGGTGACACGAGGAGAGATTGAAGTCCCCAAGCCCAAAGCTAGTCAGTCCACATCAACGGGCTATGTCCCTCCTGGTAAATATATCCCAGGACTAATTTTCAAGGAGGGGACAACAGAACGATCTCGGTCGCGAAGCAATAGAAGAAAGTCTCCTCATCGAGCATCCAAAACGGTCGACCAAACTTTAGCTAACGAAGAAACTCAAGGTGCGAGCGCCTTGACTTTGCCTCGAGAATCGGAAAAACCCCAATCCAGAAGCCGAGATTCCTCAGGCACCAAGAAACGAAGCCGAGAATCCTCAACCAGTAAAAAGCGAAGCCAAGATTCCAAGTTAACCAAACTAGAACCCACGAAAGGTAAAGTATCGCCCTCGGGTGAACAGCGATTCGACACAAAGGAGCTTCGTCCCCCTGAAGAAGCCAGGACCAGCCAGCAAACTGATGCAATGGAGAATAAATCTGTAACTAAGATCTTATTAGATGATGAGAGCTTAGTTTCAGCTCGGAAAACCGGAAAAGTAGGCACGGAGAATTCATTGCAAAACGAAGTTGAGTCTACTGAAATTCAAACCAAAATTGTGCCATCAGAACCCAGTCCCTATGTGGAGAAAGAGGAAGAAGTACGCTCGGTAAAAGAAAGTGAAAGCAATCAACAAGCTGACTCCCTGTGCAAGAATGGAAAAAGTAAGAAGAAGAAAAAGAAACAGAAGCTAAACCCTGAAGAAGATGATCTAGAAAAGGCGTTGAGAGAAATAGCGAAGATGGAAGAATCAGGAAAACTTGAGAAGGTTCCACAGGCTTCCTCAATAGAGAATATTGAGAGTTCAACTAGACAAACAAAGCAGAAAAAACGATCAATTCCAACTGGTTCAAGCCGGTTGAAAGAAACAGAAAGGAAAGGCGATGAGCCCCGAGCTGCAGAGTCAAAGTCGCCCATGACAAAAAAATCGTCGAAGGGAAAATTTTCTACAAAGAAAAACACCTCCAAAGATTCTACAAGCAAAGATTCTTCAGAGTCTTCATTCGATCAGAGTTCAAGTGCCGACGCTGCAGGGAGCAGCGTAACTTTCAAGCCCGAAGTCGGTGCCAAGCCTGAGGCTGAAGTCAGTGCCAAGCCTGAGGCTGAAGTCAGTGCCATCCCTGAGCCTGAAGTCAGTGACAAACCTTACCCTACCGAATTGGCTTCGCAGAAGTCTGAGGGAACCGGAGTTCGTAAGAAGAAGGCCAAAATTCAAAAAGAACCTTTGGCCAAAAAGGCTGCGCGAGAGCTTGATGCTCCACTTTCTGGAAGTTTAATCTCGAAAAAATCCTCGGAAGTTGTGCCAAAACAACAGAAATTTCTTTCCCGGGTTGACCAGGCAACTTCCAACGCTATTGATGTACATGAGACGTCAGGTGATGATAGGAACAAAAAAGCTACAAAGCCTACGAAAGTACAAGCTACCGAGACGAAAGAAAGTGTTCCTACAAATATTAAGGCCACCGAAAATGATTTGAGGAATAGGGATTCGAAGGTGACTGAGGCAAATGATCAGAAAGAAAGTGACACCGCTAAAATTGATATTCCACAAGTTACTGAGGTCACAGGAGGTGTGATCAGTGGTAAAGCCCTTGAGGTAACTGAAGTCAGGACCCCTGAGGTCAGAGAAAATGCATCGAAAGTTATTGTAGGCACTGAGAGTGATGTCAGAGGAAATGATTTACTAGAAACCGAGGTCCTAGAAAGTGAGATCAGAAGTAAAGATTTAATTTTTGCGGAGACCACAGAAAATGAGGTCAGCCTTAAAGATTTTAGGGCTACTGAGGCCACAAAAAGTGAGGTCAGTGTAAGAGATTCGAAGGTTACTGAGGTCACAGTAGGTGATGCCGAGCTAGAGGCACTAGTCGCCGCTGCCGGGCGCGATGCCAAGTGCGTAGCTGACGCCCGTGTATGCGATGGCTCGCTTGCAACAGCAAGCAATGAGCAAGCGCCGCAAGAGAGGAAGCAATTCAACCTGCCCATCCCGGACCATGCCAGTGATTGGCTAGACGTAATCGAGAGTGGTGGCTTCTCACTTGATAGTTCTGATGAAGAAATTGAAGATAAAATGGCTTCTATCAGCGTTGCCCCAACTGCAAAAATCAGTGCCGTTTGTGCTGACGCGATGGCCTCAATCAGTGCTGACAAGACGGTATCAATCACTGCTGACACAAAAGTCTCAACCAGTGATGACATTAAGCCAAATCCGAGTGCACCCTTAGAAAATACTGCTAGAAGTTGGGTTGAAGTGATTGAGGAGGTCATGCCAGTTGATAATTATTGCGTTGATGAAGACAGGAAAGAGATTCCCGATTTGCCTGAAGGTGAAGTTGTCAATCAAGGCCCTGAAGGCACTCGCACTCAAGTCAAAGTAACGAGTTCTGGCAAATCTAGTGGAATCATTCGGAAGATAGTGAAGAAAATCGAATATGTAGATAGTACTCCCGTCGAGACTGAAGAAGAATTACGTTCTGAGGAGAAATTCAGCGAACCTCGTATTTCCGAAAGTAAAGATGATACGACCTCTTCAGTAAGAAAAAGACGAACAGTTAAGAAGCTTATCTTTATCGATGGACATCCTAGTAAGTCAGATGAGGAACCTGATGATGCCACGGTCAATACGAGTATCAGTAAGTCTCCCAAAATAGACCGACAGACCAGCCGAACTGCGCAGTCATCCCGAATGTTGAGCAGCGCAACAATTGTCAGTACGAAGAAAATTTCAAACCCAACGGAAGAGGATGATGGCATTTTGGTTTCAGCTCATGTTCAGTACGACGAAGAAAATCTGCCGGATGAAGACCAAACTCATGCACTTGACTCATCGAGACGGACGGTTATAAAAAAAATAGCTTTCGTTGAAGGACAGCCTGTGGAAACTGAAGAGGTTGTAGAGACCCAAGATGATGACGTAGGCCTTGATGACCTGAGCCCTGTCGCGATCGTTGATTTTGGGGATACTTATACGACCAGTGCGGCAAAACGGAAAAATGATGCACTCAAAATCAAGAAAAGACTGTCATTCTCTGCTGACGTTGACGTCATCTCCTCTGATGGCGTCGAGAAATCAACACTATCAGGTGATGATGATGACGGCGAAGTTGTTGAGACCGTTTCTACTGAAGAGGGAGCAACAACTTCAACTATCATCACTACTAGAACAACGACGCGAACAATCCGTGTAATCAAGAAAATAATAACAACAATAGTGTACATAAATGGAGAACCTGTGCAGACGCAGAAGGAAATAGAAGTGCCGATAGACGAATATGGCAATGAAATAGAAGACGTCGATGATTTTGAGCTCTCGATGGAAGCGCAATCTGCAGATCCCAAGATAGATGTAGATACAGGTGTCTCCGTTCAACAATCCCTAGTCACCCCACCAGCTTGTCAACAACACGGCAAACCCGGAAAATCTGATAACCCGAAAAGGAAAGTTTCATTCAAGCTCGATGAAGTTCCAAAGATATCAGGTTTCAATTTAAAAATTCCTGACCACGCAGATGATTGGATGGAGTTAATGGAAGGCGGTGGCTTTTCTCTCGATGATGAAGAGGAAGATGTTCAATCACCTGAAAAAGCCCCAGAGGCATGCGATGCATCTACTCAGAAAGTTTCAATTCTGGGGCCAGAAAGCAAATCTGAGATCCTCGATACCAAGCAGGAAGTAGATGAACATGAACTGCTGCTTACTCATGTAAAATCTACTCCTGAGCGGCCTTGCAGTGAGGCTGCAAAGCTGGAAGAGAAACTAAATGTGCCCGAGAAATTCAATCTGAAAATTCCTAGTCACGCCGACGATTGGCTGGACATCATGGAAAGCGGCGGTTTCTCAATGGATGACGAAGACGAACCCGAGACGTCAGGTGAAATTCTTTCTGTAATTCCCGAGACTCGCTCATCTGAAGGTTTGACCTCGTCTGATGCTTCCTTGATCCCGCCATCTGTCGTGAAGGCTGCAGAGCCAGCTGTATCTGAACAGACGCCTGTGGAGCAAACGTCTTCGCCTGATAATCGATTGGACGTTTCTAGAGTGGATGCTGTGCACAAGATAACCCAGGTTTCAGATGAGAATGAGTTGCAAAAATCGTTATCTGGTGTTGCAGACTTCAGCAGCGCCATCGAGAATGGCGGTATTAACTTGGAGAGTGAAGACCAAACTGAGCCTGCTGTGTTCCTTTCGGGTGCTCTCGAACAAATTGAACTTCCATCAAAGGAGAAGGATGTCGATAATAAGTCCAGTAATAACGAGAGCTCGAATTCAATTGATTTCGTGAGTGTTATTGAAGGTGGAGGGTTTACACTTGACAGTGAGGACGAGCGTGATGACGACATACTAACTGAGAAGAAGCCCGAAGCCGCCGCTGTGGATATAATTGAAATTTCTCGGCCTGCCACATCGGTCACTGCAGAAGCCGCCGTGACAGATGGGATCCAACCTCAATCTAGTTCCAAGGACATTAAGGCCGACACAAATCCTGCAGCTGCGTCTGGGTTGAAGAGTCAAGTCGAGTCTGAAATTCATGATTTGCTAGATGTTTCGATGATAACTAAACCATCAGAGTCCGTTTCTCTCAAGAATGAAGGTTCAACGATTATCATCGAAACTGAAGGTAAACTGACTTTCGAAACTGGGACTAATCTTCCTGCAGTAAACCTTGATCTCAAAGGCAAAGATATCGATTTTGTGACTGAAACTATCAACAAAGGAGAACTTAATGTGCACCGTAAGATAAGTAAAACGCATCCTACGAACAAAGAGGAAATAATTGACAAACCCTTGTCAACAACTTGTCAGACATTGGACATATCCCTAGTGCCCCAATGGCTTCGCCCTAAGACGACTGCACCCACAGCGTCGTCTGCACCGGTTGACCCTGTAACCATGAAGATTGTCGCCTCCTTTGAAGAGAGAAAAAAACACTTCTCGCTTAGCAGTCCAATGGGTGGCAATCATAAGGAAGCATTGAATGTCAAAAATAAACCAGATGAACCCAGTGACTCGACGGCTACAAGTCAAGCTAAGTTACCCTCGGAAGCAGCCTCTGCCGATACCAGTCCTGCTATCGGTCTTTATCCAAAAATAAATGAAGCGTCTTCTGAGAAACTGATACATGAGTTTCCTGACATTGCTGTTGACACAATAAACGAGCAAGATAAAATCGCGTTACTTGAAGAATCGCCTGAAAAATCCATATTGAGTCTCGAAGCGAGTGCGATAAAGGACATGGATGTCAAGGGAGAGACTGAGATCCCCCACGAGACCGTTCAAGAAGTCAAAGTTGATGAGCCTCCCGTTTTTAGCGATTTCAACTTCCCCGCTATGAAGAAATCTGCTGTGAATGTTGGTGGAAGAGCAGCTCTGCCACCGCCCGTAATGTCATACGCTAAGATGGTTGTTTCGGGCGAGCCGGTTCAGGGGCAGGAACTCACGGAAAAACCGAAACCTTACATCTACCGTAACCCTCCCGCTATGCAAGTCGACGCCGTGGAAGTAGTTGGAAAGCGTGTGGAAAACAAGGATGAATTCAAGGAGTACAAGCCTCGACGGTCGTCTGGACGACGCACTGTGAGCACGTCGGGGCCTAGCGGGAAAAAACTTGATATCCTTTCGGCCGTCGAAGAGCCCAACAAAAGTAATTCTTTGACCAATTTGTTAGCAGGAACTCACATGCCCGAAATCTCCGTCTTCCAACACCCGAATAGGTTTTCCCTGAAAACGGATCGCGCAAGCGATGAAGTCCCAGCCTTCCCGGAGGATATGGTGCTTGAAGACGTCTACGATGAAGTTGAGGCACCCTCAAACAAGGAAAAAACGGAAGTTGAGAACGCAATTAACCGAAGGAAGCAAGAAGTTCTCAAAGCAAAGTCGCGCAAGAAATCCAAATCGACTTCAAAGAGCGAAAAATCTGTTCCTGTACTCAATGATTCTCTAATGGCAGCTCATTACCTCTCACGCGAGATGAGGTTTGATATGAATGAATTAGAAAAAGCAGAACAAATTTACTATGAATTCCTCAACAGCCAGCCGAATTCAATTGAAACATCTACTGTTGAGGGAGAAGTTTCTATTGCGAATGTATTAAATGAGGAAGGACCATCTGCAGCTTCTCCAATACCCAGGTCCGACCGCACTGAAGTGTCTACCTCCGATACTAGCAATGAAGAACGATCTGAGCCTAAAAAATGTTCCATTGAAACCATCAATAAAGAAATCGGTACACAACTTTTCAATGAAATCTCTAGTGAAACGCTGACCGAACAAACTCTGCCTGAAGGATCTAAATCAACAGTGATGGCAGCTACCGCTTGTCAATCGGAATTGTCATCCGATGTGAAACTCGATGAAATATCTCCTATTTTATCAACAGCGCCTGTAAATTCTCTTATAAATGAAGATCATCAAAAACCAAATGTTCTGGAAGAAAAATTGAAAAAGGCAAGAGCGACAATAGACAAAGCCATTATTCCACGTATGAAATCTGACCAAAACAACAAGACGGCAACGAATGAGACTGCTGAAATTATAACTACTCCGAAATCGGAGCCTGATTTCGAGAAGCAGACGCCACCATCGTTCAGAGAAATCGTTTCTTATTACGATCAAAATGCAATCAATGAGGCAGAATCTCTTTACTTCGAATATCTCGCTAAGCAGGACGTTGATGCCACTCTAACTCCTCCCGAGGGAGAAAACGTTTCTTCCGACGTCGAAACGTCATCGCCAGCTAGTAAAATGTTAGCACCAGCATCTGGCGATACTATACAGATGCCAGACGTCACCGCAGTTCTGGGTGAAGTCACTTCGAAGTCGGCTGAAATCACTTCGCAAGTGCATGCAGCCGTACCACAAATGCCCGAAATCACTCCACATGTGCCTGCAATCACCCCACTGGTCCTCGATGACACACCGAAGGTGCCCGAAATCACTTCAAATGTTCTCAAATTAGCATCACCTGAGCTCAAAATCACCTCATTAGTACCCGACGTCCAGTTGTCGATGCCCGAAGTCACCGAAAAAAATTCCGAAGTTCTCTCGTCTGTGTTAGACGCCATATCGACTGTTAGAATTGCTAAAACGAATGTACAAGAACCCATTCAGTCTGTTGATGCTTCAGCGACTGGCGACGATGCCTATGAAAAACAAAAGAACGAAATGTTACTGGACGTTTATTCCCCTCACTGCACGTACGACGTTGGGGCATTGAAAGCTGCTGAAGTAGAGTATCACGAGCACCTGGCGAACGCACCTAGCGAGAACACCTGGGCTGACGTAGTCGCCAAGAACAAACCTGTTATTCCAGCAGATACCGAGGACGATCAATCAAACCGTTCCTTTATTTGGCTCAAAAAGGCGTATGTGCAAATCGTTGTACCTGACGATGAGTATCCTCCTAGGACTCCCCTAAAGCTGGTTGATGAAGATGGCTTCACGGAGTGCATCTCCAAGCGCGAACGCCGTCGTCGGTTACTCTCGTCGGGATCCAGGGATACTGACACTGAGGACGACTACGTCAAAGATGTAGTACCCTACGTCCCCCGAGTTGAACTTCCTGACTTCACTGAAGTTCCTACCTCAGAGGCCATTCCTGAACCCAAACCGACTGAAAATGACGTCTCTTCTGCGACATCAGACAAGCCTTCTAAGAAAATTGCGCTTGACGTCGAACTGGAAGACCACTACGAAGAGGCCGTGGAAACGACGCCCAAGAAAATTATTCGCAGACGAAGTCATAAATCGTCTACGATGTCCGAGGTTGAGCAAGAAGTTGAGGAAATAATCAGACAAATAAACGAAGAAAATGACATCGGTCGAATCCGGCGTCAAGTAATCGACTTCTGGCAAGATAAATGGAAATACGACGATGCAGAACAAGCATATCACGAGAGCCTGGCAAAGGAAAACCAAAGAGCTGAGGTAGATGTTGCTTTTGCATCAGATGTTAGCCGTAGAAACAATGATCGGGACGATGATGGTTCAAATTCTGAAAATACTGGTCAAAGATCTCTCTCAAACCTCCCCTCGAGTTTAAGTGATGGTAATAGGAATGGTTTAACTTCTAATTTTAGTAACGAAAATCGAGTTCCATTCAATTGGTCGGATGAAAGTACCTACCTCTCACCATCACTTGTCTCCACTCCCCCCGCTTTGCGTGCTGTGTCAGCTTCTCTAACATCTGCTACCTTGCTTCCTTTGCATGATTTGTCTTGTCCTGCACCCGCCAACTTAGTGGATAGATTGTCTCCTTCTGTGCCCTCTCCTTCGGTAGATAATGCATCTGCCTCTTTAGTTAGTGGTGGTCCTTCTGATTTGATCATTAACGATTTCACTTGTGTTCAAACGACTGAGCCTCAGGCATCCACTTACCAAAACTCACCCGACTGTTTGACTGACTCTGACCAAGACAAAGCAGATAATAAACTCGAAAGTGTCGACGAGACCCCGGTCGCACCAACGACGAAGGATTCGTGTCCCTTAAAACTCCCACTCGAAGAAGACCGAACCTTCGATGGTCATAATGACCGAATATCAACTGCAGATACCTTGCAGTCAGAGCCGTTGGTCAATGAAACCCCACACGGCGGGGTTAAAGGAACCCTCAGAGATGAGGCTAGCGAGTCGCTAGCGTCTCCTGTGACATGGCACTCGGTGCAGGTTGGCTGTGTGGCGTGACGGTGCAGGTTGTCAGTGTGGCGTGACCGTTTAGCTTGGCTGTGCGTCGAGTCTACCAGGTGTTGACTAACTTGTATTTTTGTAGATCGATGACATTCCTGCCCCTTTTCTGACCATAATCACCTCGGGTGCCAGCTGCGTGCTGTTGGCTTCTTGACAATACATCGTTATTATTATATTATTAAATAAAACTATGGATGGTTTTCTATCAGTTTAGGCTCTTTGAAGTGCAATTCTTTACTGTAAACATCCCTCTTAAATGGTTAATAATTACTGCATTTTTAAGCTCAAGCTCCTCAAATTGTATTACATAACAACCACGTGCCTAGAGAGATTTCTATTATGATGATGGGATGACAATGCTGGACAAGTAGATAATTGGTAAAAAATTACTTGGGCTTGACATTTTTTACACTTCAACTTTTTCAAATTTTTTGTATTTTTTAACCCCGCCCGAGGTGATTATAGGGTTGTGATCACTTGATGTGCCGTACTAGGGTAATGACGCCTCATTCATTAATCAAATTATAGAACCCACAATTTATCATCCTATCCTTTATAATCTCTGTGTATTCCATATTTAATATCTTTGTATTTGTGTTGAATTTGATTACCGTAATGACAGTTTCCTCTAACGGCGCAATTAATTTTGAAGGCAATGTTTAGTCGAGTTGCGTTGGCTCGGCAGTCACTCATCTTGTTGATGAGGAAAGTAAACCAAGCGTCAAACATCCACTAACATGCTGGACAATTAAATTACCTGGCTTAACTAGCGTCATATGGAACCCAGACCTTCTTGGGCTAACGATATTGAAATGCATGCAAACTTGTTACATTGGTGCCGGTAACAGTATACGTAAAATACCTTTAACTTACGCCGAGCCTAAAAGGATTGATGAGGTAATGTTATTCTGATACAAAAATTCGACATTTTTTATTTGAAAGGCAAGTAATGATAATTTTATCTTCCTGTGAAATCGTGAAGTTACAAACCCCGCAGAGGCAATAGATTTTTGTGGCTTCTAACTGAATTTTTTGTCTACTATTTTTACCTGGTAATTTCTTCACAGCTTTATGCGTGACTTTCGCGCTTATGGAAGACGAAATAAATAACAATTAGCTCATTTAATGACATAATTTATGACATTAACTAGTTTTTAATTTATGTTGGGGCATTAATTAATAATACTGATTAGTTTTTATTAACAAAAATTAGGATCGCGCTGTAATTTATGAGGTTATGTTATGGCCGAGTTTTTCGGTTACCACTAAACCTTATTTATCGCTTCTGCTTTCATATTTACCTTCGCTTGCCACGCTTTTCCCTTTGCCTTCTTTGTTTCACTACTGATGTACTCTATTTTTGTTTTTTCTCAGTGTCCGTTTTAGGCATACTGACTTCATTTTTACAGTGTGCTTATCAGTAATGCGTGCTTTGTTTTTACAGTATGTGTTAATGCCTACTTTGATTTTACAGTTTTTATAAATAAAATGTGATTTATTTACAGTGTAAATGTATCATCAAAAAATTATTTGTTTATACTGTGGGATGCGGTTTAGCCGGGCTATTGAAATCTTTGTGCCAAAATTGGGCAAATGTGTCGCTATTAGCTGGGTATCTGGGATAAACTGGGTCAAATGTGTCATCAGTATAGATGGGTATCTGGTATAAAGTGGGCCAAATGTGTCACCATTAGCTGGGTTAATAAGACTATCATAATATCCCGGCAGCTAAGTTGCTAGGAAAATATTTTCTCACTCGTTAACTCAGTCGCTATAACCTAACCTCACTTAACCTAGCCTAAACTAACCGAACCTTCCGACTGCAGGACCAAGCAAATCAAACTGCAGCTGCTGCCTCACCTGCAGCTAAAAAGAGGAAGAAGGCAACCGATGAATTGATTGTTAAAAATGAAAGTGACCAGCCTAAAGAGAAAGAGAGTGACAAGAAGGAAAGAAAGAAAGAGAGTGACGCTTACAAGTCTGCCGTCAAGGAGGCCGAAGTAAAGCTCAAGTCCCTGGAAGAGAGGGTGATGAAACTGGTGGACTTCGACGTGGCCGAGCGACTCATGAGTCTGCAGGTGGGTACCTATATTTCGGCACTTTATATGAAAACAATATAACATTTCATTCTGGTATATATTTATTTATTTCTTCCAAATATTTCGGCTCTTTATATTTAGTACGTCTTTCTCGTACTAAAGGAAGATCTCGGTCAGAACTTACCTCACTCGCGTATTGTTACAGTCAGATCTCTGTCGCTAACACGGTTTTCCCACGGTGGAAGAATGGTCCGAGATCGGCTAAGATCAATGAGCTCTCTGTCCATCAGAGTTCGTTTTGATCATGCCATGTTAAGAATGGGAGTAGATAACCCTTCGCATAGCCGTTGCTAGGAATTGGGACTGCCACACCTCGTTTGTGCTTATTACTCTTATTTTCACCAATTTCATATGAAACCTACTAGATTGAGGCTGATCAAGAATTATCTTGTACGCCGGTGAGGTAATCATAAATCGTAGAACAGAAACATTATCAATGACTGACGACTTGCTGACACATTCCTGTTGAGTGACAGAAGACTTGCGGACACACATTCTCGTAGAGTGACTGACGACTTGCTGACAGGCATTCTCGCAGAGTGACAGAAAACTTGGTGACACGGTTTCTTGCAGAGTGACAGAAAACTTGCTGACAAACATTCTTGTAGAGTGACAGACGACTTGCTGACATTTTTGCAGAGCTTGACACTGGAGCTGCAGCAGCAGGAACAGCAGCTGACGAGGCTGCTGCAGGGCTGTCAGACACTCCCCGCTGACGACGCTGAGGCGCTGAACCTCCTGACGTCGGCACGAGGCCTCATAACACGAGCACGTCAGCTGGAGGCCCAGGCCCAGACCCAGCGGGGCATCATGCAGGTCAGGGGCAGCGGGGCATCATGCAGGTCAGGGGGCAGCGGGGCATCATGCAGGTCAGGAGGCAGCGGGGCATCATGCCGGTCAGGAGGCAGCGGGGCATCATGCAGGTCAGGAGCAGGTCAGGGGGCAGCGGGGCATCATGCAGGTCAGGGGGCAGCGGGGCATCATACAGATCTGGGGGGCAGAGGGGATCATGCAGGGCAGCGAGGCATCATGCAGGACAGCAGGGAAGTTGTTAATATTTGTACTGTGGGTAAACAAGCCCTTCCTTCGTACAGTTGTCTGCCCTTTGCCACCATGATTTGATTTCAATCTGCTCTCCCTTTATTTTCTCTCAAGTTACTCCGCTACGTGACTTACCTCTCACGTGATAGCATTGATGCGGGGCCACTGTAGCGCAGTGGTAGCGCCACCGAAATCAAAGGAGCTAGTCGTGGAGTCGAGCCTTGGGAAGTTCAATTCGTTTCTCAGTGTCGCTGGTGGGCGGCTGCTGGTGAATGTTGAGAGTGGGGCTTCAGTATGGCCTTGGGTTGGTGTCCCTAAACAAATTCTAAGTTCTTTTTATTTGGGCGGGATCTTGAGGAGAGTATCTTCCCCTTGTAGGGTGGTCGCGTGGCAGCTGAGCGGCAGGCGCTGCACCTGGCAGAGTACCAGCAGGTGCTACACGACCTCGAGTGCTGGACAGCTGGCACCTGTGCCAACCTCACAGACGACGTCAGCTGCACCTCATCAGCTGACGTCAGCGATCAGATCTCCCGCAATCAGGTGAGCTTCCTCCGCTTACGGCCCCCAAAGGGGCTGTTTACGACATAGCAGTTACGATGTCGCAGGTGCACGAGTAGGTATTGCGCTGCGCGGTGAGTTTCTAAGTCTATCGCAAGAGACGTTGAATCAACGACGATTAAACGTATAGATGTTGAATTTACGTTGATTAACATTGCTTCAACGTTATTTGTCTGACTTCTGCCCTCAGTACCTACTGCTTGACCTGACCAAAAGAGAGGCACAACTCGAGGACCTGCTCGAGAAGTGCCATGCCATCAAAGGTGACACGAACGTCGAAAGCCTAGCCGGCGAGATGACCAAACATTTGGTGCTGCTGCGACAGACTATCGCCGACACCAGGACTGTTCTGCAGAACAAACTGCAGCGGCTCAAGGTACGGGCCTGCAGACATGGGCGCTTCTGTCCCTACTTAAGCTTCTAAGAGCTGCAGAGTATGCAGTTCTAAGGGCCAGTTCTGTCTGCTTTCAGTCTCACTACCAGACATGGACATCTCTGCATACTTCTATTCTGATAACAATATATCAGCAATGCAATCCTATTTAATAAAGAGCACAAAACTTTTCACTGCGGACTCAACACCTTCTTTTATATAACAAGTTCTTTTGCTGTCAGGAGATTTTTGTGCCTTTTGGACGTATACACACGAAGACGACTGCAATTGACCTTCTTTTCTGAGTATGACCTCCGAGTCGTTAGCTCTTCTATTTGTACATGACACGCATCGTATCGCTCTTGCCTGAACGTTAACGTTACATGATATCAGAGCAAGTATCTTTATGTATGATTCAGGCTTTGCTAATATCTTTATCTAAGCGGTTCCCCCTATCATTGACGGCTTTGACAGGTTCTCGAGCATCACCTTCTTAATTACATCTCCTGAACATGGCTTGCACTTTTATGTTGACTTCATTTACGCGCTTTTTACGTTGCCATGCTCATCTGTCTTATGTGTTGGCTGATTTTTATTCCTATGTACGTTTTTATTTTAGTTTTTTTTGTGTTGGTTTGATTTAACGTTCCCAGTCCTCTGAATTATATGTTGTATCTGCCTCCTTATTAGCGCATAAACCCCCACCCAAATTTAAAACGATATTGATTCAAGATGAAAACGATTCAAGACCAATTCGGCCAAATTCCCATGAAGAGGAAGGGTTCAGAGTCATGACCTCCTGAACTAACCACTTCGTCTTTGTCATAGGAGATCCACGACAGAGAAACCTGTGTCGAAACTGGCGGCTTCACTTCACTGACAACAAGTCGTAAGAGACTCATAAAGAAAATCATTTACGTCAACGGTAAAGCAGTGGAAACAGAAGAGGTCGCCTCCCCCGACTCACGGGATCATTCTTCTCCTAAATTAACTGTCGAGAAGATGCTCTATAGGGATGGCGAGCCTGTTGTCGTTGCAGAAGTGGTGGGTGGAAAGCTGGACGATACATCTTCTGGCATTGCTGACAAGGTCGATCAGGCAGCAAGTTCAACAAGTTTGATAACGAAACGGCGTCGAATCATCACGAAAATATTTTACATCAATGGTGAACCTGTCGAAACGCAAGAAGAAGTGGATGAACCAGACGCATTGTCGGAGCGCCACTACATTTCTTCTTATCCAGAAACCTTCAGTACCACCGACGAGACACCGAAGCGTGTTGTTAAAAAGATGATCTATGTTGACGGCGAACCAAGAGAAATGGAAGAGATGCTAGCTCCACAAACATTTGGTGACAACACACAAACAGTGACCGAACCTTACACGTCAACCACCTTGAGAAGCGTTCGGAAGCGAATAATTACAAGGATAATTTACATTGACGGGAAACCAGTTGAAACCACTGAGGAAGTTGAAGAACCGCATGCGACAACAGATGATCTTCCACGAGAGCTTCAACGTTCTGAAATAGGGGAGGAACCTAAAATTACGACTGAGGTTCGAACCATAAGCCGGCGAATTATCAGGAAGATGGTATACATTGACGGCAAACCAGTTGAAACCACTGAGGAAGTTGAAGAACCCAATGTGAGCACCGATTACCTACCGAGCGGAATTCTATCTGCAGAAATTAAGAAGAAACCTGAGGGTACGACTGATGTTCAAACTGTTCGAAGACGAATTACCAGAAAAATCGTATACATCGACGGTAAACCAGTTGAAACCACTGAGGAAGCTGAAGAACCTGAAGAGACAACTGATTACCTCCCACGAGCGATAAAACGTTCTGAAATTGAGGGAAAACCTAAAATTAATACTGAGGTTCGTAGGATCCGCCGGCGAATCATCAAAAAAATCATATACATCGAAGGCAAACCAGTTGAAACCACTGAGGAAGTTGAAGAACCTGATGTGAGCGCTGTATACCTCCCAGGTGAAATTCAATCTACAGAAATCGAGGAGGAGCCTGAGATTACGACTGAGGTTCAGACTATTCACAGACGAATTATCAAAAAAATAGTATACATCGACGGCAAACCAGTTGAAACCACTGAGGAAATTGAGGAACCGGATGTAAGCGCTGAATACCTTCCAGGTGAAATTCAATCTACAGAAATCGAGGAGGAGCCTGAGGTTACGACTGAGGTTCAAACCGTTCGAAGACGAATTATAAGAAAAATCGTATACATCGACGGTAAACCAGTTGAAACCACTGAAGAAGTTGAAGAACCGAGTGTAAACGCTGAAGACCTTCCAGGTGAAATTCAATCTACAGAAATCGAGGAGGAGCCTGAGATTACGACTGAGGTTCGAACGATCCGCCGGCGAATGATCAAGAAAATCGTATACATAGACGATAAACCAGTTGAAACCATTGAGGAAGTTGAAGAACCTGAGGTAAGCGCTGAATACATTCCAGATGTAATTGAATCTACAGAAATAGAGGAGCCTGAGATTGCGACTGAGGTTCGTACGATCCGCCGGCGAATCATCAAGAAAATCATATACATCGACGGCAAACCAGTTGAAACCACTGAGGAAGTTGAAGAACCGGATGTAAGCGCTGAATACCTTCCAGGTGAAATTCAATCTACAGAAATCGAGGAGGAGCCTGAGGTTACGACTGAGGTTCAAACCGTTCGAAGACGAATTATAAGAAAAATCGTATACATCGACGGTAAACCAGTTGAAACCACTGAGGAAGTTGAAGAACCGCATGTAAGCGCTGAATACCTTCCTGGTGAAATTCAATCTATAGAAATCGAGGAGGAGCCTGAGATTACGACTGAGGTTCGAACTATTCGCAGACGAATCATCAAAAAAATAGTTTACATTGACGGCAAACCAGTTGAAACCACTGAGGAAATTGAAGAACCTGATGTGAGCGCTGAATACCTTCTAGGTGAAATAAAATCTACAGAAATCGAGGAGGAGCCTAAAGGTAAGACTACTCAGTTTCAAACCGTTCAAAAACGCATCGTCAAAAAAATCTTATGTGTCGACAGCACTCCAGTTGAAACATATGAGGAAGTCAACGAACCTGAAATTGATCTCCTGGCCTCTTCTGCAAATATCCGTGAAAGTCATCAGATTATTACCGATGCAACACAAAGTCGTTCTCATATCGAAAGTGTGCCGTTCGTAGATTCCGTTGTTGTCAAGGCTAAAAATATAAGTATTGTCCGGCGCCTCGATTTAAACCAAGATGGAAAATTAGTTGAAGAAAAGGAAGAAGGTCCGATTGAAACAATTTACACCTCTAATGACTGTTCTCTTGAAAAGCCTATTTATCTGCCTGTTATGCCAAGAGTTGGGTTCGCTGAGAATTCTGCCATGCTGCCCCCAAATGTAAGACGATCAATTCAGTTAGAAGGTAATCAGCCTGTAATGATAGATGAAATTTTAGATGAATCACTGAAACCAGATTTTGGTAGAAAATTCAATGTGAAAGTGGTGAGACGAGACCGATACGTTATCAAGAAGAGAATAATGAAAGACGGCGTGCCTATTCTTATCGAAAAAGTTTTAGAGAGGCCGCCTGTGGAATTCGAACCTCCAGAAAATGAAAATCTTCCTGCGCCGGAGGATTTTATCGAAAAGGAAGACTCGTTGCTTTGTGACGACGTGCAAGATAACGATGAAGAAAAAACACTGTTGTCGGATGATTTTGAAATCATCACTCATGACGAGATAGGTAGAGATTTGTATTCCCGGCAAGATAAAGATAGCAAAATTCCGTCTAGTCTACAGGAGAATACCTTGATAGACAGTCGGATCCCCTCAAGCACTGGTAACGACGTCACATCAATTTCCGGAAGTTGTGATCAACAGTTCCCTACGAAAATTTTAGATGTCGGCCTAGAAATAATTGCGGAAGGAAACGAGGATACGATCCAACCGAATCTAAGAAATATTCCTATTGAGGATGCCGAAATTTACAAGCTTGAGATTAGTCCAAGAACTCGTTTCGACCATACCCAAGTCGTTGGCATATACGGAGCCATCGAATCACTAACTGAGACTGTTAATTCCCGAGAAGAAACGTTTGAAGTGGACTATGGCTTTGAATCATCTGCACAAGAAATGTGTGATTTCGAGTTTATACCGAAGCAGGATTCGACTTCACTTGACCCAAACAATATTCCGACCGAAGAAATTACTCATGATGAATGTGCTGATGAAGCTGAAGATCACTCCGCGGAATTCGGGAGCTATGAAATTATCCCACCTGAACTTCTGCCAGAATATAATTACGATGGTGAAATCACCGCAGACAAACTCGATCAACAGCAGTCTTTGCATTCTGAAAATGATGACGCTCGTCAAATTTTGAGTAATATGGCGGTTGACACCATTCTAAGAACACCTCTAGAAGTTATTTCAGAAGAAGTTAGAGAGTGCTCAAATGAACCAATGATGTTTCCCGCTACCGAGGAGACTTCTCCTGAAATGTATTCCTCTAGGCTTTCTGCTTCGAATCGGTCATTGGAAGGAGGAGATTCCATCGCACCGAGTAGCGCTCAATCCAAAAATTTTACTCGAGATAAAGGTTGTAAAGAATCCGTTACTATAGTTACAGATTTTACTTTTGGTAAAAATGCCGAACCTGAAGCCGCCAAGTCTCCTGAAGTAAAAGTTTCGCCAATTTTCGACCACGCTGTATGTTCAGAAGCGGATCGTGACCGCGAAGAAAGGTCTACTGTCACAGCTGAATTTGAATACTCGGTTCCTGCTGATATCAGTTTTGATATAAAACGGGAGCCATCATCAAATCCAGAAAACTTGCAACTAGGCGAATCTGAAGCATGGATTAACATCGAGACCTATCATGCACAACCAGAAAAAAATGTCAAGGCGTTCAGTCTTCCGACTGATACAAAGGTAGCATCACCTGAAAGTCTGACGGTAATCGATGAAACTGAACCCATCTTTGTTGTTGATGATAGACTTCCAGCCGAGCCTATTGCTGTCCTGGATGAAATATGCGAAAGTTTGCCATCTTTCAATGATAACTCGTCGATAAAAGACAGAGGAGCTGCTGCACAACCAGCGAAAGATCCAGCCTTCCCTTGCCCTGCATATGCTCTTGATGCAAAGGACACTTGGCCTCTGTTCTCTAGCTCTGCGTTGAGTCAAGAAATTTTTCCTAGAATCGACTTCATTGAGCAGCCCGAAGGCTCTCCTGTTGAAACAAAGTCTGCATTCGCGCTGCCACTGTATGAGAAAGATGAAGTAAAAGTCGAGAATGCAGCAATACCCTCTGAGTTTGAAGTTACCGCCCCAAAACAACATTTTGATGCGGAACCTTTTTCCAAGGAGCCTACGAGGCTCTTGGTGGAAGAAGGGAAAGTGAAATTCATTGAGGCTGACTTACCTAGTGGTCCTAATGATGCTCCAGATGCAAATGCAAAAGAGCGCGCAGATGTTTATCCAGATATCGTCATTCCTGACGCCTTGTCACCAATTGAGGAAGATCCCATACCTGCTCCGTTACCAGTTTTTGCGTCTCAAGAAGAATTTGCTATTCAACCTCACCGGGCCTCTCTTTCAAGCGACTGTGTAGATCTATCATCTGAAGAAGCGACGCCTAAAAGCGTCATATTGTTGCACCAACCTTTCCCGCCTGTCCATAATTTACCCTGTGCCAATCTTGATAATACTCAAACCGATTTTGAAACTTCAGTTTTACGTCAAACTTTTCACCCAAAGCCTACTCATGATTTCAGTTCAGACTCGCATCCTGAATTCCACGCCACAGCTTCTTTGCCTGCCACAAAGAATGATGCTCCCATAACCCCTGCTGCTCTTCCTACTGTTTCATGTGATGAGAGTTATAAATGCCCTCTTGAATCAGATAGTTCATTAAGAGAAGACTGCACGAGTGAACCCTCGAGCATCTCATTCCCACTGACTTCGCAATTTCCTGATAGTAAAGAAATGATTTCAGTTGCAGAAGAAATAATCTCATCATCTGAAAATTTCTACGATATTACCAACGATCGGCAAAAAGTTCCCGAGTTTCCCAATGATGGAGAAATTCATCTGGAAATTGAAAATAACTCGGAATGCGTTAAGCCTGTTGAGTTAACGCATTTTACTCCTAGATATGATGGCTTCGAGGGAAAGCTTAAGCGCCAAATTCAACAAGACTTCCCAGTACCTATTGCATCGCTGGAGGCTAGATCAGATCCTTCTGAGAATGACCAAACCTTCGATGCTTTCAACACCGTTACCTATCAATCTGAAGCACAACCGGAATTAGTAACCGCCATTGATGATAATGTCCAGCCAGCACCTAAACCAGTCTTCGGTGTTGAAGATAAGGTGTCAACCGAACCTATTGCTGAACCGGTTGAATTTGTCAAAGATCCACAAGCAGGAGATGACTCGTCGATGGAAAATGAACTAGCTGCCTCACGATCAAAGGCAGATGCAGCCTTCCCTTGCCCTGCAGGAGCTCCTAATACAGAAGATATACTACCCGTGCCCCTCAGCTCTGCTTTTAGCCAAGAAAATTTCCCTAAGATTAACTTTAGCGAGCAGCCCGATATGGTCTCTCTTCTTGAAACGAACTCTGTATTCGCGCTACCTCGGTACGAAAAGGTAGAAGTTACAGTCGAGGAGCACGTTATACCATCCAAGTTTGAAGTTTCCGCCCCTAAACCCGCTTTTGGTGAGGAACTCTTCTTCGATGAAACGACGTCAGTCTTATTAGAAGAACCAAGAATTAAGTTTGATAGTACAGTCCTACCTAGAGATCAAGATACAATTTCAGAACCTAAATACGACTCGATTTTCTATCCTGCTATCGTCAGTGACGAAAAACCGACGTTTATAGATGAAAATCCCAGCGCTGCACCACCACCAGTTTTCGTTCTAAAAAATGACTCTCCACCAAAAGATTTTCCTCCTCCTCTAGAATTTATTAGAGATGTCACTCAGGGCATAACAGAAGATAAAACTGTTATGAGCCCAACGGTATCGACTCAACCTGATGTATCTTTATTTGATTCTAGCTTCGTTGTCGCGAATGTTCCCTCGACAGAATGCACTAGCTTCGAAGAATTGACTTCACTGTCTTCTCAGGAGCTCGTAAAGCCAACAAGTTCCATAGCTACCAAACACACTCCGGGGGCAACAAATTTCACGGAAGAATTTATGCAGCCGGTTGACTTTGAAATATCAACCCCTCATGATGCAGTGTCACTGGAACAAAACATTGCAGATAAACAGCCCTTCACTGAACATGACAGAGAACTCATGACCGACTCGACCACAATCTCTATAGACCGTGATGACCCGAGTGGCCTAACGCACGAAATTCCTATAGAGGGTGCGTCATCATCAACAGTTACGGAAGATGTCACAACATCGTTTCCAGAATCTGACAACAATCCGGAAAATATGGATCCTGCAGAATTTTATCCTTCAGAAGATTTCTCAGTACCTATGGCTTCGCTTGTGGCTACATCAAATCTTTTCGAGAATGAGGAAACCAGTGATGCCTTCAACACTGTTACCTATCAAACCGCAGCTCCACCTGAATTATTAACCGCCATTCATGCTAATGTTCAACCAGCACCTAAACCAGTCTTCGGTGTTGAAGATAAGGTATCAACCGAACCTATTGCTGTACCGGTTGAATTTGGCGAAGATCCACAAGCAGGAGATGAATCGATAGAAAATGAAGGAGCTGCCTCACGATCAAAAACAGATACTGCCTTCCCTTGCCCTACAGATGCGCCTTATACAAAAGATATACTACCCCTGCCCCTTAGCTCTGCACTGAGCCGAGAAAATTTCCCTAGGATTAACTTCAGTGAGCAACCCGATGTGGTCTCTCATGCTGAAGATCACTCTGTATTGTTAGCACTGCCTCTGTGCGAAAATGTAGAGGTTAAAGTCGAGGAGCGCGTTATACCATCCGAGTTTGAAATTACCGCCCCTAAACACGCGTTTGGTGAGAAATTATTTTTCGAAGAACCGACGTCAGTCTTAGTGGAAGAACCAAGAATTAAGTTTGATAGCACCGTCCTACCTGGAGATCAAGATATAATTTTAGAACCTAATTACCACTGTATTTTCTATCCCGCAATCGCTAGTGAAGAAAAACCTATGTTTATAAATGAAAATCCCATCGCTGCCCCTACACCAGTTTTCGTTTCAAAAAGTGACTCTCCTCCTGAAGATTTTCCTCCTCCTCTAGAATTCATCAGAGATGTTGCTCAGGTCATAACAGAAGACGTAACAGTTATGAGCCCAACAGCATCGACTCTACCCGAAGTTTCTTCATTTGATTCTAACTTCGTTGGTCAAGATGATACCTCAACAGAATGCGCTAGCTTCGAAGAATTAACTTCGCCGTCTTCTCTGGAGACTGTGAAGCTAACAAGTGTCACAGATGCCGAAGACACTCCGGAGGCAATACATTTTACAGAAGAATTTTTGCAGCCGGTTGACTTAGAAATATCAACCCCTCAAGATGCCATATCACTGGAACACAAAAGTGCTGATAAACAGCCCATCGCTGAAAGTGACAGAGGACTTATTGTAGACTTTGCCACAATGCCTAGAAACAGTGATGACCCGAGTGATCTAACTCACGAAATTTCGGGAGATGATCCGTCATCATCAACAGTTGCGGAAGTGCTAGATCCCACAGAACTAGATCCTGCTCTTGAACCGGTGTTTATTTCTGAACCAAACTCTGGTGCTGTTTCTGTTCCGACCGTATTCACTGACGAACCTACCTACGTGCCTTCGAGCATTCGCCCCATGAATGAGAGCATTTCTAGTGCAGAAAAGGAAGTAACTTATGATGCCGTTAGCTTCGAAATGCTTTCAGTTGCTTCAGAAAGTTTAACATGCAAGAATCCGAAGCTTTCCAGCACCGAGGGCTTGGGTGACTCCAAACTTGAATCTAGTATTGTCTCTTCGAGCAACGCTGTAACCCCTGATGTACTTCCTGCTTTCAGTTCTGAAACTCGTCCTGATTTACCCTTCAAAGTGCCATCGTCTGTTTTAATTTCTGAATCTGTTTCCTCTCCATGGCCTGATTTAATTTCCGAAGACCTTGATTCTTCTGTTATTCTTCCAACATCAACTGATGTTGATGAGTTCTCTAAAGCACCTCTTCATCACGTTGCTGATGTAGACAGCACTGCTCCTTATCCCACTCCGTCAGAATTACCTATTTCGAAAGATATCTGCTCTGAAATTGAAATTGTAACTTCGAGTAATCGGAGTTTTCCGCAACCCACTTTCGATTCTAAGATTCAAGAAATGCGTGAAAACGATTTCTCGGGAGCAGGTCCGTTCGATGCACCTGTCTACCATACCTCTTTCACGAACGTTAACGACCCGATTCCTCAGCCAGAAAGTTGTAAGTTTGAAATTAAAACAATTACTAGTCTTAAAGAGACAGAAGGAAATCGAATTTTTGATGACTTCATTACGCGACAATTCCCCACACCCATGGGGGAATCGATATCGTTGCCGAGTTCAGTTCAGATCGACGCATTCACCTTTAAACATTATGCTTGCGATTTTGCACCACTACCTGGAGTAATCGTTAACGAAGTTGAAAGCGCACCTGTTCCCAAATTTAATAGTGCATCTCATATTGAGCTTGAACCCAAATTTGCTCTGCCGTTAGAATTTGAAACGAAGTACGATGCCGTTTCTTCACTTGAATTGCAGGTGCCAGAGGATGCTGTGGAAACGACTGTTGACCGAAAAATGAATAATTCAGATTCAAAATCCAATGAAGTAGTAAACAACGGTGTTGGAGACTTGATTCTGACAGAAGAAGTATCAATTAAATGTGAGGAAAACCAAATCAATGATGCTCCGGCCACATGTGGAAAAACTGGTGAATCTTATTCTGATAATGCAGCCACGATATCTTCTAGAGGTGAAGTAAGAGAACCTGAATTAGCATCTGAATTCCTTGCCGGAGAGTTGATATCGATTGAAGTAGAAGAGGAACCAACGATTACGACTGATGTGGAAATAATTCAGCAAAATATTATCAAGAAGATCGTATATATAGACGGGAGACCGGTTGTAACTACAGATGAGGTTAAAGAACCTGAACTGACCACTGTTAACCTTGCAAGTGACATTCAGTCAACTGAGGGAGAAGGAGAACCTGAAAGTACGACTGAAATTCAAACCATTCGAAGGCGAATTGTCAAAAAAAATGCATACAAAGACGGCCTACCAGTTGAAACTAGTGAGGAAGTTGAAGAACCGGAAATGATCGCTCATAACATACCAGGTGAGATTCAATCAGATGAAATTGAAGCAGAACCTGAGACCACGATTGAGATTCGAACCATTCGCAGACGAATCATAAAAAACATCATTTACGTCGACGGCAAGCCAGTTGAAACCACTGAGGAAGTTGAAGAACCTGAAGAGACAGCTGATTACTATCCAGGAGAGCTTCAACGTACTGAAATTGAGAGAGGATCTAATATAACGACTGAGGTTAGAACGATCCGCCGGCGAATTGTCAGGAAGATCATATACATAGACGGCAAACCAGTTGAAACCACCGAAGAAGTTGAAGAACCTATTATGAGCACTGATTACCTACCAGGTGATATTCAATCTGATGAAATCGAAGAGGAGCCTGAGATTTCGACTGACGTTCGAACAATCCGCAATCGAATCATCAAGAAAATCGTGTACATCGACGGCAAACCAGTTGAAACCAGCGAGGAAGTTAGAGAGCCTGAAGTGAGTACTGTCCAACATCTAAGTGAGAGCCATTCGAATGAAAGTGTGGAAGAACCTGAAAATACCACTGAAGTTCGAACCATTCGCAAGCAGATAATTAAAAATATAGTACTTATTGATGGGAAGCCTGTTGAAACCATCGAGGAAGTTGAAGAACCTGATGTGAGCACTGATTATCTTCCAGGGGAAATTCAATCTACGGAAATTGTGGAGGAACCTGAATTTACGACTGAGGTTGGAACCATTCGCAGACGAATCGTCAGAAAAATGGAATACGACGACGACAAACCAGTTGAAACCACTGAGGATGTTGAAGAACCTGATGGGACAACCGATTACCTCCCAGGAGAAATTCAAAGTAATGAAATTGAGGGGGAACCCGAAATTACGACTGAGGTGCGAACGATCCGCCGGCGAATTATCAGAAAGATCGTATACATAGATGGCAAACCGATTGAAACCACCGAGGAAGTTGAAGAACCTGAAGTGAGCACTGTCCAACATCCAGTTGAGAGCCATCCGACTGAAAATAAGGAAGAGTCGAAAATTGCTACTGAAGTTCAGACCGTGCACAGGCAGTTAATCAAACAGATAGTATATATAGATGGAAAGCCTGTTGAAACAACTGAGGAAGTTGAAGAACCTGAAGTGTCTACGATTTACTTTTTAGGTGAGATTCAGTCATCGGAAATAGAGAGAGAACCTGAGAGTACAACTGATGGTTGCACCAATCGCAATCAAATTTCAAAGAATATCGTACAAAGAGACAGGATACCTGTCGAAACAACTGAGGAAGTTGAAAAATCGGGAGTACCCACTGATCACCTAAAGGAAGAGATTCAACCGTCCAAAATCGAAGAGCTGACTAAAAAAACGACCGAATTTCAAAACATGCGCGAGCGAGTCGTCAGAACGATCATAAATAATGACGGCAAACCAGTTGAAATTTCTGAAGATGCTGAAGAGACCACTGATTCCCAAACAATGGATATTAAACTGTCTGAAATCGAGGAAAAACCTGCAGCAACAACAACTGAGGTTCACATCGAATCTTTCATTTCAGGAGATATTAAATCGAATGATACTGAGAAAGAACCTAAAACGTCTGAGGAAACGGAAGACCCTGAAAATGCCAAAACCCTGCTCCATAACATTTCCTCACCAGCTTCACCAGAAACAACGAAAAAATTGGAGGCAGCTCCAAACGTTGCATCTGTACCTGCGTTAAATCTACCCACTTCTACTCTGGCACCTTCAGTCCAGCTTACTATTGATGTAATTGATGGTGTCCTGGCTGCGCAAAGACCTCTGGTAGGATCAGCGTCAGCTTTAGGGACTGCCCTCCAAAGTATTCCATCAGCAGTGGGTTTAGTTGCCGGAGCTGGGCGGGCCATAGTTGGAAGTATTGATGTTCTGAGGAAAGTCAATACTGTCGATGATCAAGACAAGCTCATGGAAAATAAATTACCGGAAATTCGGTCTGAACAAATACCTCAATCTATTGACTCGACTGAACCTGAAGACCCCACGAAAACGAAGAGGAAAAGGAAGAAGAAAAACAAATCTACTGCTTCCAGGTTGGAAGATCCTGCGGAAATGAAGACCGGTGCAGTTTACGGCGAAGAATCGGAAGATGTTCCGCACCATGAAATTACTGAAATCGAACCTCAACGTGGTAGCTCGATTGTTGAAGTTGAAACACCCGTCGTTAGAGCGCCTACAAAGAACGAAAAAGAATTGAAAAATAAACCCAATAAACGCAAGGGAACCACACCTACCGAGCAAATTAACGAGCCCGAAGAGTATAATCAAGGGCAATCTGATCCATCGGGTGACTCGTGTTCTGCAAGAGAAATTTCACTTCCGACTCAGGCATCTAGAGTTTATGATGATCAAACGCTGCATACTTCCATGGAGCCGGAAACAAAATTAGCTTCAGGCGACCCGAATGACTTAAAAATTATTGACGAAGAAACTCTTATGGAAATTCAGTCTATTGATTCTACTCGCGACGGCACGGTCTGTTCACCGAATTCAAATGAAACATCTGAGGGCGCTCGAGAGAATGAAAGTCTAGAGCCTAGCATCATCGATGATGAGAACAAAATTCGACGAAGTTTGACAGAATTCGACGAAATGTCAAAAGTTACTTGCAAAGAAAGCTCGCCTGAAAATGACGAAAAATCAACCAAGAAGAAAAAGAAGAGGAAGAAGAACAAGAAGAGTGGTGATTCTGATGAAGTACAGATTGGCATCCCCAAAGAAAGGGGTGAGCAAATCATCGATCGTGGTATTTGTGGGGAAATTTCTAATCCTGATGTTCAAAAGATTTCGAAAGTGGGCATATCCAGACCTCAGCCGAGTGAATTACCGGAGAAAATCATATCTACTTCTAAAGTAACTAATTTAGCGTCCCCATCCGAAACCGTCAAGGATCCTTTTGAATATGAAAAAATAGAATCTCTTGGTGACGAAAAATCATATAAATCAGCAGATCTTTGTGAAAAGGAGAAGCCTGTCAATGAGACGCTCCTTGAAGATGCAGACCTTTCCTCAACACAGGCATCAAAGCCTGAAACCTCAAATGAACCTTCAATTTTAAGCCTTGACGAGACGGTTCAATCGGAAAAAATGACGGAGGCAGAGAGCGAAGAACCCCCAATCACAGAGAAAGTGACAGTGTTACCCACACATCATCAAAAGCCTCATACCGAGAGTATTGCCGACACTAAGGCCAAGGCAGTTGATCCGGTATTGCCCGAATCGCCGGAATTGGAGGGAGGTTCCATTGTTTCGCGTAAGAAAAAGAGGAATAGGAAGAATAAAAAGACTGTTTCTCCTGAAACGGATCTTTCTGACAAAATTTTGAAATGTGTTGACAGCGAGACCCTAGAGACTGAAAGCCTTGTAGAAAGAGAACCGATACCTACACCCATGGACAGGGAGTTAATGGGTGCATCGGACGACGTACATCGTGACGATCAAATCGCTGCAGCATCTGTTCGAATATCAAGTGATAAACCTGCGTTACCTGAAGTGCACATACCGGATTCAGTTCAATCTTCTATTCATGTTGAAGAATTTCCGGCTGTCCCTGCATCACTACCTCATGATGGAGATATGCTGAGTGACATAGAGCCAGCTGTTTCCGATGAAAGTTCAGCGATGGTATCTGAATTTTCGATTTCTACCAGTGACGTACCTTCTCCCATTGAGCCAACTGTTACTGGTGACTCGTTCCGTTCCATTGTTTATCTGGGCCAAGATTCCACCGTAGGTACCCCGGGTGTGATTGAAGAAGCATCTACTATTGGTTTGGAGCAAGTAACAGCGGTGCAGGCTGATGCCATTCTTCCATCAATAGTTGCTTCGTTACCTGATGAAACTATGACTCCAGTCGAATTTCCCTTGCCCGGTGATGGCTCAGAAGTAATTGAAGAGAGAAATGTAACAATCATCAAAAGGTATATAATCAAAATTGTTCACATCAATGGTAAGCAAGTTGAAGTGGAAGAAGAGGTCCCTGAAGAAGCTGAAGTCATCATTCGACAAGATGAATCTGTCGACGAAGGCAGGGTCGTAACTAGAACCATTACTCGGAAAATAATCAGGAAAATAATATATGTCGATGGCGTGCCTCGTGAGATAGAGGAAACTCTAGATTGTCTTGCTGATGATGAGAACACTGATATCAAGTGCGACAGAACGTCTCCACCTGTTGAATTTCGAGATCACACTACTTCTCAGCCTACTTATGAAACTTCTCACGAAGATGTGCTTGAGGAGGCTTCTGTTGAAGCACATACGGGAGTAGTTTATGAAGACGCTCCTATCGAAACTACGACCGATGAAGTTTCAAAGACGGCTCCTGTTGAAACGCCTCTCGAAGAAGTTGTAGAAGAAAGTTCTGATGAAAATTCAAGCGAAAACGTTTTAGAGGTGGCTTCTGATGACACTCTTCTTAAAGTAATTTTGGAGGAGCCTTCTGTCGAAATATCTTCGGGAAAAGTTTTAGAAGACACTCCTATCGCAACTGCGACCGATGAAGTTTCAAAGAAAGCTCCTGTTGAAACACCTCCCGAAGAAATTGTAGAAGAGAGTTCTGTTGAAGTGCTCAGCAAAAAAGTTTTAGAAGAGACTTCATTTGAAACTCCACCCGAAGAAGCTTTAGAGCAGGCTTCTATTGAAACAACTTCCGAAGAAGTTGTAGAGATTTATGTTGAAACTCCTAAGGAAATAGTGTTAGAAGTGGCTCCTGTTGGAACTCCTGAAGAAGTTTTAGGGGAGTCCTCGGTTGTAACTTCTAACGAAGAAGTTTTAGAGGGGGTCTTTGTTGAATCTCCTCTCGATCAAGTTGTAGAAGAGGCGTCGGTTGAAACTACTCCAGAAGTTTTTGAAGATAATTCATGTGAAAATCTCCGAGATGGCATTTTGGAGGATCCTTCTCAGATCACTGAGACTGTAAGCAAATTAAATGCACCGGATCAATCTTCCCAAATTATCTGCGAGTGGGAGATTATAAGGAACATAATTCATACTTCGCGGAACAAGACTAGATATCCAAATATGGCTCTTGTTCCCACGAAGCGTTCAACCTTGGACAAGCCACAAGACGAAGTCGACTTTCATACGCAGTCATTGCAACAAGCCGTCAATGATAACGATCCGGTGACAGCTCGGAAAATTATCACTAACGTTCTGCACATCATCTCAGTGTGGATTGAAGTAATCGAGTATGAAATTCTGCTGATTCGGAAGATCGAAACACTGCACGAGCGAAATGCCAAGCATGAGCACCTACAGAGAGAACTGGTAATCGTTGATGAAAAACTCACCATCCTTCAAAAAACTATTTATGCTGTCCGTGAGTTGTTTGATCCAGAAACAGCTGCTTCTGTCGTTGAGGCTGTGAATTCACTGAAATCTCTGATTGCCGATGTCGAGGAGTCGAGGCAAAAGGAGGAAGTGGCTGCACGCGAGTCAGACGAAAATCTCAAGAGATACCGCAATGTTGTTGGATCAGCCAAGAAGAACGCCAAGCGAATCAAATCTCAACTTGTTGCGATTCAAGAAGAGCCCTTGACTTCGGAAGCTAAGATCGAACGTCTTGGAAATCTAATCGGAGACAACGACGAAGCCAAAGATTCCGTACATGAATTAATACTAGCGTCTGGGGAAACGGTTCCTGGGAAAGAACTTGAGGACGAACTCGCAGGTGTGCAGGCTGAACTGCGTACCATCAATGTATCCGCGGATAAGGAGCTTGAACGTTTACTCCTGATGACCACTTCAACTACCGAATATGAAGAAACTCTGGAAGAACTCACGGAACTGATCCGTGCGGCAGAGAGTGCCCTCAACGTCAGGTTATCAGTTAAAGATATTGCTCAGCTAGATGACACAATACAAAAGCACCGTAGGTTGTTCACGTCGTTGAGGCAGTGTCAGAAAGTCTTGGAGTCTCTCGACAGCGCTCTAGTGCCTCAGAAACGCGTACACTACCACCAGTTGTACTCAACCTCATACATGCAAGCCTCGGCATTGCTGGACAAGGCCTGTAGGCGTCAGCATCAGCTCACTGTCCTCAAATCAGACTGGATCCGTATACTGGAGCAGCTCGAGCAGGAGGAGAAATGGCTGGAGAAAGTGGTTCCCGAGGTGGAAGATCTCCACAAGATGTCCTCTTCCAACTACCAGGAGAACACTGAGCTCTGCAAGGTAAGAAAAATCTTCTACTTTCTTTGAAAGCAATTAGTGAGTGGCTGGGTATTTCTGAAATGCGCGTTCTGGTGATATCAACATACGTAAATAACTGACTAGGCAGTTGGAGTAAAATATAATTATAAACGTAAACTTAATCGAAGTGACAACTTTTTTAATTTTGCTACTTGACCTGCAATTTTAGTAGCGTACTGTTTCAACAAGTTTTTTATTTCCCTTTTGCGTAGCTTTTCGTGGACGTGAGACATATTAGTCAATGTTGGCTTCACACGTTTTTTTGATGTTGTGTATCTTTCCTGGTAAATTGGAGAAAGTTTTGGCCTTTTAAATTTTTTTCGCTACTATCATTGCTATTACCTATTTTTCGGAAGAAAGTCTATATTTATTATAAGATTACTTCTGTAGTACGTAGAATGTCTTTTTTGAAATGTTATGAAGTTTGAGGTTAAGGTTGGGGAACACAAAAAAAAACACAAATAGCTGACTATTAGCCATCTTCCCAAGAGTCGTGAGCAACGACAGACTTGATCAGATGCACTTAAAATTTTACGAACAAGTTGTTGGGATTTGTTGTATCCCCAGCCTTACTTCAGGAACTCCATATCCCTTCTCCGACGTGTTTAGTATTGTTTCCTCTGCCCACAGGAACTTCAGGTTCGTAAAGCTTTTTGCTCCAGACGCTCTGTCTGTCGTTTGCTTTCTACCGAGTTTTATAGTTCCTAGTTTTAGTCCTAATCTGTCATATTAGCTATTATCAATGTAGCCAATCGTTCTCATCGTTTTAACACTCGATTAAACGCAATTGTGTTGACTATGATCACATTGTCTAGAATATTACGTTGATAGTCGTGCAAAAATTATAACCGTAAATTTGGGGTCCACGTTTAAGATTTAACTGGTATTTGGCTGAGAGTTCTTCAATTATTTCTTAGTGCCAGAGGCCTTGTCGAAATCGCTACATCATTTCCCATTTGTCAATGTCGACTAGTCTATTTGATCATAACCTGAGGTTCCACTCTTAACCACTGAGCACATGATGTTCTTGAGAGCTCTAACCTATCTTACTTTGGGTCACTGTTGTTGACCGTCACATGCCTAACTAACTATCATGATCTAAATCCAGCTTTTGTATCTCCATGCTTATCTGCCTCATTTCAATCTTACACCTCGATACATTCCTCATGCCTACATAAGAAGAAACTACTCGTAAATATTGCATTAATGTTGCAGTCTTTTTTAGGCCGTACACATACAGCCCTGGGTTTAGCTTAAAACCCCGTCAGTGATTGGCAAAGGAAGTAACGAACTCGTATATCATTTTGATATTATGGCCCAAGAACTGAGTCGAAATCTTTGAAAATATCTCTACTTGCACTTTTACGTACTTCTGGGCGACAGAGTTAATTGGCTCATCACTTGAAAGTTTTTAATTGTAAAAAATATAATTCGATTAACTGCTCCAGCTGTTTATTAAGGAAACGAATGTGTTACCTGAGCTGTTCCACCCCTCCTCAGGAAAACATTTTATCTGGCAGCATATTCTTGGATGAACATTCAAGCTTGTAACACTCATATGACGTATGCTGATGGCAACATATGCTTGCAGCTTTTCATTGCTCCTTTGTTACTCTTATTTTTGTTTTTCATGTGGACGTGAAAATGCTTGTGAAGTATTGTTTCGTGATATTTTTCAATTTCTGTTGGTTTCGACACGTGATTGAGGTCCCTCAGAATATACTTGTGCAAGTCACTCTCTTGGATGGTTAAAAACTGGAGCCTATTTCCACACATCGTCTTCTTAAACTAATGATGATTCCCCTTAATGGCCTTGAGTACACATCGGTTTTAAACCAACCTTGTTTATGCATGATTTATGTTGTTGCTCAATTTATTTGTCCGGCGTGCAAAGGGTAAAAAATTACCAATATTTGATGGAATCGTTCATTTGTGATGAGACTTGACAGTGTTCTAATTTAGCAGTATTTACGGAAGCTAGACGCAATTATTGAAATAGAGAAACGGGGAAATCGTTGAAACGATAAATCATAATTAGTTCATAATTACCTGCTCCTTCATCATATGTGTGACTATCACCCCAAGCCAGTGATAGTTTTCTACCCGACTGTAAGAAAAAAAATCAGGGAAAGTTCTACCAGGCTGTATGTGCTCCTCATCAATATCAGTTAAAAGCCACGTAATAAGGATTTGGTTATTGGGGGAAAACCGATTTGGATGAACTCCGTTCTTGTTTCCTCCTAACGCCTAAACCATCCTACAATTGGCCAATTTCTGCTTTTCTGCATCAATTTGTCCCACAACCAAGTTCGTCGGAAATTGCTATTAAATAACGAAATTCTTTACTACCTATCCCCCTGCCGTTGTTGTCACTTCTCCTTAACTGGGGCCGTAACTTCGTTGTTATAACATCGAGTGTTGCACTCTCCCTGTAACTGCTTGGCTTAGAAGCGTTACTAAGCGTTGCAACGCGCGGTTCAGCCTGCTGCGTTGCAACGCGCGGTTCAGCCTGCTGCGTTGCAACGCGCGGCTCAGCCTGCTGCGTTGCAGCGCGTGGCTCAGCCTGCTGCGTTGCAACGCGCGGTTCAGCCTGCTGCGTTGCAACGCGCGGCTCAGCCTGCCGCGTTGCAGCGCGTGGCTCAGCCTGCCGCGTTGCAACGCGTGGCTCAGCCTGCCGCGTTGCAACGCGTGGCTCAGCCTGCCGCGTTTCGTAGGCTGAGCCTACATAACGCGTGACTCAGCTTACGTTACGCGTGGCTTAGCCGACATAACGCGTGACTCAGCCTACGTAACGCCCGTAACCCCGCTTCATAACGCGTGGCGCAGGACATGCTCGTGGCGAGTGTACAGCACGAGGCGCACACCGGCCATCTCGTCGACGTCGCCAGCAAGCTCGGCCGAGCAGTCGTCGCCACGCCCCTGGAGTGCCGTGCCCGCCAGCACCACGACCGCACCACCGCCCTCAGGCACAAGGTGATTACCATCTACTTTTTCCAATGAGGGGTGACTGAGGAAGTGATGACTAGTCAGTGGTGACTGTGCAGGTGATGCAGTGGCTCGTAAACCGATGACGCTGACTGGTGGCTAAGGCAGTGGGGACTAAGGCATTTGTCATTAAGGCAGTGGGGACTGAGGCAGTGGTCATTAAGGCAGTGGTGACTGTGCAGAAACCTTTGCCTCGTAAACCTTTTTCCATTGAGTAGTGACTGAGGCAGTGGTCTATCTTATCCTCTGAGTGGTGAATAAAGCATTAGTCAATATTCTCCTCTGGGGGGTGGCTGATGCAGTGGGGTCTTTGGTAGCGGTAACTGTGCAGAAGATGAAGCAGCGACTCATCAACCTGTTCCAATGAGTGGCGATCGGTGTGTCGACTGAGGCAGTGACGACTAAGGCAGTGATGATTTAGCATTGGTTACTGTTACGGTGGTGGCTGTGTCAGGTGTGACTGAGATAGTGATGATTGAGGCATTGGTTACTGTTACGGTGGTGGCTGTGTCAGGTGTGACTGAGGCAGTGCTCGCTGCTGATGAAAGACCACTTTCACTGAGTCACTCATTACTGTGTCTGTGGTGTGTGTAGGTCGCGTCGCTGCTGCAGCGGCTGGAGGAAGTCCACGTCCACTGGCCAGCCTACGGTGCCCAGATGGACAGCCTGCACGAGTGGTGCGCGCAGGCCAACGCCTCCCTCGCCAGCCTGCGCCTTTCCGACCAACCCGACCAGGCGTCCATCAACGACCACTTCAACCAGATCTGGGTGAGTATGATCAGGCATAAATGACCACTTCAACCAGATCTGGGTGAATACCACCAGGCGTCAATCTTCGACCACTTAAACCAAATCTGGGGTGAGCACTATCAGGCGTTCATCAACGACCACTTAAAACAAATCTGGAGGAGCACTACCAGGCGTCCATCAACGACCACTTCAACCAAATCTGGGTGAGTACGATCAGGCGTCCATCAACGTCCACTTAAACCAAATCTGAGTTAGCACTACCAGGCGTCCATCAACGACCACTTTAACCAGATCTGGATGAGTACCACCAGGTGCCATACTTTCAAAATTCGCTAAGTGAACGTCAGTACTTACGCTCTATTTTCTTGTCTATGGTTGGTGGATTTTGTTTGAAAGGCCGTCAATGATTGGCTGATGAACTTCCGATCTCTTAACTTTTTTTGAAACTATAGGCCCAGGCGTCCATCAACGACCACTTCAACCAGATCTGGGTGAGTGTAACCACCAACTTTCATTCCAGCCACACCTGTGTAAGTGCGATATTGTATCTTTACTTTGTATAGGTTTCTGGTTAATTTAGTTGACCCTGTCAAACGTCCTCTTGTGCCCGTGCGCTGAGCCTGATTGTGGTGATAAGGACGTTCCAAATCGACCATTAATCATGCATTTTCTTGTCCCTTACCCTAATCATCATTGTGATGATGAGGCTAATGCTTGATTACTGAGCCAGATCATTTTTAGTTAACCCTTAGTAATACCACTCACTTTACTTACCCAGAACATGAAGGCGCAGTTCGACAGCCAGAGTCTGCTGCTGCGAGAGTGTACGAGTCACTTCGAGCGGTCGATGGGACTTGTCGAGATGCGAGACGAAGCCCTGCAGCGCGAGTACCTGACACAGTTCATGGCAGAGTGGAAGCTACTGGAAGAGTTGCTATCTACCAAAGAGAAGGAACTGCAACGGCTCCGTATCCAGGTGGTTCCGGTGCCACAACTGCTGCAGGAAACACAAGACACTCTAGCCAGCATCGAGGTTGCTTTGAGGGAGGTGGACACTCAGGTAACGTCCATCCAGCAACTCAGAGATATCGCTGAGAAGTACAAAATCCTGCGCGTCAAGATCCTCAACAGCAGGGATAACTTGGAGCATCTTCGTGAAGTTACCGAAGCCGGTGCTGATGGTGCGGCAGATGGTGAGGAGCAGGAGAACTGTGGCCAGATGCAGGAGCAAGTAAGCCAGCTGACGACCACCTGCCAGGAGCTGGTGTGCAACATTGGGCGACGCATCACGTCAGTGGAGTGCGTGCTAGATCAGGTTCAGCGCGCCGTACGACGTGTCGAGCGCATTTCCCTCACCATGATGCACTTGGAGACGACGCTGAACAGATGCAAGGCTGCAGACAAAGAGGGTGAGCAGCTGCTAAGAGCTGCGCTGCACAGCTGCAAGGCAATCAAACAGGGTCTCGAGAAGGCTGGTCTTGACATCTCGCAGGTGAAAGAGAGCGTCGAGATGGTGCGACGAGACCCCCACCACCCCTGTCATCTTATCGAGCTCGACGAAAAGGTCGCTCGCCTCCAGGAAGAGCTCAGGAATCTTTCCTTGAGCATCGAGGAGACGCGCACCAACCTCCGGGGCAGGCTGGATGCCTGGCACAACTTCAGAAGTTCCTCGGATGCCGTAGACATGTACCTCCACGAGATCGAACTCATGGTTGACAGTGCCGTCAACTTACCGTCGGTCAACCTGCAAGGCTTGCAGCTACATCTAGCAGATCTGCAGGGCCTGCAGAGTTCCATGGCTGACCGTGAAGAGGAACTGCTTACGACTCTAAGAACTGAGGCAGTGCGTGTGGAGAAGGCGGACTGCGTGGAGACTCAAATCACCAAGTGGAACAGCGTGTGCGACCGCCTCGTGAAGGTGAGGGCAATCGAGACGAGCCAGCAACCTGCTCTTTTTTTTTTTCTTTAGGTAGGTACCTCTTTTTCTGGGTTGGTAACCCTTCGGTTAGTAGGCTCTCTGTTGTTCGTCAAGTTTTTATTTGATTAGTAGGCTTCCTGTTGTTTTGGGGTCAGATTATCCTTACACGAGATTCACCGTATGGTGAACCTAGTAAACGTAGCTTAGTTTTACTTTTAGTTTTTGTCATTGATTAGCGTTTCTAAATTTAGAAATTTTTTACCACATTTTCCAAAAGATGAATAACTTGGTAGTGTTTGAAGTGACCGCCTCTTCAAACTAACCACTACCGTCCCAGACAACTAAACGTCCCCCACTCCCGTCCTCTACCCAGGTGATCCTGCGGTACGAGACTGCGTTGCAGTTGTGGGGAAGGTTCAACTCAGTCCAGCGGGAAGTGCACGGCTGGGTGGACTCCAAGCTCACTCTCATCATCTCCCTGCAGTCCCTGCAGCCTGACCAGCAGCAGCTGCAGTCCCATGTCGAGGTGAGTGCAGCGTTGCTCGCCCTCATCATCCCAGACTGAGTACGCTAGTATATCGCTCAGTATTAATATTATTCATGTCATTTATCAATGCTCGACATGGAATTTATGATCCCTGTGCACATGAGAATTCAATTTACACTCTAATTGCAGTCGATCGACGGTACAAGTTCCACCATAATCATAATGAAGTATCCAAAATTGATATATACCAATCAAAATATTTTATGCAAATTACCATAGAATCAGCATCATTTATTGCAAGACAAATTTGATTTCGATATTGACAGTTCTGAGAGAAATCTATAATAAAGAAGAATAGCATGCAAAAATGCTCGAAGCCGAAATGTAACAGCGCATCACCGACATCATGCCAGCGAGCAACTGCAATCGTCAACAACCTTTTTCCTTGACCTGCCTCAGACCGTCAAATGAATTCTTACGACCTTCGTAAACTTACAAGCGTTTTGAAATGATAAATATTTAAAAACTTAATGGATGGTCGCAAACTTAAAACTTAATACAAAACTTGCGACCATCCTATAAATGCTAATCACTGGAGAATTTACGATCTCCTTAAACTTACGATCACCGTAGATATCTAACTTTTATTCAATTTAAATTTTACTCAATTTATTGAGTTGAATTAGGAGGTTTTAAAACTAGCGTTCGCATGAAGGTGGCAGGAGCAAGATTTTGGTTAGTTGGAGACGGAAAAGTTTTCTATCGCAGGGAGAATGACGTTTTCTTCGGAGATCAGTATGATTTACTTGCATAGTTTTCCATAATGTATCAAATTTTTTGTTAAAATCATTTTGCCACCCGAGTAAAAACAAAATATCAGCACAACACTGATGATATTTCATATATATAAAATTCATGTTTTGTGGCTAAAAGACGACGTTTCTCAAATGTTGTTTTGATTTCATCAGTTGTCAACCGCCATGGTACAAACTACAAACTGATAGAAATGTGTTACGTTGCTTTTTCTAACAATATTTTTAGGCTACCTACAGCATTTTGGAGTGTTGTATCTGGTATATAGTCTCCCAAGACAACTTTTATATTTTAATTCCGGCGAGGAAAGTCCATTTATAAAAGTTTAGTGACGAGTCTCGCTGTCTCGGTCGGCGCCATGTTCTTACACAACGATCTGTCGTCTGCTGGCATCCCTACGCTGCTTCAATGAATTCAGTCATCAGTGGCAGTTACTGCAAACACGTGACGGTGTTTAGTGCGGCACTGAGTGAAGTAGTGATGGTGAACCGTTTCTATCCTATTCAAATATTTAATACTCCTGAATTCAGCACATCGTGTAAGTAATCGTCATTTTGTAACTGCTCTTCAATTAGAGGTATCTATCGAAATCGACGTAGCTGTAGTTCATTTGCGTAGTGTGGCTCAGAAACTAAGGTTAGGATAATAGGGTGGCGCCGGCGCGGTGTGCGTTTTGAATTACCACAGCTACTGGCTAGGCAGGCAGGCACGCTTGCCCTCGAGTAGTAAACTCAAATCCTTCTGCCTGTTCAGCGGCAAACGCGCTACATTCAGATAAATGTGTGTTTGTGGAACAATCCTTGAAAACTTTTTGGCTGAACTTCAATATACCTTATTTAACTGAAAAATTTCCTTTCAAACCAAGCATCTTCTCTACGTCTACCGCCTATGAGAGTTGTGAACAGATACGTATTGCTTTTAACTCACCGCCCATCAATAAAACGCGAATAATCTTGGCTAGAATTACGATTTGTTAGGTTCGATTACCAAATACTAACTAGGCTACGAAGCTCTATGGAAAGTTGTGCTGCGAAACTAGAAAGTTGTGGTGTTTGATTCATTAAACAGATCGTTTCTATCGAAAGCTGGCATTTGTATCGCAGTTACTGGCGTTAGGGCAGATGCACAACTCTACGACATAGGTATTATGAAATTAGGAGGATATTCAATATGCTCTACGGCCACATATATTTTTGAGTGGAATTCTAGGAATCCTGGTTCATATGGTGGCAGGGAATTATTGTGAGTACTTATGCGTTTGCAAGAGCATCGACCGGTCCGNGTGTAGCTGTCAGCTGACTTTCTTCAGAAGTGCAAAAGCTTTTGCCGGTGAAGGTCACAGAAGGTGTGTTTTACGATCGGTCCGTAAAAAAGCGTTGATCGGTTCAAAATGACAAAAGAACAGGTTCTTTTGAATAACCTATGGATTGCCACCATGCTGGTTCATATATTTAATATAAACCTTACCTGGAAACTTGATAAATTTCAAAATATCAGCTCAGTCATTAAATAAATGTCTATTATTAGATTTTTCTCTATCATATGTGCCTCTGTTCTGTATGAACCCTCCTTAATTATTCATCGAGGAATTATTCATCACCACACAACGTAGCGACTGATCGTTATGATGCCAAATGCCAATACCTGAAGCTTAGACAGCTTTTGCAGTGCGACTGTCAGCCGTTTAGACTTTAGACATATGCCAGTGATTGAATCTGACATCTGCGCACTCAGAGCTGACAGTCGCATTGCAGCACCCAACCAAACGTTAAGCCCCGTCCACACGCTCAAACTTATTGTCAGTCTTGCATGTCATGCCAGGTTTGACGACAAGACGCTCAAAGTTTGACATCTTGCATGACGGGTGGGCGGACTTTGAAGCCCGGTCCACACGCTCAGTTTCACACAACGATTTGTCTGCGCAGTTCTAATCGTTGCAGATAAAACGTTGCGTGTGGACGGGAAAACTGCGCAGTTTTGGAGCCGGCGGGAAAACTGCGCAGTTCCATCGAAATCTGAGCTACCGAGCATAGATTTCGATGAACTGCGCAGACAAGTCGGAACGTGTGGACGGTAGCACAGTTTTCCGATTCGATTTGTGCTCAGTTTCAATGATTCTGGCGACCATGGCGGACCTTCGGTAATGTTCTCGGGAATTTATTGCTTTTCTATACGAAAGTTTTTCTTGCATTTGGCAAGTAAAATTCAAGGACTATAGTAACAGGGACAAAAAAGGTGGAGACATACGAGGGCTTAGTAGAAAAATTCAAAGAAATCGATGAAAGCGCAAACATAGAAACAGCTGTAAAATAAGTTGAGCATTTACCGTAAATAATTGGGAATGAATAAAAAAATCGATTCCATCTGGACCTGGAAAAGAAGACATCTACAAGCCATCTCTCTTGTATTTTGATTCCTCGCAATCCCTAAATGATTCAATCTCTTTTTTGACAAGGCACAATGCCAAAATTTATGAAAATACTGCCTTCTCCATGGCACGTTTCGGATAAATTTACGGCCGGACTCGCGGCCGGTCTCCCCAAATTCGATGGGCATGGAATATCTCCCAAAGTAATGAACGTAGCTCGATAAAACTTGGTACACGTATTCATTAGGACTTAACGGTGATGTTTAGCATGTGACAATTTTTTTCGATTTTGCCTTCGTTTGCGAGTTATACGGCTTTATCTAATCTAAAAAATTTTCACGAGCTAAACATCGCCGTTGGGAGGTTAGGTTTCTATATTCAACGTTTCGTTCAAATCTGTACAGTAGTTAAGAAGAAATGTCATGCTCACTGCAAATTTCAGCACGTATCGTCATATAACTCAGGAATGAAGGTGAAATTCCAAAAATGTTCACGAGCTAAACATCACCGTTAAGTCCTAATGAATACGGGTACCAAGTTTTATCGAGCTACGTTCATTACTTTGGGAGATATTCCATGCTCACCGAATTTGGGGAGACCGGCCGTGAATTTGTCCGAGAGTCTCCATGGCGAGATCGCGCAAAACTGTGCAAACTACTCAGATAAGTCGGCACCGTGTGGACGCTCTAAAAATTGCAACGATTTCATTCCGACTTAAAACTGCGCAGACAAATCGTTGTGAAAACTGAGCGTATGGACCGGCCTTTTAAGGTTTGACAAACCTGGAAAAGACGGACGGGCGAGACCTTTGGGTTCATGCAAGACTGACGATAAGTTACTGTTAGAGCGTGTGGACGGGCAACCGACTAATTGGTCAAACTTTTACTCTATCTCAGTCTATATTGATGATGAGAGCTGTGACATTGTTACTTGCTAGCTCTAGTTTTTCATATCCCATGATATCCGACACTGGTTTCACGATTTTTTTTTTTTTGGCAAGTTTATCGAGTTATATCGTAGTTTCCCATGTTTATAATAAATTAAATCAATAAGCTACAGTGACAAGAACAAGAGACTGAAGAGAGCACTGACCTATGCGGCATTGATCGCTAAGTGCAAAGAAGTTGATCATACAGCAAACAGAGACTGTAACGAAGAAAATAAACTCTTTATCGAAAAGAATGTACAACAATGAAGTCGTCAATGCTGTCTGGTGCAGATAGGGATGCTGTCTATCAACCCTCATTGTGGTATTTAAAAACCATTTTCGGGACCACCGCGTACGTTTGCATCGCTTTAACCTAATTTTGGTGGCACAAACTGCGATCACTGCAGCGAGCAGCACTAGCTCCACCATTGTCGCGAACGCACTAAAAACTGAAGGAAAGTTTGAGCGTGTGAACGCTCTTCAGTCTTCCGTCAAAATCGGTCAAACCTGGCATGACATGCAAGACTGACGATAAGTTTGAGCGTGTTGACGGGGCTTTAGTCAGAGACCAGTCAGTGAGTGTAGTAGCCCTCTAGCAGACTCGTCGTGAACTTGTGAGTAATATTCGTGAACCGACTTGTTTAATTTCTCGGGTTTCTCTGGACACAGAGATATCTCACGATACAGATAGTAGTGAACTGCCCCCGGCGTCTATATGTGTTTGTTTAGAAAATCAACGAGAGATCATAATCATAGCTAAGATTAGATTTAGATGCTGCTCTCCTGCTCGTAATCTTACAGTCTTACCCTAATGCGCAAAAGATTCAGGCGCGTGGCCAACATGCGTATAGTCAGCACACGTGTAGATTTCATGTATGCAGTTTACGACCGTGTAAATTTTCATATCATTGTTAGGGTAAAACTTCATTTAATTCCTCCCTCTCACCCCCCTGCCCCCCTCCCACCATTCATTCTCCTCCTGCCCTCTCCCCCTACCTTCCCATCCCTCCTGTATTGGCCTAAGCCCCCCCCCTATCTCCCCTCATGTGATGACGTCATGCTGACGCTGATGTCATGCCGGGTTATGTTTTCATGTCAGATTTCGTTTGCCGACAAACCGTTGCCGCATTGAGGCTATGACGGCTCAGTTGACAGGGGAGTGTGAACCGAGTGGGCAAAGTGTGTCAAAATTTTCTAGAATGGACTATCACCTGTCCCTCCTTGTCACCTGTCCCTCCTTGTCACCTGTCCCTCCTTGTCACCTGTCCCTCCTTGTCACCTGTCCCTCCTTGTCATCTGTCCCTCCTTGTCACCTGTCCCTCCTTGTCACCTGTCCCTCCTTGTCACCTGCCCCTCCTTGTCACCTGTCCCTTCTTGTCACTTCGTCTCTGAGATGCTAACGCCGCTTCTTTCGAGCCAACTTCAGCGGGCTGGACATCTGAGACCTTCCACCCCTTGTGGGTGATGAATGATTTTTGATTTGAGAAACTTCCGATATTGAGACCTTACCCCTCGTTGGTGATGTTCACCTTGACTTTCGGTGCGAGATAGCTAAATAGCTGAAGCTCTAGTAAACAAGTGGCCACTAAACTAACTGTGTTGTGAATTTGTGTCATTCATTTTTTTACTTGTTTATGGAGGTTGCATACCCAGGCCACGCTGCAGATAACTACTATTTTATATATGCTGAATCATGAGCACAACGCTAAGCAAGCACGTAAATTATTTAACGCTTGGCTGCGACATTCCTAGTTTGAAGGTCACTGCCTGACCTGAGAAGCGCTGCTTGCATGCACGTCAGGTGACCGATGCTGACATCAGTCAGGGTTGCCAGATGGGCCTTTTTCCGGCCAAATTCGACTATTTTGGGCTTTTTTTTAATTGCTTCATCAAACAAAAATCCATGTTGTCATCAAGATTATTTTATCTTGTAATATATAAGAAAACGCGGAACAATTGAAATGTTGCACCGCAAATTAATATTTTACTGATGAAAATTGAATGGTGTTGTGTGTTGCATGGCCTGTGATCAGATTTGGCCATTTTCTCATGCCACTATTTGGCAACCCTGGCCCGGTGGCGGCAACTAGTGTGCCACTTCAGTAGGTGACGTCAGTCAGCTGGTCAGTTGCTCCGGCTCCGCCGGGCGGTGTGCGCGTGTGACGCTCGTGTCCGCCTGCCAACAGCTGCTGAGCTGTGGCTTGCTGGCAGTTAGGTCACGGAGCGTGTGCTTGTTCATTCACTTTGATTGTGGCTCAAGAAGACTCATGAGTTTCTATATCTTGAATGATTTAACTGTACCGGCTTTTAACTAGATTTAACTGTAACTCATTTTACTCTAAATCTTCGAACCCCCATCGTGTACCGTTTTGTAAACTCTATTGCATCTTGAATTCACACAATTTCTCGTACATTCATGTCGTATACTCAATCGTTTCTTCATGCCGTAAACTCCATCGTATCTTCACTTGTAATTCGCTATCGATTTTTAATGTCGTAAGCACGATTGTAATCGTATCTTTGTGTGGTAAGCTACAAACGTATTAGGTGCCTTACTAAGGTGCATAAAATATTCGACTGATATGTAGCAAAACGCGCTTGTTGTAACTGATCACACATGTGCCAAATCTACACACACACTTATTATTGTTGTACACCAGCGTGTTTTAGCTGCAGGCATGCGTATCAAAACTCCACGAGCGTTTTAATCATGTGCGTATAGCTGCACTTTCTGACAACATCGCCGTCATGGGAGAACTGCCACCTGCCACCCCACACTCCATGCAGGTGTGTTGGTGCGTGTAGGTGTGTTGGTGCGTGTAGGTGGTGTGTTGGTGCGTACAGATGATGTTTTGCTGTTTGTTACAGCCTAGTTGACGTTCATTCATCAACCACCACCAGATTCTGTTACCATATCTCCTTACCTCTCCACCTTATCTTTATCTCAGCCGCCCTTATCTGCGTCAATCATTACACGAGATGAAGCTACAGCCCAGCGTATGTCACGGTGGATTTAATAAATCTCTGCGTATGTGTAGTTTGTGTATGTATGTACAGTGGGGGGAAATAAATATTCGTACACTTGAAAAATCGTATTTTAATGTATGTAAGTACACAAACTTAACAGGAAAAGTGATTTAAATTATGTATAGAGACGCATAGTATTCAAAAATACTATCAAAAGAAATTAAATCTCAATGC